TTATGTCGACACCAAGGCCCTCCATGAAGCTCCTTGTTGAGTCTGGTATCGTTCCGCGAGCTCCGAACCAAAGGCCTCTCACGTGGAACTCTCTCGGCCCGAAACTCTCGCGGAACTTTTCACTAAGGAAAGGGATGCATTTCTCATATGTCTGTTTTTTCTCCCTTTCCACTTTTCCTGCCTGATCGAGGTCGTTGGTCTCATATCTCACGGTCGGATCCAAAATCATCGCCGACTTTCCCGTCTTAGGGAATGCCACAATGTCGGCATATCGGGTGGATCCATCCGTATCTATACAATATACTTCCTCGAAACAGGCGTAATCTCTCTCTATAAGGAGCCTCATCAGTTCATGTTTGACTCTGTGGTGACGGCGCGTTATAAGGAGGGAGTTGTTGGGGCATTTTCCAAGCACATGTGCTGGTGTTTCTGGCTCTCTGTCGCATTTGCGACAGAGGGACCCAACTTCTCTTACCTGTCCGCTGACACCTGGGACTCCACGCAGGGGTGCATAATTAATATTCAGTTTCAGGGCATTTGACCATTCAGACCCAGAAAGTACTTGCTTATCATACATGTATTTGTTGGCTTTCGGGGTCTCTTTAAAATGGCGAACTCCAATGCCCTGCCACCTGCAATTGGTCCATTCCTCAAACGAATTTTCTCGAAGCGACTGCCGTAGAGCTCTCATATTCCGAATACCCCGATCAACCCCCAATCTCTCGGCACATTCATCAACCTCAGCCGAATAATCAAAGATCGACTGAAAAAGGGCATCGGGCACATTGGACAGTCGCTGAGCAATGGACCAATGTTGTAGAGGAGCCTCCCATTGGCAGCGGATTAATCCTAATCCTCGATACCTCCTGGGAGAGTACAACATCGCCGTGGAGGTGTTCGCAGGGAGTCCAACAATAGCCTTCACACTCCTGCGAATCATGGTGTCGATGCCGTCAAGTATGGCAGGACGCAGCTTTGTGAGGGGCGCAGTTTGGAGAGGGTAAGTAAGACCCGGGAACAGATATTGGTTGACAATGTTTAGCTTCTGCTCCGGCTTCAGCAAGGGAGAGGTAACCAGTTTATTCAGATTTTCGTTCAATTTGGTCACCGAATCTTCGTTGAACTGTAGCTCTCCCGAGAATGTACATCCTAAATACTTGATTGTATCTCCATTCTGCAATGTTTGGATGTACTCTCCGTTCTCAAGGGAGAGCATCGCTGTTTCCAGCTCTCCTTTATTTAGAACGATGCCCACGCTTTTTTGAGGATTAATAGCCAAACCAATTTCCTCAAAAGTCCTCTGAACGCTGTCGATCACTCTTTCTGCAGTCCCCTTGTCACGCGCTGACACGGCCTGGTCATCCGCGAAACCTGTGAGGACCACACAACCTTGGTCACTTTTTAACTTGTATCCAAATTTTTTGGAAAATTCTTCATCGCACAGGTCGCGATAGAGATGATCGATGGCCAGGTTGAAGAGCGACGACGACAAGGGGCCGCCTTGGGGTACCCCGCGCAGCACTTTGATTTGGCTAGTTGCGTGAACACCGTTACTAATTTTGATTGTGTTGGTGCAGAGGAGAGCCGATATAACACGTTTAAGATCCGGCGACACACCTCTTGCTTCCAAGGAGCTCACGATATGATTGTGGCCAACATTGTCAAAAGCACCGACAACGTCAAGGAATACCACCGCACAATCTTTTTTCATAATCTTTGCATCTTTCAATACAGCGTCGATAATCCTTGCGTTGACGTGCGTTCCCGGGAGGCCTTTTATAAAACCTCTCTGATTCCTGTGGAAGGTGACCTGCTTTCTTAGTTCATGGTCCAGAACCTTCTCTATGATTCGGCGCACAATAGAATAAATGGTGATGGGCCTCCAGGAAGGGATTTTATTTACATCACCTTTCCCCTTATATATTAGTATTGTGCGCCCCTGTCGAAGTGGTTCTGGGACATAGGCCACCTTCAGCATTATCTCCGCAATTACTCTGATAATATTTGCTACATCAAAATATTTAATCGTGCGGATCAGAACTCCATCAGGCCCCGGCGATGTGTCCATTGATGTTGATTTAATGGCTCTCTTGACGGCTTCTAGATCAATGGACACCAAATTTGGCATCGGGGCGCACTGTTCGTAATCCGCACGCTTGCGGAGATTTTCGCTCTCAAAGAGGTCTCTATAATGTTTTTCGATATCGGCCATCTTCAGAGGACACCGCTTAGGAGCGTCGGCATTCATTACGGTTTGCACGACCTTTTTCCTTTTATTATAATAATTATATTGTGCAACCTCATATTGATACTGTTCTTGCCGACGACTCCTGTCTACTTTGTTCGCTCTTTGCGGATTTGAGACTTGTCCAGCACCCTTGTCAGTTACTTTAGTTTTATTTTTTTTCCTCAATCTGTAAAATTTGACGGCTGGGTGCTGGGGACCTGGCAGTTCCGCATTGATATTCTTGAGAAATTTCAGGAACCTGCCTACGGCCTCATCAAAATCCGCAATATTTATCGTGCTTTCTTTTGAGAGGTTCTTGAACACAGTAGACCATCCGATAATGTCCTCTTTTATTTTTGATACCTCACCCTCTCCATTTTTAGGCCCTAAAACATTTTTCACTATGCCCCTCAGTGTATTGGTATTAGCCTCCCTGGGGTGCTTCTTGGCAATATGGGTTCCTAGACCTCTTTCACCCTTAAAAGAAAGCCCACATATGGGACAAACTTTATTATTAGGGCGTAGAACTTCTTTCTCCTGCTCTCTGTTCGCTTCCTCGACATTCTGTGGAACATTTGGCAATGCTGGGAAGACATCATCTATCGAAACTGTCTTTCCCAATAGTACACCTTCTGTGTCTGGCCATTCGACTTTTACAAATTTCTTTTCGCCGCCCTCCGCGGCATCCACAGACATCACAGAGGCAACAACAGCCTCCTGAGCAGGTCCTCCAGTTCTCAGAACCCATACCCTCTGGCCAATCTCGACTTCATTCATTGTCCTTAGGTCCACTCAAAATCCAATATCCCCCCTAGAGACCATGCGTACTACACGCTTGGTTAAAACAAACCATCTAAAGGAGAGTGGACCCGTATACAAATAAATAAAAACTAAACGGGAGAGACATGCATATATGCCAACATACACACATAAATATCAGATTAATAATATAAAATGCTTAAAAGTAGTTAAAATGTAAAATAAATAGAGCCCAAGTTAAAAAAGTTAATCAATAAGTTAAAATCTATCTTAAAACTAAGCTAAAATATAAAATGAAATTAAAATCTATAGACTCTATTGCTTAAAATTAAGTTTAAATATATAAAATAAATTATGGTAAAATGTTAAAATCTATAAAATCAATTTATTAAAAATAAGTCACAATATAAAATCAATAGAGCCCAAGTTAAAAAGGTTAATCAATAAGTTAAAATCTATCTTAAAACTAAGCTAAAATATAAAATGAAATTAAAATCTGTAGACTCTATTGCTTAAAACTAAGTTAAAATATATAAAATAAATTATGGTAAAAAGTTAAAATCTATAAAATCAATTTATTAAAAACAAATTGAAATCTACAATTAATATAATATGAGTTGATCAATAATGGATTAATAAATAAGTTAACAAGTAAAAACAAATTAAAATATACAATTAATAAAATCTAGGTTAAATAGTAATGTATTAATAAATAAGTTAATGAATAAAAACAAATTAAATATATAAAATATATTGTTAAAAATTAAATAAACACACCCACGTCCACTTAATAAATAATAAATAAAATTGAATAAATAGATCAATTGATAAAGCTAAATACTAATTCTTTTAAATAATAATTCATTAATTTCAATAATCTAGCTTTCCTGTGATCAGTTTTTTTTAAATAAGAGAGGAGAGAGAAAAAAAATGATAACAACAAAATAGGTTGGGCTCTTTCGGTGACAGCTGTTGGTATTGATAAGACGCCACTGACCTTGCTGGATGGAGGCGGCCGCTGTGAGGTGGAGGGGGCCGACAAGTCCTATTCTGCACAGCGATAAGGACCCCGGTCCCACAGGCACGTTGAGTTCTTTACCTCCTGGTCCTGGCGAAGTTCTTTGCTTGATTTTTTCGAAATTCAAGCAGCAGGTCTCCAGCATACGTCTTCGGTCACATGTCAAGTTTTGGCTCAATTGGGCGAATAAAACTCTATCAAAAAGGACACCGCCGTGGAGCCGATGTGTCTTAGTCACCGGCTAGAGCCGAACGCCATCAAAGAGTGAACAGTTTTATCTATTGAATTGAATCAGGAAAATAAAATAATAAAAGAAGTAAAGAGAAGGATTGTGGTAACTAACAGAGCATACCAAGCAAATAGAAAATTATTCAAATCATCACGTCACACAAAAATGTGTTTATATAAAACTCTTGTTAGACAAGTTCTTACTCATGGTGCTGAAACTTTGATTCTCACCGCCTTAATGAATAGTAAGCTTAGAATTTTCGAACGAAAAATATTACGAAAGATTTACAGACTGGTGTTCAACAATGAGTCCAATATATGGAGGATCTGCAGTAATGAGGAGCTATATTCCCAGTTCCAAGACACCAATGTGGTCCAATTCAGTAAATCAAGTCGCATCGAATGGTTAGGTCACGTAATATAGATGCTCGGCAATAGAATGCCAAGCAGGTTACTGCATGGTAAAATTATTGGACAATGCAGACAATAAATGCAGGACGTGGAGGCTGTAGAGCTGCAGAGTAACTAAGTATTTAAAAAAAAAAAAAAAAAAAAAAAAACTACTACTAATATGAAATTCACTAACTTTTAATAAGATGATGATAGCAGTGCTGAAAATAATTTAGTAGCACGCTATTATCAGTCAAGTTTTATGTATTAAGTGTTAATTTTAAGTATTCGTATTCGACACTCAACAATCATCAACATTTTTGACAAAAAGGTAAAGCCAAGCAAATTTTAAGAGTAGTGAAATTATAAAAATGTTACCTGTTCTTCTTCATTGGGCCATTTTGCAAGGCAATCTGAACATGAGGTAAACTGCTGACAAGATCTTGCTAAAATCCAAGTTGCATTGCAAAAAATACCATTAGAAGTTTTAGAAGTGCCATTCAAGTTTTGACATGGATCATTTTGTCTACCACGATGTGTAGAATAACAATAACTGGAATTAGATCCGCCAGATATTACATCACAATGCGAACATCCCACGAACGATCTGCAATCAATGAACAATACAAAAACATTATAAGACAAGTATTCATTTTAGACAGGGATAACTATAAATTGTATACTTAAATTAAACAAATTTAGTAAAAAAAATGAGCAATTGATTAAAAAATTGATCATTAAAAGTAACTTTGAAATCTTTCTTTTGATAAATATGATTTTCAAACAAAAATATGTTCACAGAAAGAAAAAAATAATAAATATATTGATTACTTCATAAATTTGAAATTTATCTTTATAATAATCGATACAGTATAATCCCACATAATTGTTTAATCACAGGTTACACAGAAAAAAAAAATGACAATGGGCTATAGTAAAAACAATGCCAATAGAATAGTGACAGTAGGGAATAGTAAAAACAATATCAATTGATTTAAAGTCCTAGTCTTGACCATTAAATATAATGGTTCAATTTTGTTTGCAGGACTAAGAAAAAGATATAATGCTCTATGTAACTTTTTTGATCGTATTTCAGCCAAATAATCTTTTAGGGATATTACTTCTAGCTTATAGCTTTTTAGTTATTTTGAAAAACAGGTATTAGTTAGGTAAAATCAATAAAATTTATTGTAAAAACACCCATAACATTGTTAACAATGATCAATGCATGACAGGAAAAAAGTACAGAGTAACGATACTTCATACGAAAATTTGTAAAGAATTTGACAGGAAAGCGAGTAATCGATCTCACGGGTTATTTACTTTTTTGATTCCCACTGTCAAATGGAATTTTTGACTCCAAAAGGGCAATGGAATATACTACCAAATATCCAAGACACTCGTTGGAAAGCAGGAGTTGAGCAGAGAAGCGAATATTCTGCTATTCAAATCAGTTTTTATCCCAGTGCTACTATACGGATCAGAAAGCTGGACCGCCATGCCAGCAAGGTTGTTTATACAGGAATGAGATTCCTACGGAAAATATTAGGAAAGACCAGGCGAGATCGAATAAAGAATGAAAGGATCCGAGATGAACTAGGAGTTAGATCCGTCCTAGAGACGATTGAAAAAAGGCAGTTGAAGTGGTATTTCACATGTTAACAAAATGGGAGATGACCCTAAGGTCAGGTGGCCTCTAGAAGCAAGACCGGGAGGAAGGCGACCTCAAGGCAGGCAAAGGCTTATGTATGCAGACTTGATGGAGAGAATTGGCACAGCGAGAGGAAGCACCATGCCGGAGATGAGACGGTTTGCACAGGATATTTTGCTTACTTCTAACCAACCTCCTCCATCTTTGCCAATCTTGGACTATTGGTTTCCAGTTTTTGTTAATTCAATTTATCTATCTGGCTTTTGGGTTTCGCCGTGGTCGCTGGCCTATTATTGAGGTATTCATTGTGGTGTAGAGGCTTTCTGATGGACTGCTCCTAGCTACATGCTCCATCTTTACCTTTCTGCTTAGATATCAAGAGATATTGGTTGACCAGCTTTTTATTTTCTTCTCCTCCATGCATTAGTTCTCTAATCCTAGATCTTCTAAAGGGATTTCACTCAAATCCTCCAATCAGTAGCAGATGGGGTTAAGGGCAGAAATAACCTTGAAATTTGGCCAACGGATTCAGAGAGATGATACTTTGAGGTAAGGAGATGATACTTTGAGGTAAGGAAATGATACTTTGAGGTAAGGAAATGATACTTTGAGGTAAGGAAATGATACTTTGAGGTAAGGAAATGATACTTTGAGGTAAGGAAATGATACTTTGAGGTAAGGAAATGATACTTTTCTTATGGCATGGCATAGGCTTTGTTGTCAGGTTACCTAACTGTTCCATGACAAATCAACGACCTTCGATCAACTTGATATACTTCTTAGGGTATGTAAATGATCGAAAATTTGTTGTATTTATTCTTAATCAAGGTGGCTACCAGACAGTTAAAGTAAAATTCCTTCACTTTTCTCTATTTAATGATAGTTTTCCCAGGCAAATATGTCTGGGGATACAAATATTAAAAATATATAATTTATAACTAAATTTATTTATTATACATGAAAGAAAATTGACTACAAAATAGTTTGAGTAAAAAAACTGAGAAGAGGTAAAATTTGATGTTAGACATATAAACCTTCGATTTTTTTTTTTTTTATTATAGAATAGAGTGAGCTACTGAGGATTCTAATATTAATCTAGTTTCTCATAAGTAATTTAGTTTCTTTATGACTATAAACAGCATAATGATTATTCATATGACACCAACTGTGTAATTTCTGGTTAATAAATACTCTTTTAAGGAACAACACGAGTTGAACCAATGAATTCTCATCAGCCAGATCTTGACCCAGAGGTATATATTACAAAGAGTAAATAGTATTGTGATGTTTTTCTTTTCCAAAAAAGCACTGTTTTCATTCCATTTAGCTTAAATTTTATTCATTACCTTTAATTGATTTCAATAAAACTACCAGTGCCATTATTGACAGTCAAAGATGGATGAATATAACGACCGAACGATGAAGTTTAACCCTTCAAAGTCCTTATAAATCATATGCATTGTAAATTCATTTCCAATTTGAAAAAAATCCCTATCCTCTCTCTGTTTTGAGAATCCCCTGACAATTCCCATTTTGTCGGACACCACTCTGATAATAAATAACAATTTTATTTAAGTTAAAGTTTATGAAATAAAAATAAAAAATTGAACAATTAAATTTTATAATAAAAAATAATAGTTATAGAATATTTGATTACAGTAAAGTAACAAACGAAATAGAAAAAGATAAATTGACATAAATTCCACTAAAATTTTCAGCTAATTGATCAGTTCAGAAAACACTAGTTATCATTAGCTGCATTAATGTAAAAGACAAATCAGTGGATTAAAAACTATTAATATCGGACTTAAACATCATAATTTGTAACTTAATCAATATAATTTTCAAAATACTTAATGGGGAGGGATTCAAAAGGAAAGGAATAAATATCTAGCTATTTTTACTTGTAAATCCTTCACATTTTGACAAGTTCATCTAAATAAAAAAGTAATGAAGTGAATGATACAAAATCAACATTTGACCCTAGATACCTGCACTTTTCTTTGCCACTCCAAAGCGTACAAAGATCAGCTGGTAACATGATCCTAGTAACATGAGACTCTGGCCTTCCGGTGAATCCTCCCATTACGTAGGCAACTATTTGCTTTTCAGTTGATGCTTCCAAATCTAACGTCATGGCGTGTGAATAAGTCTCTGGTGGTATTTCTCCAACCATTTCAACATCTAAAACAAATACTATAGTTAAAATATGGCACACAATCAAATTTGAACCACTCCTTTTATCTAATATTACATTATGAGTACTTTTACATCGTGATTGCTTTTACCTGATATATTATGACAAAAAATGAATAAATACATATATGAAAAGCAAATACTTTATGGGTCTAAATGGTTGTAGGTCTTAAACAAAATATCAATTATGCACTCCTGCATGGAGTCCCAGCAGTCAGTGGATAGGTCAGAGAAGTCGAGTCACTCAGTCTAAAATGTAACTGAGTCTGAAACACAGGTACATGTGCTGGGGAAATGCCCCAATTTGGTTCGGGGCTTGCGGAACTATACCAAACTCAACAAGGAATTTCATCGAGGTCTTTGGTGTCTACCTAGTCCTGTCATAAATATTGTTACAAGGAAATATAAACAGAAAAATCAATTTTTTTCAAAAACTTTATTAGAAAATAAAATGTATATCTATAGAGAGTAAAACAAAAAAGAAATTACTTATAATGTCCCCCTTTTGCCTTGACACAGACATTTAATCTCCGTGGCCAGTCATCAATAACTGCACGCAGCACTTCTTGAGGAAAGCACTCAACTGCTAGGACCAGAGATTGTTTTAGGCTTTCCAAGTTAGGGTGTGCTTATGCTATCCTCTCCAGTTCGGACCAAAGCCGATGATCTAGTGGGTTGAGATCAGGGCATCCTGAGGGCCAATCCGAGGCAGAGATGAATCCTGGAATGTTCTTTTGCAGCCACTGCTGAGTTGACCTGACCTTGTGAGCTGGAGCGGAATCCTGCTGGAAAACCCCATGACTTCCAGCAAACAAATTATCATTTAAAGGCTTGACAACAGTTCCAAAATATCGTCCTGATAGTTTTAACCCCCTTTTCACAAAAATGGAGCTTTGTGGTGCCATTAAAACAAACTCCCCATCAAACCATCACTGAGAAAGGATGATGACCTCTTTCCACTCTTCCAATGACTTCCTGGGCTTCTTTAGAGCTGTGTGTGTACACACAATCATTTTGGCGATTAAGTTTTTCTTCAATTGTAAAAATCTTCTTATCGCTAAACAAAATTTTTCAATGAAGACCATTGGTGTAACGGCCAAGGAGCACTTTGCATCTATCTACTCTAATTTTTTTTTAGGAAAGTGGTTAGCCTTTGCCCTGTCATGAAAATGCACCCATCCTAAGGTCACTTTTTATTATGCGAGATATTGATCTGACAGAGATTCACATTTCCCGAGACATGATTTGTTGTTTTCGAATGGGATTTCTTCTGGTTCAAGCAGCCACTGCTCTCACTGCATTTGCCGTTCTCACAGTGCGGGGACGGTCCGGTCGAGGTCTGTCACATACTGATAGGGTCTCATTATATCTATTTATAGTGCGGTACATGAACATATGGCTGATACCCAAAGGTTTCAAAGTGTTGAAAATTTCTGACCTACATTTTCCAGCTTTGTGTAAGGTGATCACAGCTATTCGGTTTTCATTATCACCACACTCCATGTTAACTGAGCGAAAGAAAAAAACCTGATAGAGTTAAGGATTATCTAAATAATACCCAAGGATGTAAACAAAGTTCAACTATTGTAATAGTATTTATGGCAGAACTAGGTAGATTAAAATAAATATTATGTCAATAATACATTGAGTTTTATTTCACCCTGAAAAACCGAAAGGACTTATTTGCCAACCCAATATATATATATATAATTACAATATGGACTCCAACAATATTATAATTATAAATTATAAATGCTGTTGTTGGTATTATTTAATATTTAATAGATTACAGTGATATAAAAATTAAAATTTCTATATATACCGGTACTGAAACAAATAAAAATACCCACAATGAAATATAAATAACTATGTGGCCTTGTTTATCATTGGCATTATTGTAGGACAAAAAATACATCATGACACTTAATTATTTATTATCAATAAATAATTTAAATATACAGTCGTAAAAGGAAATGACTAGTGTCAAATGAAATAAATATGATAAATGCTTTGAAAAACATATGGTAATTAATTGTTTTAAATAATGTTTGGTACAGTTATAATTTTTATAAAATTTTTACTTTCACTTCTTTTTTTCTGAAAATACTTATTTCTGCTAAGAAGAGGGTAGTAATTGAAAGTTGTGTATTGCTCGCACCACTCCAGATTTTTTAAAATTGTTTTTATCATATGCAATTTTAAATATTTTAGTAAACTAGTTGATGATTACCAAATCATGTAGTATGATGATAAGAGTATGATTTAGTTTTTTAAAACAATAAAAACGATCTATACAGAGAAAAGGTGAAAAAAATAAGTATAAAAGAAATTTTTTTTTTTTTTTTTTATTATTTCAATGGAATTTACAACTGTATTACATAGAGAATACAATAAGTAAATGAGAAATTTGTAACATGGCATGTACAACATGAAGAGAAACTATCCATTGGTAGAACTCAAATTAAAAGAAATTGAATGTAAAAAAAATTATTTTTAAAAAATCTATTGGGGTGTGCATATCAAACAAACAACTTTCACCTACCATCCTTCTTTTGGCAGAAATAGGTATTTTAAGACAAAGGGAAGAGAAAGTAAAACTACAGACTGTTCAAAATATTTTTTAAAACAATTAATTATTATACGTTCGTCACAGTCATCTAATATCTTATAGATACTTATGTTTTTTTAGCTATCCATTTTCTTTAACAATTGCATATTTTAATTATTTATTTGATTATAATAAATAAGCAATTCATAATGCCATGAAATATTTATAACCCGACAAGAGTACCACTGATAAAGAAAGCCATTATATTTATTTATATTGATGTAATCCATACAATTAAATATTATATAAAAGGTAGTTAGTCGACTATTCTACATATCATGGGTGATAAATATTATATCATATCAATGCAAGCATTTATGAAAAGCACAAATGTATATGTATAAAATACTTTCAAGACTTGGATTGTATTAGGCAAGTGTTATGTATGGAAGAATATTCTAGTCTTTCGGCCAAGTTTTATTATGATCCCTTATTTCTCCTTTAGTTAATTATCAAATTCTTTAATATTTTATATTTAACCATTTCTTATATTAATTGAAAATGTGAAATAGTAAATTAAATAAAATTAAAGATACTTTAGAGGAAGAAATTTTGAAAATTAGGTATTGAAGTCCTGTTAAAGTACATCAATGAAAATACGACCTAAATTATATTAAAAACTGATATAATGAATTTAATCAAAATCTTAGAACCATTTTTGAGGAAATAGTAAAAATGTATAAAATCGATGATATAAAGTGGCACTTCCCATTAGCAGATTTTGATGAAAAAGTTACTGTAACATCTCAGGCATGTAAAAAACTTAAATACGAGATTTGATTTAGATGACTTTTCGTTTTTGAGCTAGACTGTTGAGATACTGTAATATACAACTTTATTGGAAGTTGTTAAAAATGGTTTAGTAAATTAATAATAAACTGTTAAAAGGCAAACTTATCTATTTATTTATTGACATCAGTGCCTGATAGGCAATACGGGTTTTAGCAGCAATAAGATGTTAACCGTTTCTGCATAAGAACACACTGTTGTTAGAAAAACAATAGACCTGCTGAGTCTTCTCTTGAAATCTGATGCTTTAACATGTCTTCCTCCAACAGGAGGTCGAGAGGAACACCTCCTGCCAGGACCTGTACTGCCTCATGAGATATTGTCCTGTAATGTCTGGTGACTCGCAGCAGAGCCATCCGCTGAATTGAAGCCAACCTGCTCTTCTGGTGATGTAAGAGATTAAAAAACCAACCAGGGGACGCGTACCTCAGAATACCCAGAACTACAGTTATGTAAATGGTCTTAGTCGCTGGGTATCTGAGGCCCCAAAAGGCACTCCCGGTACTACCGTGTCCATTAAAAGCTAGGGTCACCCTACTTCTCAAATAGTCCAAGTGAGGTGACACGTTGAAATTTTTTCCAATTCTGACTCCGAGGTAGGTGACAACCTCACTCGAACGAATTCTCGATCCTTGGATAATCATTGTAATATGGTGAGCCCTATCAGTCCTGCCTCTCAAGAGGATGGCCTGTGTTTTAGCAGCTGTCATCCGCAGTTTCTTCCTCTCGCACCATCTTTCTATCAGGTTGGAGCACCGCTCAGCTTCTTCTTTCAACTTGTTTCTGATGTTCGAGGCCACCACAGGGACTAAATCATCCACAAAAGCTGTGGCGGAGAACTGCTCTTCTTCGAGCACTCCCAGCAAGTCATCGAAGACTAGTTTCCAAGGCAAGCTAATCTAGTTCTGGTAATGTCACAAGATGTTTCATAAATAGTTTCACTAGTTCAGGGAAAAGAAATTGGCTACTCTGTAGTTTCCCCAGAAAGAAAAATCCTAAAGAGGAGAGGGGGACACAAAGGATTTTGTTTTGGCAGAGCAGACAGTTGGTGTTTGGATGGGGTGAAGGGAGGATGGGAGAAGGGATAATGGCTCCAGTGGGTAAAACGCAGTAAAATTATTACCAGTTTGGAAGCTGTTGTTTGGCAGAGAGGCTAGGTGTTTGGAATTGACTCTCAAGAGAGAGAATCTCCCAGGGAGCTCGAGTTGAGTAGAAGAAAGTGTCACCATTTTGGAAGTTGTTGTTTGGCAGAGAGGCTAGTTGTTTGGAATTAACTCTCAAGAGAGAGGATCTCCCAGGGAGCTTGAGTCGAGTAGAAGAAAGTGTCACCATTTTGGAAGTTGTTGTTTGGCAGAGAGGCTAGTTGTTTATTTATTTAGGAAGTATCCCAATAGTATTGAAGTGATCTTCCGAGGTTTATTACGAGTTTAAAAATATAAGAAAGAGATGTTACAATTCATAAACACACAAATAGATTATTCTGCGGACTTGGTTATTTGGACTTACAAAACATGTATTTCCATTGATAATTCAGGTTAAACAATTATAAAAGCAATAGCTGATGGAACTTGAGCAGACTCATTACTGAGTAGGAGAGTGTCCCATGGGTGGCGGATTTGGGGATGGCCGGTGAAAATTCCTTGGAAGTTCCTCCCGGCTATGTCCAATGAACTCACTGACCAACAATGAGAGGGGCGTAGGATTGAACGCCCTACTCATATATCTTTAGTTCACCACACACCAAAAATAGCACTGAACCAAAATAAAATAATTTGAGTGGTTGTGCATTGAAAACATGCGGATAACATTTTTTAAAATATATATAGCATATCTACAGTCATACTGCAAAAGCCTGTAAGAACAAAAACTAAAAATTTAAAATGTGGTGAAAGTAAGAATATGAGTGATAATATTCGTTTAGAACAGGAAGAAAAGTAGAGTTAACTGAGAGAAAATTATGAACTGAAGAACTAAACATCTGATAATCCCTTAAAGCAGAATTTCTCCTTTTTTTATTTAACCAATAAGTAAATCACACTCAAACTGGCATAGCAAATTATTGGGTGTGTACTGTAATAGTGGTCTGTTGTTTATTTTACAAACATTTCATCAAGCCATCAACGATAATCTACAGATATCAGGAGTATGCCAACATTCTGTAGACTGTTGTCAGAATCCTTACGAAAGCCTACAAGGTGGACTGAACCATCAGTCAAATAAATAAATAGAATAACTTGTGTTTTATAAACTCATTCCAGAATTTTTTTGGTTCTTATCTTAATATATTTCAACAATAGAAAGTGAATACCTTTTGCAGACAATTTAATCCAGTGATTACAAGCATACGAATATGCTACAAGAGGCTCTGGAATAGATGGCATTTCAGTCCTTCCACCAAATATCAACATATAATCATCAGTAGTAATAGCAGAATGTAAAAATCTTCCCCTAGGCTAAGAAAAAGAAAATGTATTATGTATTAATTAGGTTTTTTAAACATGACATGTCTCTGTACCAAATATATTTTATAATACACCTACTGTATTGAGCCTTGACGGATTGTATTGAGAAAACGTTGGTAATGGAGACCATGTTTTTGTTGGATAATGAAATATATATAGTTTGTCAGATATATGTGTTCTGTTTACTCCATAAACATACCCTCCAAAAAGATAAAAACTATCGGTAGGCTCGTGATAAACTGTACTATGGCCATATACTCCTACAATAAAAAATAAATATTAAAAATGACTGCTAGACCAGAACAAATTGATTATAAATCTACCAATAAATTTATTGATACCTATTGGACCACTTCCTGATGTTTTTAACTTGGACCATTTGTCAGTTTCAAGATTGAATTCCCAAACTACATCAAGGAAACCATATTCTGGAGAAAATCCGCCGATTAGTAAGAGTATTTCAGTTTCTCCAACTCTCCTCAGCGTTAGTGTGTGCCCAGCGAGACCAGGTGGTACAACATCGTTCTTAAACAATAGGCAATTAATTAATTAATTAATATGATAGATTCAAAAAACATTTACCTGGTGTATTAAAATAAATATAAAGACAAGGTCTGTGGTTATCTTCTCAAAATTCATTGAAGTTTTGGGGTTTTGGTCAACAACAATAAATTAATCCTTTCATTGAGGCTTGATGTTACAGGATTGAAAGATAAAATTCAATACAAAAGATATTGCCTTCCTGAATAATTCTTTATCTTTCTATCCTCCTCCCCCCCCCCTGTGCAACCGGTTTGAGTTTTCGATCAGACCTTCCTCAGGCTAACTAATAGCGATCCTCCTCTCCTGCTTGTCAAATGATAGTCCTCATTTGACAAGCAGGAGAGGAGGACCACAAAGACAACATTTTTTTTATTGAATTTAAAATAAATTAATCATTCAAATAAATAAATCAGCTGAGCAAAAGTCATATGGACAGCCTGAGGTTCTTGATTATTGACCTTTCAGTTTCCTCATGAAACAGTGTGGTCGGCACTGTGCTGCAAAAATTTAATTTATCTTCAGACTAGAGTAAGGTACTCAAAGAACTTCAGTGTAAGGTGCTTGTAAATAATCTTCCATTTATCGGGAGAGGGGTGGAGGAGGAGGTCTTCTTTATTTACACTCTTGAATTTCAATTTAATAACTCCCCAGCTCTGAATAAACTTTTTGAGTGTGTTTACTACTGTTGGGAATTCGGGAACCCAATTCTTTTGTGTCATCTGTATTTGGACCGATTAAAGGAAAATGGGACAGAAGTCGCTTTTTGTGAATACCAGACCATTGCAAGCTTCACGGAAATGATGAAGCTGACAAACTGACCGAATAGGCTCTGGAAAGAGCCAACCAGATATTCCTCCAAGGGCCATGGATTCAACTAAAAGAATAATAAAACAGACCCCCCAAGGTCACTGATGGAGATATATGTACAAAAAATTGAAGGGAAGCGGTGGAGTGGATTGCTGGAAGAAAGAGGCAGGATCCTAAGAGACTTCCCTAGAGGGCAAGCCTTGGCATGCTTTAGAATACTCACAGGGAAGCACCTCCACCGCATCGGTATAAAAGATAGCCCGACATGTCCTCTGTGCTCCTTGGATATTATGACAGGAGAACATCTTGATACATGCCCTGCATTACAGGATGTAACATGTTCCTTTAGTAAAATGGACAGCCCTTATCCTAGGAGAGCAAAATTATACTGGACTGCAAGAGTAAGCATGGCTCATCAAGTAGACGTTACTTAGGCGTAGGAAAAAAAAAAAATTTTGACATAGTCATGTTGCTGGAGCTCGGACGACTTCGATAACCAAAACATGGCTGCCAACGAGATTCTGAAAATGATCCTTACTGAAGAGCTCTATGGAGGAAATGGCGAGTTGGATGACGGAACATGCGATGGATGGAGTCGGTCTCTACAGACACGCTAGCCCTCCTTTGAGTCCAAAAATGGAAAGCCACAGCAAATGACCGAACAAACTGGCAGAGACCCATTTCAGTGATGGGATATTGTGTGAACTATGAGTGTATGTATGTCTAAAAACAGATTTTATTTGTAAAAATAAAAAATTTAAAAATGATAATTTTTCATGTAAAGTGGTTGGTTATGAAATTGTGTTTTACTCCCAGATTCTAGCCTAAATATTTATGTTTTTATGAAAATAATTTAAACAATCAAAGGATTCTTTATTTTAAATGTAAATATTAGTAAGAAACATTAAGTTCGTCACTTATAAATACGCACCAATTCCTATGACAGAAATCTGAGAGAAAAACGCAATTTCATAACCACTTTATGTGAAAAATATTTGAAAAATCATCATTTTTGAAATTATTTATTTTTATAAATAAAATGTATTTTCTTTAAATAGTTTTAACAATGACAAGCTCTACTTCTGTTTAAAGTAAATTTTGTCTAGTTTACTATGAAACAATGTTTAATTACTTAAATAAAATGCTTTTAAAGTTATCGCTTCCCATTCAACAAAAAAAGTGACTCGCTCAAAAAACCACAAATCTCAAATTTCCTACTTCACTGCTGGAAATTTGGTAATTATTGAGAAGTACTTTTTTATAGATCTTGACGTCTTGGATTGGTGACTATCAACGTTTTAAATATTTCCCTCTACCTACACCACGACACCCTGTATCAAGTGTTAATTCCGGTTAGTATTATAGGCATTATAAACAAACTCCTGAAACCTAAAGAAAACTGGTAATAATCTAATGATTTTTAAAAATATAATTTAATTTACAGCATGGAGGAGGAAACAAAATTAATAAGGTTTAAGCAATAAGACAGATATCAATGAAATGCAAAGCAATTACCTCAATTTCAATCCAATGTCTGGGTTTTAATCTAAATTTCCAAAAGTCAGTCAATGTAGTGTTTTGAAGAGTGCCTTCTTCAGCTTCTGCAGATGTCAAGCCACCGTGGATAAAAATTTCTTTCCGCGAAAGTGAAATTTCAGCAGCGTGGAAGTACCTCCCTTGAGGCATGTGTGCATCATTCGTTGAATCGATCGTAACCTGCGTCAAATAAATAAAAATCATTATTGCAAAACCACTGCTGAGGAAACCATTCTTAAAACTATCATCGACGCTTCATTCTATGAATCTAATGTATCTTTGTAAAAATATTCAAACAATTTAAGTGATCAAATTAAAATAAAATTATCAGTTAATAAAATTATAATAATGTAGGAAATTAAGGAAGTTATAATGTTAGTGAAGTAGGTCAAGCTAGCTTTAATTAGTCAAGGGGAATATTTTGTATTATTAAAAATGAATAAAATAAAAAATAATGAGTAAAACTTCAAACTGTTATGATAAATTTTATGGATGCTGAAGGTATAATGGTTCGTGGACTGTGAATTATTAAGGATCTAACAAATGACATGGATTACATTAAATATTTCATTTAATCTTAGAATAAATTTTATAAGTAAATTAAAATAAAAAATAAATTACTATAATTATTGCTTCTTGAAATAATTTCTTTGGAAGCTCTGATCTGATCTGATTATATACAGGATGTCCCGTAAATAGAGGGAAACATTTAAAAGATTGACAGTAGATATCGAGATCTGCCAAAAAGCTCATATAAACAATGGCCTAATTTCCCAATTTGGAAGTTTAAGATTTGTGTTTGTTTATGCGAGTCTCGTCTTTTGTTGAATAGGAAGCGATAACTTAAAAAGTATTGGATTAAAGTAATTAAACTTTGCTAAATAGTAAACTGCACAAAATTTACTTTAAACGAAAGTATAGTTTGTCGCTATTACAACTATTTAAATAGGACTATAGAGTGAACAAACATAGCAAAGTTCCGTTTAAAAAAAAGTCACAAATTATTTATATTTTTTTTTTTTTGAAACCCTTCAATTGTATTACAGTTACCCCACTTTTAGAAAAACTTCCCCATTTAATAAGCCTTAAGTCCATATTAATTAAGTTGAGGTTTAACAAGAAAAATTTAGAAATTTACCTCAAGTTGTGTACAGAAAAGATGTGATTTTCTATTGAATTACCAAAAAGTACCCGTGTTTTCAGTAAAAATGGCTATAATTAATTGTGACAAAGCTTTTAATTCTTGGTTTCCTGAGGTATTCTAATAAACAAAACAGAACAGGGTCTATTACGTAGATCGCTGGAGATCCATGAGCTGCCAGTGATAGCAGGCGAAATATCTGGTGACCAGTATAACCGCGGGTCTGGGCATCAACCCCAGTTTTAGTGTTAAGGATCTGGATATGATGCAGCACCGCAGAAGCAAGAAGGATGACCTGCAACCGCTACCTCTAATCACACAATTCCTCAGGCAGTCAGTGAGGGATGATCTGATCGTGAGAAGAGAAGTCAAGAGAAACTTAGCGACGCGTGATATCGGTTGGCAGGACAATGACGGCCAATGAATTAAGCTCGGCGAGGAGATGACCCCAACGAGCAGGCACCTTTTCTACTGGCTTGCCGGCAGAGCTCAATGGCGAAAAGATGACAAAAAAAAAAAAAAAAAAACTGTACCACTACAACCCAAGAAGGGCCTTGGGTTCAGTCCTATTTAGGGAAAGCACTGTTTCATGGTCTAAGTTGTGCAAGGAGGTGATTTGACTGAGATTACACTCAACCTGCAGGTTTTTCCCCTTAATTAATTATTTTAATTTAAGGTACCCACTTTATAGAGGCTGATTGGATAGACATCGGATCTTGACATTTTCACCTGACTATACATATTTCATCACTCTTTTTCCTTCGTCAAGTACATTTTGAAGTGAAAACATCTTTAGGCGCATTTTGTACTTTTTTATGGAGAGTGAATTAGATTGAGCAATCAGATTTCTGATGTGTAACGCTCGGGTAAATTTGGCTGGAGTTGATTAATTGAAGTGTTTTTGCATATGGATTAAAATATCTCAAAAACTAAAAATTGCACCTTCATACTGTAAGCAACGGAAATATTCAGCATTTCATCCTCTTTGTAATAAGCTATTATTCCAAATTGTATATTGACGTGACACCGTATTAGAGAGGCAGAAAGGGATTAATAGTGTCAAAAACCAAATCAGAACAAATTCCATTTTTTTTTATTATTTTTTTTTTTATTAAGGGATTGCGGCTCCAAAGAATTTTAAAGAACTGCATTCTCTATTAGGCTCTCTAAATTACTATTCAAGATTTATTCCAGATTTACAAGGGAGATATGCTCCTCTACACAAATTATTACAGAAGGGGTCAGTCAAAGTTAAAATGGGCATCTAAGGAAGAACAAATTATTTCGAGCATTAAAGAAAGTCTTACTGCAGATAAACCATGGGCACATTACTACCAACTAATACTTCAAAAAAGGGTGTAGGAGCATTGTTACAACATAAATACCCCGATGGAACACTTTTTCTTTTATTCATAGGAGACTTGCAGCTCATTTATTAGAGGACCTTATTTTGTATTCTACTGTTTTTAATCTTTTTCTTTTGTTTATTATATTCTTTTATCCTTTTAGCTAAGCAGCGATTATTTTGTTTCATTTGTTATTTGTAATATATATAATTGTAACATTTTGTAAATAGTCTCATTAGTATGATTTTATATAATAGTTTCTTTTCTTAGAGGTTTTTATCTACCTGTTTTTTAATATAACAGTTTTTCTGATCAGATGTTATTCTTTTCAATCTGTAACATTCTGTTATTCTTAAGGAACTTTGTACCAGAATAAAGTTACTTTCTATCTATCTATCTTTAAACAGCACTGATGGTAGGTTGTTCAACTCTAGGATGTTTCTAGTTTTAAGGTTTTCAAGAGCTTTTTCCGTATCCAATTCATTTACTTTTTTAACCTCTTGTAGGTAGAGGTCATCAGAATGGTCAAATTTTTCGTTTGCAGGTTCCATTTGAACAGGAAGCGGAGAAAAAAAAGAAGAAAAAAAACGAGAAATGTTTTTCCCACAAATTTAGTAGTATATTTTTTTATGAACAAGGATGCTATAAGTGTGAATGTTATCTATTATGTAAACAAGCGTCAGTTATATTTGAATTTATTAAATACTATTTATCTGTTAAGGATTACATTTTTAAATAACAATCAAAATGTAGTAACTGATATAATTGATCTCATACCAAAACTTTAATGATCCTAAGGATAAGAAGGATTTTAGGTGATTATCTATATTATCTACTTGCAAATTTACTTCAACATCTTAGTAAAGAATTATTTAATTGTTCACTATGATTTATGTCATCACTATACATTTCATATTAAATCATATAAAATTGCCAATAGAAATGAAATATAAAATTTAATTCATAGAGCACAGGTGATGAGAACAGATCCAGACAAGTATCTTTTTTAAAACTTAAATCTTGGAATTATTTCATGTTACTTCTTGTTCTTTTGAATCAACTTATAATAAAATGAAAGTATAATAAAATTGAAATTAAACTGTCATAAGTAACATTCAAAACTAACCATTAATTATTGTTTGAGAGCTTATTTTTATTATTGTCAAACAAAATCTTTGATAATAATAAAGAAACCTGAATGAACTGAAAACAGAGTACGTTAAAAGAAATTAATCAAGGCATTAACAAAGAAGACAACAATTTAAGTTGCAAATCTCAATCCCATGATACACTAATTACATAAGTGTGTATTTGGATTAAAACAATAAACCTAGAATCGGAATTATCTCAATCTTTCATAAATGATTTTTTTTATACCTGCATCCAGGTGTTATTTTTTGTATCGAAGAGCCTTATATCGTTGAGAGGCCCATGGGAAAGAGAATAGCCTCCAAACATCCACAGCGAAGACCTCCTGTCAGCCAAAAGAGAATGTCCAAAGCGAGGAAGCATTTTTCTCAAGTGATCCAATGAGTCAGACAAAAGCACTGAATTAAAGAGCTCGGTGAAGATCAACTGATGAGGTGATAAAGCAATGGAACAATCACGACCTCCCCAGCCGTCAACGCATAAGCATCTGCCATATTCCTAAAAGTACAAATAATTCAACATTAGTTAAGATTAGAGATGGGCAAAATTGTACTCTGAGTAAAAAGTACAATTACAGAGTAATTTACTCAAATACTCGCCCGGTTCGAGTATCGAGTACTTCAATCACTACTCGACCTCATGATTGACGAGTACAAAAAGTAATCAGTTGTCCTCGTGAGTACTTTCTATTTTCAAATCTACTCGGGAATATTTTACTCTGAGTACTTTTCAAAGTAATCGAATATTTCATTATCAAAATTACGGGAGTAGAATATTTAATATTTCTTCCATATTTAAGTCCACTATTATCTTATGGGCGTATAGTTTTTTTAAATAGTATCGATATTAATGTAAATCGATAAAATAAAGAATTATTAAAATATTTTGGATTTAATCAACTTTGGGGACATTTTTTTTATTTCTACACCACTTGACTTTTATGATAATGCTGTCGGATTTCAGATAGTGCCCCCGGGGCCTGACTTTTTGTAACTTTTCGCATTATATCGACATCAGGGTCAACTATTAGGTTTCGGGGGGTGCTTTTTATGAAAATGATGTCGGATTGGAGATTGGGGCCCCAGGGCCCCGACTTTTTTTAACTTTTCGCATTATATCGACATCAGGATCAACTATTAGGTTTCGGGGGGTGCTTTTTATGAAAATGATGTCGGATTGGAGATTGGGGCCCCACCCCAGGGCCCCGACTTTTTTTAACTTTTTGATTAAATCGATATCAGGGTCGACTAATATGTTTTGGGGGGCGCTTTTTAAGAAAATGATATAGAATTTGAGATTGGGCCCCCGGGCCCCGACTTTTTTTAACTTTTTGGATTACATCGATATCAGGGTCGACTAATATGTTTTGGGGGGCGCTTTTTAAGAAAATGATATTGAATTTGAGATTGGGCCCCCCGGGCCCCGACTTTTTTTAACTTTTTGGATTAAATCGATATCAGGGTCGAATATTATGTTTTGGGGGGCGCTTTATATGAAAATAATACCGAATTTGAGATTGGGCCCCCCAGGCCCCGACTTTTTTTAACTTTTTGGATTAAATCAATATCAGGGTCGACTAATATGTTTTGGGGGGCGCTTTTTAAGAAAATGATATCGAATTTGAGATTGGGCCCCCCGAGCCCCGACTTTTTTAACTTTTTGGATTAAATCGATATCAGGGTCGACTATTATGTTTTGGGGGGCGCTTTTTACGAAAACGATATCAAATTAAGGATTGGGCCCCCCGGGCTCCGACTTTTTTTAACTTTTTGGATTACATCGATATCAGGGTCGACTAATATGTTTTGGGGGGCGCTTTTTAAGAAAATGATATCGAATTTGAGATTGGGCCCCCCGAGCCCCGACTTTTTTAACTTTTTGGATTAAATCGATATCAGGGTCGACTATTATGTTTTGGGGGGCGCTTTTTACGAAAACGATATCAAATTAAGGATTGGGCCCCCCGGGCTCCGACTTTTTTTAACTTTTTGGATTACATCGATATCAGGGTCGACTAATATGTTTTGGGGGGCGCTTTTTAAGAAAATGATATCGAATTTGAGATTGGGCCCCCCGGGCCCCGACTTTTTTTAACTTTTTGGATTAAATCGATATCAGGGTCGAATATTATGTTTTGGGGGGCGCTTTATATGAAAATGATATCGAATTTGAGATTGGGGCCCCCGGGCCCCGACTTTTTTTAACTTTTTGGGTTAAATCGATATCAGGGTCGACTAATATGTTTTGGGGGGCGCTTTTTAAGAAAATGATATCGGAATACGAATCATTTTCATAAATTTTGAGATAGCGCACACGGGGCCCGACTTTTTGTAACCTTTCGTGTTTAATCGATATCAATGTTGATTATGAGGTTTTAGGGGACACTTTTTATGAAAATGATGTCAGATTTTTTTTTTATAAAATGCGTCCCCTAAACCATAATAGACGGCCATGATATGGACTAATTCCAAAAACTGAATCCACTGGGTGCAATCTCAAATCTGACAGTATTTCATAAAAACCCTCTTCCAAAACTTAATTTTTGACCCTGATTTCGATCAAATCTGTAATGTTACATAAAGTCGGGGCCCGGGGGGCCCAATTCCTAATTCGATATTATTTTCATTAAAAGCGCCCCCCAAAACATAATAGTCGACCCTGATATCGATTTAATCCAAAAAGTTAAAAAAAATCGAGGCCCAGGGGGCCCAATCCTGAATTCGATATCATTTTCGTAAAAAGCGCCCCCCAAAACATAATAGTCGACCCTGATATCGATTTAATCCAAAAAGTTAAAAGAAGTCGGAGCCCGGGGGGCCCAATCCTGAATTCGATATCGTTTTCGTAAAAAGCGGCCCCCAAAACATAATAGTCGACCCTGATATCGATTTAATCCAAAAAGTTAAAAAAAGTCGGGGCCCGGGGGGCCCAATCTCAAATTCGATATCATTTTCTTAAAAAGCGCCCCCCAAAACATATTAGTCGACCCTGATATCGATGTAATCCAAAAAGTTAAAAAAAGTCGGAGCCCGGGGGGCCCAATCCTTAATTTGATATCGTTTTCGTAAAAAGCGCCCCCCAAAACATAATAGTCGACCCTGATATCGATTTAATCCAAAAAGTTAAAAAAGTCGGGGCTCGGGGGGCCCAATCCTGAATTCGATATCGTTTTCGTAAAAAGCGGCCCCCAAAACATAATAGTCGACCCTGATATCGATTTAATCCAAAAAGTTAAAAAAGTCGGGGCCCGGGGGGCCCAATCTCAAATTCGATATCATTTTCTTAAAAAGCGCCCCCCAAAACATATTAGTCGACCCTGATATTGATTTAATCCAAAAAGTTAAAAAAAGTCGGGGCCCGGGGGGCCCAATCTCAAATTCGGTATTATTTTCATAAAAAACGCCCCCCAAAACATAATAGTCGACCCTGATATCGATTTAATCCAAAAAGTTAAAAAAAGTCGAGGCCCGGGGGGCCCAATCCTAATTTCGATATCATTTTCGTAAAAAGCCCCCCCCAAAACATAATAGTCGCGCCTGATATCGATTTAATCCAAAAAGTTAAAAAAGTCGGGGCCCGGGGGGCCCAATCCTAATTTCGATATCATTTTCGTAAAAAGCGCCCCCCAAAACATAATAGTCGAGCCTGATATTGATTTAATCCAAAAAGTTAAAAAAAGTCGGGGCCCGGGGGGCCCAATCTCAAATTCGGTATTATTTTCATAAAAAACGCCCCCCAAAACATAATAGTCGACCCTGATATCGATTTAATCCAAAAAGTTAAAAAAAGTCGAGGCCCGGGGGGCCCAATCCTAATTTCGATATCATTTTCGTAAAAAGCGCCCCCCAAAACATAATAGTCGAGCCTGATATCGATTTAATCCAAAAAGTTAAAAAAAGTCGGGTCCCGGGGGGCCCAATCCCAAATTCGGTATTATTTTCATAAAAAGCGCCCCCCAAAACATAATAGTCGACCCTGATATCGATTTAATCCAAAAAGTTAAAAAAAGTCAGTGCCCGGGGGGGCCCATTTTCAAATCCGATAGTATTTCTTTATAAAAAGGGCCCCCCAAAACATGATGGTTAGTCTAAGAGCGATTAATGGGGGGTTGGGGTTGGTCAGGTCGAATATGGGCGCTATTATTGAAGGAAATAAAAGAAAACATTTATACTCTATATAATAATGATGGAGTAGTTGAAAAATAAAAAGTACTCTTTGTAGAAATTCGGCTGAGTACTTTCTGTAATTCGATATAACAGCGCGAGTATTTTCTGTACTTAACTAAATCATGATTAACGCAGCGTGAGTACTCTCAGTACTCGCCGCTGTCAGGCCGAGTACAGAAACTACTCGATACTTTTTCCTAATAAAATTACTCAAATCATGAAAGTAATCGAGTACTGCCCATCTCTAGTTAAGATATTGCATAGTCAAAAGTTAGAAAAGTTATACATATTGTATTCATAAGAACAAATACTATTAGGAAAAAGTATTCATGAATTCTTTTGCACCGTTTAAATCAGCTGGTACTGACGGAATTTTCCAGCCCTGCTACAAAAGGGCATACCTGTAATTAAACCCTATCTGTTGGAGTTATTTAGGGGTAGTTTAACACTTGCATATATCCCTAATAAGTGGAGGAAAGCAAGAGAATGCTATATACCTAAGCCTGGAAAGAGTCTCATGACAATCCCAAAGCATACAGGTCTATATGCCTGACTTCTTTTCTGTTGAAGGCATTGGAAAAGATTATGGACAGACACATTAGGGATTCAATATTAGTAGAAAGACTGCTGCACTGTGCCAATTTGCCTATCAAGCTGGCAAATCCTGTGAGGCAGCGTTGCACTATTTAGTCTCTAGAATCGAGAAAAGCTTATCGCAGAAAGAGATTAAGGCGGGTATTTTCGTTTATATTGAAGGTGCCTTTGTCTTACACCATGTGATACAATGGCTAGAGCATTGGATAGTAAAGGGATCGGACTTTTGGCTTCGGAATGGATTAATTAATTGGTTCTGATGGAAGGAGTTCTTAAATCTGAGATGGGACTATCTGTACTGTGGTTTAAACCTGTTGCAGAGTGTCCACAGGAAGATATGATGTCTCCACTTTTGTGGTGTTTGGTCGTCGACTCCCTGATTGTTAAATTGAATGCGGCAGGGTTTTATTCTCAGAGATACGCTGACGATATTGCGGTAATGATAGGAGGCAAGTTTCCAAATACTATCTCTGAACTGCTCGAAAATACTATGAGACTTCTGAAAGAATGGTGCCAGAAAAATGGCCTAGGTATAAACCCGCAGAAGATAAATCTCTGTATCTTCACTAACAGAAGAAATATTAACATTAGACCACCATCATTCAATGGGTCAACATTAAATATTTGTAGTGAAGTAAAACATCTTGGGATTACTTTAGATAGTAAGTTAAACTGTGTAAATCATATTGAAAAGATTAGTAGTAAGGCTATACGCTGTTTATGGGCGTGCAGAAGAGTTGTTGGCAAATCGTGGAGGCTGAAACTGCGGTTAGACCCTTAATCCTCTATGTAACTGTAGTTTGGTGGCATAGGGCAGCTGCAAGCAGGCCTAGAGTGCTGCTTGGCAAGCTTCAAAGGCTTTCATGCCTTCTGACGACGGGAGCTATGAGCACTACTCCCACTACTGCAATGTAGATTCTTTTGAATCTGACACCATTGCATTTAGAGGTGGAAGCACATGCTCTCAGAACTGTCTATAGATTGGATAAACTAGGAACCAGATCGAAATTTCTGACGTTTCAGGGCCATGGGATCATCTTTGATAGGATTGATAGCAATGAGGTACTTGCGATGAACTCTGACCTTCAAGTCGATAATTGTGAAGATATACTATATAATTTCATGATAGGCAGGCCTTATGACCCAGCATCCAGTAAAATTTGTTACCAGAGGCATCCCAAGTTAAAACTTATTTTTTAATGTGGCGCAGATTTAAATATATAAAGAGCTATAGATAAATACATATAATATAATAGAGCTATAGATAATTACATAAATATAAATTAACCTTATCGCATTGACCACGTTTCAAATGAGAACTGCAGTTGTTAGGGCAGGCTACGAGGTTGCACAACGGCCCAGCAGCCCCTTCAGGACAAACACACTGCCCTTTCACACAAACATGTTCTGAAGGGCACTTATCTGGGCAGGAGAGGACGGATATTGTAGCATTGAATCCTCCTTTTGACTCCCCTTCCATTTTAAAATGAACAGTCATCACTCCTGAAACAGAAATAGAATTTTAGTATGTGAATACAAAATGTATTATAGGAAAAGAACCAATAAAGATTCAAAACAGATACCTGACCTGACTTAGCTTGAACTGTAATGGGATTCTGATTATCCTGACTACAAAAGACACCCAACACTTGGCTTTGGTGGTTCCCAGAAGCAGAAACAAATTTCGGGAGTCCATCGTAGACATAAACTGAATTCTCTGTACATGGGACTTGTATGTTACCATCAATAGTAAGTTCTATGACATTATTTCTAAAAACAAAAATTAATAGACCAATATACTTTAAAAAAAAAATAAAAATTTCTAAATGGTAAAAATAAGACAATACTAACTCTAACGATTGTTTTTCTTCTTTCAAAATCCATAAGCACTCTCTGGTCGGGGGATGGCCTTGCCTCGATTCCCAAATGCTCATTTCTGCCAACTTACTGCCAAGCCCCCTCGCTTCAGAGGGCGACACCATACCCCGAGACATGCACTGGTAGTAACAAGTTCCTCCTCGCCTATTGATCAAGTAAAAGTAACCTTAGCTCAATAGTACCATGTAAACAAGGTAAATAAGAAAAATTGTCTTATGCTAATATTAAAATATTCAGAAAGAGAAATTTGAAATAAATATAAAATATTCATCAGATCCTCACATATCAAATTTTCTTTTAATTTTTTCTATACATATTTAGATGTAAATTATTATAAATATAATACATAAAAGTTTGATTAATCAGAATAATTAAAATGTATTTAAATACCACAGATCACTGATAAATACTATCTATTAGGATAATATAGCGGACAGTAGAAGAAAAAAAATTAAAGGGTCATATTAGCTTTACAATAATCATTATGAACCTGATGAAGCTTAAATAGGCCAAAATTTTGTTCCAAAGAGTTGAACACCGACGTTTGAGATGGGCACAAGAAATGAATAGAACAGCCATCGGTGCTTATTATTGGCTACAAATATAGAAACAAATAAAACAGGATATCGCAGCAAGATTGTTGGATATTGGAATAAGATATTTCCATTCAGGAAACAGATTTCTTTTAACCAGCTAACTAGTAGGCAATGTTTTATCTATTTCAGTTTGTTGGAGCTAGAGCTCCGTGCAGTGTTTTTGACTTCCATTCTTTCAGCCCCTCATTGTCCATGGAAATAATGGATGCAGTAGCTAATTCTGAAGTAGCTAATTGTAACTTCTCTTCAATTAAATATTTTGATTTATTAGGTTGGTATTGAAATTAACATTTAATTATTTTAAAACTTGAATTAGAGAATTGAATAGATTAATCCAGAGTTAATACATAATACATTTTTAAAATTTTGAAAACTATGTACAAAACTACTTCATACTAAAATTTTCTGATATATAAGTCTAAAAAAATAAATAGCACAAACAATCATTCTTTATATTATTTAAGTAATGTGTTTTCATGCATTAAAAGATTCATCTATAAACGATGTATCCAGAATAAGTCTCAACTTAAGACTAATAAAATTACACATATGCTGTTTCTGAATTAACCCCGATATAACTTATTAGTAAATATACTTTATGATAATTTTGCTTTCTAAAATTTTAGTTATTACACAAATCCTCAACTCAGTTCAGTAATATTATTATTCTACACCATGTATTAGATTATTCAAAATTGTATTTTAAATATGTTATTATTCTAGAGCACGTATTCTAATATAAATAATAATAATAATAATAATAAGGCTTAGCGAACCCGAAGGTTCGATGCCGACACCACCAATCGCTTGTTACATACCTCCTTCCATCGTTCGCCGTCCAAACCCAGTCCCTTCAGATCGGCTTTAATGCAATCTTCCCACCTTCGCTTCGGTCTACCCCTCGGACGCTTGCCATTCGGCACAGCAAATATTAACCTTTTAGGAATTCTCTCGTTACCAAGCCCAACAACTTTACAAGCCCATTTGATTCGCCGCGATGAAATTACCTCAATTATATTACCCGGATACAGCTCACGCAATTCGGCGTTGTGTAACCGTCTGAACTCTCCTAATTCTAATATAAATATTAGTATTATTGTTTAATAAAACTACAATCAAAGGAATAAGTTACCTTGGATCTCCATAATAACCTTTTTTACATTTGTCACAGTTGGTTCCGATAGTGTTATCCTCACAATAGCAAACACCTGTAACTGGGTCACAGATATTCAACTCCTCTGAACCGTGATCATTGCAATTACATCTTTTGCAACCATCAGGAGATGTTGCATTACCATAACTACCAGCTCTAAAAAATTGCAAGTAAAAAAATAAATAGTTTTTAGTATTGATTGAAGTGCATAAATTAGAAATTAATTGGGGTATACATACTTGCAAAACTGACAGAACTCTCCTGTGGTCCAATTCTGGCAACTATCGCACACATTGACTCCCTTCGAACAAGTCGAATGGTTGTTACAACCGCAATTGAGAGAACAATCAATGCCGTGCCAACCGAGATCGCAATGACAAGTGTATTGTGGTGCTCCTAAGCAGTAACCGTGCACGCATTTGTTGTAGCACCTTAAGAAAACAAATGCTTAAACTTGAATAGCCTCAACTAATAATTAAAATTCATTTGTGGGCGGGGTGGCCTAGCAACTTGATAAACTCAGATAATATGATAAAATAATTATGAGCTTGCATCCCAGTGTCAATGGAGGACTTTTATTATAACTCTGGCATTAATCCGCTGCCCTTTCTCCTGTTCTGGGAAAATTCCTGTTAGCCAAAAGTTAAGGAAGGGGAGAACAAAAAAATGTTAAAATTAATTTAAATGGAATAAAGAAAAATTTGTCTTGATTCCAATTTTTTAAAAATGAATATTACGTAACTGAAACATACATTATTTTTTTTAAAATTAGTTCTACATAAATCATAATATATAAGAAATAATTATCAGTGAGAATAACTAACGACAAACCTAGGGTCCAGCCTCGGAATAGTGAAAACTGGTTTTAATAAAACGGGAAGATGTAAGCATCATTATTAAATTGAGTGATAGAAAATCCATATTAAACAGGAAGATGTAAGCATCATTATTTAATAGGGTGATAGAAAACCCATATTTCATGACTCATTTGGAACTTTTGTGAGACACTTCTATTTGTCTAAATATACCATAGAAATTAGGGTACAAAATACATGTTCCCAGACAATCTGATAAGCTGAAGATTACAAGTTCAACAATTACTAAAGATTACTTATAACAGGAAAGCAGGTATAGAACACAACAGATAGGGTATAGAGCACTACAAGTAAATAAGGTATAGAGCACTACAGGTAAGTGAGGTATACAGTACTGTAGGAAATTAGTAACTGTTTATTAAAACGAAATATAGTGAACACTAAAAAAATCGATTAGTATCAGCAAGTATTGGTTTTTATTCACTTGACTCATTGTGTTCCAATCAACAAGAAACTTTAATTTACTTTTCTGATACAGTGAAAAAAAACTAAAGAATATATCTAAAATTAAATTATATGAAAAATTCTTATATTATTGTTTTCTATTAATCTTTTCCATTGTTTAAAAAAAAGTATAAATTATCTACATACAAAAGTGTATATATGTCTCTATATACAAGCAATTTGATAACAAATAACAATACAATAAATACCAAAGATGAAAAAAAAATTACGTTTTAACACAGCTCTTCTTTCCATCACCAATAAATCCTCTCTTGCATTGGCAACTGTAAGAGCCATGAGTGTTGGTACACTTGGCGTTCTCATGACAATCATGGAGCCTCTGCTGACATTCATCAACATCTGGGCACTCATCGTAAGACCATGCAGCGTCTTCAGGATAGAGGCTTGTATTGTACCGCTTATTCACCTCATCAGCACAACTTTCTACAAGATAATATCCAACAATTATTCATAAAAGTAACCAACCATAAATCAGTTTTATTAAAAAAGATGTCTGCCAAGAAAGGCCAGTATAGCTTCCTCACTGTTTTCATTGGCTAAAAAAATATCTATATTTCAAAGTCTCTAATTTTTTGTAAGAGAAAAGCTGTTTATGGAAATACAGTAATTCCTTAACATTCGCGGTTTATATTCACTAATTTTGTTCATCAGCGAATAATAAAATGTGAAAGAGCTCCACATTTGCAAATCGTGTATTTGACAAATTGTGATTTTAAAAAAATCCCAATACATACTGAAGATGTATATCGCTATTGTTAGTGCAAAAGGTTGTATATAAAAATTGAATGTTTTACAGGAGCGTAAAAACTAATTATTTCTTTATGATTTCATAGTGTGATTTCAAATTATATTTTCCTCTGCTATTTTCCATAATATCAGACTACCTATATCAGTTGCATACTAGCAAATGTCACCTTTAGCGCTAAAAGAATAAAAATGGAAACTTGTTACATACGACTTTTTCATTTTCATTTTTATATAGATTAACAGTAGCGATATATACTTAATATGTATGTTTTCACTAGTAAAATGGATGGGGAAAAAATCCATTGGAAAAATTAAACTTTTTGGTTTGTTGGGAGTTAACGAGACAAATATTTTCTCTTAGTCAGAATAAAACTAATTTAAGCTAGTAAATAAAATTATGATTGAAGTTCACACAACTTTGATATTTAAGGAGATAATCGAGACCACAACGAGCTGATTGAACTTCAATATAAATAAACACAATCACAAATAAGCATTTTTTTACGAACTCAGAACAACAATTAATTTAAATTAATAGAAAATTACACAAAATCCAATTAATGGTAGTAAGTGTCATTCCAGTAAAGTTCGGAATTGACCTAACAATATAGTATAACTTAACTTTTTGAATAAAACCAAAATGCTATAACCTCATAAAAATATTCAATTAACCTTCTTACCCCTCTTTCATGTGATCAATGCCTTCCACAATTTCACAGCCATTATATTGTTAATAGTAATTTATATTAATTTTAAATATTAAATGGAATTAAATGAAATTTATACTAGACAGTTTCTGAACATTTCTCCAATTGAACGAGCCATTTTCAAACTATAGACTATCAAATAATATGTTCACTGATCCGAAAGTGGAAGTCTTCTTTTTTAGAGTAGTGAATAGAATTCGATAAAATTGATACTTACTTAATTATATGTTAACCAATCCCTAACTTCTCGCCAAATCAAAATAGTGGTTTTAGATGTATCATAGAAAACTCATTTGCGTATATATATAAGAGAAAGTAGAGGAGGGAATGCAACAAAATCGATACAGAATCATTATTTTTACCAAAACCTACCTTCCTCTTCCTTTAAACTTTGAGCTAAATCGAACAAAATTGTTTCTGAAATATTAGCATATCTATTAAAACACTTTTACGCATATGCAAGAGGAAGTTCTGGATGGAATTTGATAGAAGTAATATGGGATCATCTAGGCACCAACCAACATAATCCCTGAAAATTTCATGAAAATCGGATGAATTGTAGTAGATGGTATACCTGTCACATCGATTTGATTACAGACAGACATCTAACCAAATTTGATCCTGGATGTCTAAAATGTAAAATGTGAGTGGATAATTTTTTTAACCTCTCCCAAGAATACAATGCTTCCCCGTCTTCGGTAGTGCAGAAGCAAAACATTTCCAAAATCAATTGTTTGACTTAATATATAATATATACTTAATATATACTGCTCAAAAATTAATAGGGATATTGTTAGTTATTTATGATTTATTTTTCCTAGTTTTATTTATTTATTTTTTGTTATCAAATACATTGAAAATTAATACAAATAAGCAAAATTTTATAAAAGATCTTTTTAAAACATAATAAAATTAAAAGTATTTGTAATTTTGTTTTTACGATTGCAATTATGTAATGTCTTCTGTTAATCCATCACTCTACACCTGTTGGGCAAACTGTTTATAAAAAATTGTCACTGATTTTACAAGGAATTTCTTATTATAAACAAGGTAATACTGCTCTCAGTTGCGTTAGGTTAAAAAGATATAAATGGTGGGACAAAAGGCCTTCTCTGCAGTGCACTCCGCATTTGTTCAAAGCGATTGAAATGTGGAGACAATATAGGACAGCAAATTTATTTTGTGGCAAACCTAAGGAATAAATCCCCATCTTTCCCACACTGGTAAGAATAAGTTGGTTTGCTTATCAACATTAATCAAAATTAATTTGTTTAATGTAAATAAGGTGTATATTTAAATTGATTGCTTACAGGTGGGTAAGAGTTCAAAATTAATTCGTTTAATGTAAATAAGGTGTATATTTAAATTGATTACTTACCAACTTTAGCAACACTAAAATCTCCAGGGGCACAAACTCCCACAATTGGATTATCAAAATCGTAACACCAGCCACAACCAAGTGACTTTAAGCAAGACGAACAGTTGGAATGGGCGGAACAAGGCTGGCAAGCTGAGCTTTCTTCGGCAGACCTTCCTCTAAGGTCCACCCATTGCCGGCATTTACCAAACTGATATTGTGAAGTGTAGACAGAAAATGAAAAACATTCCTAAAAAAAATAAATCTAATTAAACACAATATTAGGTAAATAAAATGGTTAAAAGCATATATAAATCAATTAATAATTTTCAAGTTTACTGAAATATTACAAGCAGCGGTTATAAATTGAAATGAAATGAAAATCTCGTAATTTCATTTTAGTTAAATTTACAATGGAAAATAACAGTTTAATTACTAATAGTCCTACAATCCATAATCATTTATAGGTTAAATATTCAGATGTCCACTATTTTGGTATCGGGGACGTTTTTTATGAAAATACTGTCAGATTTGAGAATTCACATCTGCACATCAAATTTTTGTAACTTTTCGGATTTTATTTATATTGGGGTAGACTATTAAGTTGTCGGAGGAGTTTTTTATGAAAATACTATCGGATTTGTACATGGACTGTACAATTATTATCGTGGACAGCAGAACTATTATTAAGGATTGCAGAATTATTGTGACAGACTGCACACCTGTTATGAGGGACTGTACAACTATTATCAAGGACTGCATAATCACTATCATGGACTGCAGAACTATTGTCACGGACAGCAGATGGTATATTTACGTTTAATATGGTTTATTTTAAAAAGTTAACCATCTTTAAAAAACTATTTCATTGTACTCGTGTGAAAGAAGAGGTAAAATATAAAATCAGGAGATGGTCCGAGGTGGCGGTCATGAATAGGCTAAATAGTGGCAAAACTATTTTATTAAAAGCCAACGTTTCGACCCGATTTTGCGGGTCTTCTTCAGGGAGATGTGTTCAGCTAGGAGTTTCACTTAAAACTGAAGTTGAGTTCTAAATAAAACTCCTAGCTGAACAAACCTCTCTGAAGAAGACCCACAAAGTCGTGTCGAAACGTTGGCTTTTAATAAAATAGTTTTGTCACTATTTAGCCTATTTATGACCGCCACCCCGGACCATCTCCTAATTTTATATTTTACCTCTTCTTTCACGCGAGTACAATGAAATAGTTTTTTAAAGAATGTCAATGCCTTGATTAGGAGGATTTTAAATACTTTTTTTCAAACTTAAAAATATTTTAAAAGTTTACATTTAGTAAGTAAATTTAATTTAATTTCCTTGAAAACATGTGATTTATGCTATTAGTTTTCAAAAATTATTATTTATAATTTTTTTGCCACTCTCCATTACCTTCTACAGCTTTCTATATTTGATATTTTTTTTCTAAAATTCTTCGCTTTCCAACGGTATAGTTTATGTAACCGTCTGACCGGTATTTCCGGAGATTCATTTTTGACGTGGATAAGCATTTTTATTTTTTTCTCCTTTATTTACTTATCAAATTCTTTCAAAAGTTATATTTAGCACTTTTTCGTAACTCTGAATAATGTGAGATGATTACCTTTTTAAAATAAACCATATTAAAGGTACTTTAGAGGAAGACGTATATGAACATTGGGTATTTAAGCCCTGTAAAGTGACATCAATGGGGATGAGACCTAATTGATATTAAAGACCACTTAATTATACAATTATACACCGAATTTAATCAAAAACATTAAAGCTGTTTTTGAGAAAATTGTGAAAATGTGATATAAAGTGGCTCTTCCGGTTAGGTGATTTTAAGGAAAAAGTTGCCGTCACATCCAAGGCATATACCTATCTTAAATACGTAATATCAGTTTCGTACAACTTTTCGTTTTTGAGCTAGACTGCTAATATACACACAAACAGACCCACAGACCATTTTTTTGGATTTGGACTTAGGGTACCCCAAAACATGTATTTCCATTGAAAACTCAGATCCAAAAATTTTCTCAATCGCAATACTTACCCTTACTATATATTACATATATACATAAGTGAAAGTAAAAAGGTTAGCTTATCAATTCATACTTGACTTTCTTTTAAAATCAGTGTTTAATTTTAGTATAAATAGTGTACATAATAATAGTTTGTCTGAGTGTTTTGATCTGATTGTCAGTAATCCATACCTGAGATAAAATAATTATAAATTTCAATTTAATATGTTAATACTCTTATAATTTTGTTTATTATTTAATAACCTCTTATTTATTTAGGAAGTATCCCAACTTAGGAAGTGAGCTTCTGAGGTTATATTATTATTAGTTACAAATATAAGAGATAATACATTATATATATATTAATTTTTCTATTATATCTATTTGTTTACTCTGTAATTAGACTTATATATCTCTGAAGCTCAAAAGCTCACATATATATCCTTGTTTATTATTCTAAAGGAACTCATCGCAGAATAAATAAAATATTATTATTTCTGTACCCCCGGGTTAAAGAACATCATATCCATTTTTGTATTTGTTCAGGGAAGACAAATTTTCCATATCTTAGAGCAATTCAAATTTGTTTCTTAGTTTTTTTTTTTTTTTTTTTATTCATTGATATTTACAACTGTATTATAAAAAAAAATACAATTAGTAAATATGCACTCAAGAATATGATAACATGAAATCTCTTGTTGAGAAACTACCCACTGATAGCACTCAAACTAAATTATTTAATAAAAAATAAAAAATGGACATAGGATTCTTTACTGCTGGGGCACAAATATTGGGTTATGAGATTCTTGTTTTCAGTGAGATAAAGTAAAAGCCAGAGATACATTGAGTAAATACAGTGGGAACCAAGATTCTTCCAGTTTTGTCTCTCAAGTAATAAGCTATTAATCTACTCAAGTCAAACACACAGCCAATAATTAAAAAATAATTGGCTTGATCTTGATATAATTGTTTAATCTGACAATGTACATGATATAACAAAATAATAATAGTAAAGATTAGGAAGTAAAAATCAAATAAGAAGTATCATTGGAATTTAAACGTCGACTTACCTGTGTAGCTTCGCACCAGACACAACGACCATTCCCATCCAAACACTGAGAACAATCGTTCCTAAGATGACAAGCAGCTGGACAATCTTCAACAGCTTTGACACCATTTTGTGACCTATAAAATCATACTTTTTATGTAAATATTTAAATTAATTATGTTTTTGATCAGGATTAATTTATTGAAGATTTACACAACGTTTTAAATGGATAAGGAATAGAGATGGGGTATTGAAGGCCTACTATCGATATTGTCATTAATATCAGCATATAACTTTCGATACCATCAAAATATCAGACTTATACTGATAGTACATATTTTCATCGATATTATAAACATAATTGAAATATGAATATCAATACAAATATTGATTCGCTAGCACATAGGCCTATCAAAAGACATGTACTTTCCCTCTTTCAATTAATTAATGGAAATATTAATTCTCCTTAATAAAATTATTTTTCTAGTTCCTGTCCATGTTTATCCATCCTCAGCTTTTTTTCCAGAAGTTTCCATTCAACCGATTATACCGTCCATTCATCCATATATCGGATTCAGCAAAGTGCTAATTATACCGTCCATTCATCCATACATCGGATTCAGCAAAGTGCTAATTTATTTCCATCCTACATAGCTTTCTTTGACAGTTTGTGGCCTTGATTTGATTATATTCAAACTAACAAATTTGGGCAAATTTAGTTTACTGAGTGAGAAGGTTTCCACGCATGCTATTCAACTCTACTTATGGATGCCCACCGATAGTCGATATTATCAAGATATTGATATGTTTTTATACTATGCATATACATATGTATATACATTATATATGAAACAGGCAAGATGAGTATAATTTTTTTTTTTTTAATGATCAGATTCATACATAATTCTTGGTGCTCTGTGAATACAATGGTTTTAATTTTAAATTCAAATATTAAAATATCGAAGGGACGATATTGATACTCAATAATATCAAAGGTAACATATCAAATATCAGAAGGAAAATAACGATGTTTCGATAACATTGACTATCGATTGCCATCCCTAATAAGGAGTCTATATAGCATAAAGAGGAGTATGAATATATAAGGAGGAATCTATACAGCAAAAGGAAGGGCCTATATAGCTCAAGTCTATATAGCATAAAGAGGGGTCTTCATAGTATAAGGAGTCTATACAGCATGAAGAGGAGTCTATACAGCATGAAGAGGAGTCTATACAGCATGAGGAGGAATCAATATAACATAAGGAGTCTTGATAGCATGAGGAGGGACATACATAGCATAAGGAGGAGTTCATATAGCATAAGAAAGGCTTATTTAGTATAAGCTCATAACTCACCGGCCAATTCGTGAACATTTTGCTTCATCTGACCACCACTCACACAATCCACTTTCGATACATGAATAACAAGTGATAAAATTACTACAGTTATCACACGTTCTTGGCATAAGGGTGAGATAGTGCCATTCGCCATCAAGTCGGCAAATCTAAAAGAAAGAAAAATTCTATGATACAAATTTTACTTAACCAACTTTGAGTATAAATAGGAAAGAAAAAGTACAAATTATATCCATAATAACTAGATTTCAACAGAAGTTTTTTTTTTTTTCAAAAACTTTATTAGAAAATAAAATTTATATCTATAGAGAGTAAACAAAAAAGAATTTACTCAAAATGTCCCTCTTTTGCCTCGACACAGGCATTTAATCTCAGTGGCCAGTCATCAATAGCAGCACGTAGCACGTTTTGAGGAAAGCACTCAACTGCTCGGACCAGATTGTTTGAGGCTTTCAAAGTTAGGGTGTGCTCTATGGCATGCCATCCTCTCTAGTTGGGACCAAAGCCTACTTACCAAAGACTACTATGGCTAAAATTTTGATAAATTGCTTTGTACGATTCATCTTCGGGGCCCCAAGGGGTGCCCCTGTTTCCTGTTTTTATGAAGAGTTGAAGTGGCTTTATCCTTCCTACAACCATAAGAATTTCCTGGCATCCTTCCTCTTCCAAGTCATTCACTCCCGCTGTCCTTTATATATCTCAGAGCTCCTTCAATTTATTATCCTCTGCGCACTCCCGCAATACCCGTTCCTGGTCTTCAGATTTATATATAATGGCCCACCGAAACGCTGCTTTCGATAATTTTTTTGTTATTCGATCCTTGTCCCTATGGAACTCCATCCCTTCTGACATCAGTCATTCCAATACTCTCCCTACTTTTAAATCTCACCAATTCAATCACTTCCTTTCCATCCAGTCCCTATAATCTTGTAAATAGAAATTTCTGTAAATATGTATATATATTATTAGCTTATTTTCATTTCATTGTTCTTTCATTTATTTATTTTTCTATTCTCTTCTATTCTATTTATTTGGATTTAAGTTGGAAGATTTTTTTTCCCATTATACCTATTAGTTTACTTTGTAAATACATTTATATACATCTTAGGCTCAAAAGCCCACATTTTTGTCCTTGTTAATTATTCTAAAGGGACTCGTCTCAGAATAAATAAAAAGATCATTAAAAAAAAAAATAATAATAAATAATCTAATAAAGCCGATAACCTAGTGGCTTGAGATCAGGTCTTCCTGAGGGCAAATCCGAGGCAGAGTTGAAATCTGGAATGTTCTTTTGCAGCCACTGCTGAGTTGACCTGGCCTTGTGAGCTGGAGCGGAATCCTGCTGGAAAACCAAAAGACTTCCAGCAAACAGAATATCATTTAGAGGCTTGACACAACAGGATCCAAAATATCGTTCTGATAGTTTTTAGCAGCTGTTTTAGCTCCTTTTTATAAAAAGTAGGAAAGTAGGAGTCTCGTTTTTGAACAAGGCTGTTCACTAACACACTATTTTGAGAAACTTGGGCTCAGGAGAACTCAAATTTTTCATTACAGCAATACTTTCTCTAACTATATATACCATATATAGATCAGTGAAAGTTACAATATTGGGCAAGAGAAAAATATTTTATATAACATTGAAACCAGGCTTCAACTTTTTGGCTAGTTGGTGAGGAAGGAATACAAACAACCCTCTCCTGGAATAACCATATTGCCCATATCTCTCGACAGTCAATTTGAACCCTTAAATTATTCCATCGCTTCCACCATTTCCTACCTATACCCACATGTAGACCCCTAGTAGTGGTGTACGGTGGTCTCTAGGTGGAACTCGGGGACAGACTAAAAAGAATTATGAATATCTTAGAAAGATTTGTCAAAGGGACCCCAAGATGCTCCCGTGTTTCCCACTATAATGCCCAGTTGAGGTGGCTCTTCCCCTCCTTCAGAAGACAATACTTCCTTGGCACATTCCTTTATCAAATAATCAACAATCATCACCTGTCCTATGTATACAATCTCCTTCAATTTAAATCATCTATCCACTCCCTCTCCACAAGATTTTGTCCTTCTGTCCTTTACACCCCTTTCCACAGATCAGCTTCATTTCAACATTCCTTTATCGTCTGCTCCACCATCTTTAGGAATTCCACCCCACTTAAAATTTGCCATGCGCCATCCTTATCCACATTCAAAACACTCTTATTCCAATTCCTCTTCACAATCCAATCAGACGCTGGTTAATTATGTATTATGTAACAAGGATAATTTTTTTTTTCTTTTCATACACCATTATTTTATTTTTTGTTTATTATACAATATTGTGATCCCGTTGCTCATCTTCTGTCATTAATACACCTTTAATCTATATATATATATATATATATATTGTATGTATAAGCTGTTTCTGTTTTAACATAAAAAGTCAATAATTTTTATTTACTTACTTTTGATATTTTTTTCTTTTCTGGAGGTTTTTTTACTTTTTCTTTCTATACATGTAATTCTTTTTTTTTTTTTTTTTTTACCAGTACAATTATAAATATAGTTGAGAAGATTTTATTATATTTTTTAGCTGTTTACATACTATTATTTAAGTTGTATATATTGTTTGAATCTTTATTAAGTTGGTTTTTGGCCAGATATGTATTTTTTATTTTGTAACTATTCATTATTGTTATTCTAAGAGAACATTGTCCCAGAATAAAGTTTATTTTCTATTCTGAGATAATTTAAAATTCTCTTGGACAAGATCATCCTTTCTCGAAGTAATTATGGCTCCATTTTTGAAGTAGTAAGTGATTCAACACTTCTAAAATCATTTTCAATATTATAAGAACTGTTGGGTTACTATTATGAAAACCTTGCCTGCTGTAATAAATAAAAACCTAACATATTGTATTTATTTTATATCAATGATATCATTGACTTACCACCATATCACACTGAATACAAGATGCAACAGTTTTTTTGTTGCTGTAGTAAGGAGATGATGAATAAAATAATGAGGAAATATTGTTATAATATTTTTGAGGAAAAATAACTTAAAATAGTGGAAACTCTTCATTAAGGCTATGTTTCGACCCAACTATGCAGGTCTTCATCATGACGAGAAAGAACAAGCAACAAATTTGTAGAATAATAGTTATAAGAGAAAATTAATGAGCAAAGAGATTAAAAAAATAACTGTCAAAATAAATAAAAAATAATAAGGACAAATAGTATTCAAATATAAAACAAAGTAACTGTTACAGAGAAGCTAAAATTGGTAACAATATACCAACTGATTAGGAATAACCAAATACCAAAATGAAGTAAATCAATCATTCTCTTTATGGTAAGATTGAACTTTTAAAATAATAATAATATAAATATAAAATAAAATCTTACTTGAGTTTCATTAACTGATCTATCCAGACAAGAGCTAGTTAGAGGACACCAACCACACTTAGAATCTGTAAGGCACGCAAGGCAATTTGTATAAATTGTGCAAGGTTCAGTCCCTTCATAAGATTGTAAATATTCAAAGGTAAACACCTATTAAGAAAACAAAACAAAATAGTAAATAAATAATTAGATAAAATATGAGCGTGTAAATCACCTATTAAAAGTTAATTTTAAATATTCCTTTTGGCATGAATTGTAAATATTCTTTTCGTTTTTATCGGGGGACTAGGTTATTTACACTCGTGAATATTAAAACAAAACTCTGGCACTGGATATAGACTTTTTGAGGGTGTTTAACTGTTGTTGGGAATTCGGGAACCTAATACCTTTTGTGACATTGAGTGAGAAGAAACAATAAGAATATATATCTGAAATGTGGGACTTAGTAAATACACTTTGAATGAATTGACTCGCCTGGTTTGTTATTCTTCAATTGTGAGGCATATAGGACAACTAAATAAATAAATGACTTTTCACTCGTGTATAACAAACTAATTTATTTCTACAACTGTAATAAATTGACTCTATTAAAGTGTTATAACTTTAGACTTGATCTTCTAAATGTTGTAGTAGACTCTCTTCCCAGGTATGTCGTTCCGCCTCAATGTCTCAGCCTCAAGTGCCTTCTCTCTTCTCTGGTGTCTTTCTCCAGCTGTTGCTACCTGCTCCGACCTTTTTCAAGCTTCTTCCTTCTTCATCACTTGTTTATCGATATAAGACTTTTCAATGAATAATTTGTCCACTGCGTAATTGAGTACAATTCACAGTGCAACCTCACATTCCTATTTATTTCTTCTCATTCCCTCACACAATGTCATCTAAAGGAGTGAATACAGGGGGATGCCTACTACAAGCGAATATCAAAATAAAGTTTAATACCAAACATAAATAAATTTAATAAAACATACCTTTGACATTTCACTCATTTTATAGTTGGTTTTGTTGCTATGAATAAGCTCCATTTTAGAATTTGAGGGTATTTCATCGTTCTTGACAGATCTTTTTGCCTCGAAATCTATTTCATATGAACCATGCTTCAGTGTGACTGGTCTTGAGCTCATGGAATTATCCTTAATATTGCTCCAAACAGCTGTTTTGCACTCGTGTGCATCAGAACTCAAGTTTCCAACTAATTCCTAAATTAGAAATATGTTAAATTATTCAGATCTTATTAAAAATGTTTCTTAAGAATGAAAACAAAGATGTTTGTCTTGGTTTTATATAAACATGTAGTAACAGTAGGATGGCCCTAATTTTCTTATTACACAATCTAATTTTTTTTTTTTTTTTTAAATCTAAAAAAAGATCTCCATGGTGATTGCTGTAACAAATTAGGTCAGGTGAACACCTAGATTTTTCAAAGAACTGGATAAATGACAGAATGTTGTTCTAGCATTTTCACAATTTCTCGTTTAGTTCTTATTCCAATTTTTCTATTTTATAAAGACCATATAGACTAAGATGTAAAGACCATGTAGACCAAGCTATAAAGACCATATAAACCAAGCTATAAAGACCATATAGAGCGAGCTATAAAGACCATATAGACCAAGCTATGAAGACGATCCTAGAACTACAAGTAAGTTACTGTCACTAAGCAGAACAGAGCCAGTGATCTCTGGTTTTACAGATCAAAGGGCATTACTCTAACATTTTACATAGGAATAAAATGATAATTATAATTTGTAAAATAAATATAAATAATTAAATGATTAATTTTGTTCCAATTCCCAATTTCAGGCTCAATGCGTTATGGATTAATATTATAATGTAGACCAAATATTTTGAAGAAATTTACACAAGATCAATTATCACAAGAAATGAATGTAAGGAGTTTTATATATAAATTATTAAGTTTATTTTTCACTTGTAAAAATAAAAGCCAACCTAATATGTAGCTCTGCTTCTCGCACCCTCACACCCGCTGTTACTCTCCTGGTTATACTATCTTGATTCTAAATGTTTAATTTGGACATATATTTTATTTCATAAATATTTGGCAAACAATTTAGGTCAGGAATATTTCTCCAAAAATCCAGAAACATGTCGCGGACCAAGAGTGAGAGCCCTCTACTCTAGCCTAGAAGTGATAGAAGATAAACAGTACATGCAATCCAGAATCTAAAAAGGATAGACAGCAGGAAGAGATGGTATTGCTCCAGAATATTTGAAATATGGAGGACAAAAACTCCTTAGAACACTTTAAAAGCCCTTTCAGGAAATATATAACAGAAAGAGATTTAACAAGGACTGGTAATATAGCATAATCCTTCAATTTATAAAATATCTAGTGCAGTCACACAACTTTCACTTACCATTTTCTTCTTTTAAAAGGGCATTGTCAGTTAAAAGGGAAGTAAATGTAAAAACGACGGAATAACTCCATTTAAAACAATTAATTACTATTTTTTTCCCACCAATCAAATCTGTTAAATTTATATGTTTGCATCACATTCCATTTCCTTTTATGACTGTTAATAGTATCAAAAAATACTAATTGAGTTTTTTTCAGAAACATTTATCACGAAACTAGTCAATAAAAATAATGTTATTAAATATTATAAGTTTTAAATTAGAAGATTCTCAACATTTTGCATAATTTGCCGTTTAGCATCCAACCCTTATTTCTCCTTTAGTTATCAATCAATTTTCTTCATTCATTATATTTAAACATTTTTTATATCACTTTATAATGTGAAATAGTTAATAGTTAATTATTACAAAAAAAAATTAAAGGTACTTTAGAGGAAGAAATTTGGAAATTAGGCATTTTAGTCCTGTTAGAGAACATCGATGAAAATAAAATCTACATTATATTTAAAACCCCTTAATTTTACACTGATATAATGAATTAAATTAAAATCGTTAAGAGCCATTTTCGAGAAAATTGTAAAAATGTGTAAAATCGTTGATATAAAGTGCCACTTTCCCAAAAGTTGCTATAACATCCCAGGCTTATATAAAGCTTAAATATCTTTTGCTCGGGTAACTTTAGGGCCATGGTTCCTAATAATAATTTTTATAACTTCTAGGGGGACCAAGAACCAAGAACCTCCAAAAGATACTGGAGTTGAAAACAAAAAAAATTTATTAGAACTGTTGAAAACAAAAAAAAAATTATTAGAACTGTTGAAAACAAAAAAAAAATGATTAGAACTGTTGAAAACAAAAAAAAAAAATTATTAGAACTGTTGAAAACAAAAAAAAAATTATTAGAACTGTTGAAAACAAAAAAAAAATATCTCGGAAATAGATGATTGTGATTTGTCTCCTAATTGCCCCCTCTTCCCCCACTGCCTACAATCGATAATTATAAGGGTGTTTTAAGCTAGGATGTGAAACAAAAAAGTTTTTGAAATTCTAAGCTTCAAAATTTGTTTTTGCAACTTGCGAGACTTATATCTCTTTTTCATTTAACTTTAGGGCCATGGTTCATTACAACAATTTTTGCAAGTCCTGGCGGGAGGGAGCATAAGAACTTTCAAAATCAAAAAAGAATTTTTGACTCACTTTCTGATCGAACATCCCTTTGTTGAAAATTTATCTCGGAAATAGATGAATCTGATTGGTGTGCTAATTGGCTCCCGCTGAGTACAATCAATAATTATATGGATGTTTTAAGCTAGGATGCAAAACAAAAAAGTTTTTGAACTTCAAAGTTACAAAAGTAATTTGTTTGCAACTTGTGAGGCTTTTATCTTTTTTTTGGTCAATTTTAGGGCCATATATCTTTTGGTCGGTTAACTTTAGGGCCATGGTTCATTATAATAATTTTTATAACTTCTAGGGGAACCATTAGAAGGATCAATTAAAAAAAAAAAATTTCGACCAAAATTCTGATCTAACTTTCACCAAGTGCAAAAGGGTGGAAATTTATCTCAGAAATGGATGATTCTGATAATTATCTATTGTACTCAGCGGTGGGGGAGGGAGGGGACAATTGTAATCATGCGTTTCTGAGATATATTTTCACCCTTCAATATAAAAAGAAGTTTATCAGAATTTTGGTTGAAAATTATTTTTGAATTTTGAGAGTTCTTAAGGACTCCCCTAGAGTTCTTAATCTTCTTAATTAAAAGAAATTAATCCTCTTTTGTTTAGAGAGTTTTGATAGCCCTCCAAGGAGTTTTAACAATTAGCCTAATGAACATCAGCTGTAAACTATTAACCAAATTATAAGACTCATAAGTTACACAAATAAGTGTGATTCTAGTTTTTCATAACTTTACTCGAATTTTTTTTTATTAAAGGCTTCAACCACTAATTGCCTTACATTGCTGTGCACACATGTTAGCCCGTTCCGCCACCCCGCCCACCATATATTTATATTATCCTGTAAAATGATGTGTAGATCATTTGTCAATTCACAAGATAGTCTAAATGCATTCTGTTAAAATGTGTTTCACTGTCAAAGGAGTCCCACAGGTTTGGCATGTTGGCGAAGAATCACGATATCCATGGGTAAGGCGTGTACAACCTATACGTAGACGCATAAGAATTACTTCCGAAAAAATGAATGACTACATTTTAATTTTTGAGAAATTCCATGAACCTGATTGAAGCAATATAGCCATAAGTCCACATACTAAAAACCAAAAGGAATTGTTAGACCAAATGGTTAAAAGTCTGGGTATTTTAACATAGCTAGGGAGGTCAAACAAGGTGATAGTCTTAGCCCCTTACTGTTCATACAATATATGGATGAAATGAGAGTTATAAAAATTTGGTTCTCGCGAAAATACTATGAGGATGATGTTCTCATAACAGATTCTGCAGAAAAGTTACAGCTGATATTGACGGAATGGTAAGGAGAGCTCCGTAGAAAAGGAATGCTAATCAATACTGACAAAAGCAAGATCCTTCAGATAGAAAGGGTACAGGAAAATGTTGAAGAGTTTTGTAACGGATAAAAAATGAAAGTTGTTTCAAACTTCACTAACCTCGGAACAGTCTGGGAATGTAGATTCAGAAATCTTACAAAAGATAAGTAAGGCAAACTCAATCTATTACTAATGTGCAACACTGTTATTGGGAAGTGAGAGCTCGGTAGAAACGTAAAACTACACATCTTTAAGTCAGTAAATCTGCTTGTACTCCTTCATGGAGATGAAAGCTAGATACTTACAGACAAAAAAAAAGCAGAGAAACACCTGAAGAGATAAATTTTACCTGAAGAATCCCTGGAAAACAAGAAGAGACTGCATCCACAATGAGAGGATCAGGGAGGAACTGAGAGTCGTCTTGGCGAAGGAGATCCTAGAAGCTCATCAGCTGAGACCAGAACTGAACTGATTTGCCCATGTCATCAGAATTGAAAATTACCGAGATCTACTGAAAAATATGGATTATGCCCCTGACAGAAGGCCTAGAGGCCGACCAAGAATGTCCTACATAGAATAGGATGTCGACCGTTTGTGCAAAAGAACAGGAAAATATCTTCGTCAAGCAAGGAACTTGGCAAGAAACAGAATAGAAACGCTCCCCTAAGGTGATAGGCACAGCAGAGCAACACAAAACAACAAGAGAATTCTCATGTATGTCAAAAAGATGAATATATCAGAAAGAATGGTAAGATTATTTGTTAAGACTCACCATTCCTCATGTCATCTACATCTACATTATACTATCCTAATTGATCTGGAATTCTTTCTACAAAACATTACAAAAAACTAACGTTTTTCATAGTTGCGCTAACTAATTCAATTTTAATTGAGTGATATTATACATAGTAAGAAACAAATACATTTTAACAAGAAACTAGTTTAGTGGCACAATACAAGAATATATAACTAATAAATATTTTCCTACATAAAACCAACAAAGAAAACACAACATACTACAGATGTATTGCCATAGCCAAGCATAAGAGTGCCAGAGGAATATGAAACACACATCATTAGCTCTTCTTCTTTATGAAGCCAATTTTCAGGTATTCTTAAGAAGCCACGAAGGCTAGCCGTGATGAAACCTTTCTTGCTTAACCTTTGCTCAATGCGACCGCTCGGACCAATATTGAAGTCTACAGACGTAGAATTTATGATGCTCACCTGAAACATAAAATTAAAATGTTAAATATTTTTAAAAAATCCACATCAATTATGGAATATAGTATAGCTGAATTTGATACAGTATTTTATTAGGAATAATCTATAATTTAAAAGAATAAGTTGCTCAGCCTCAATACTCTGTAAGACAAAACCTAATTTTAAATGTGCAAAGGCAGGCTATGTACATATATATTTTGTATTTTCGATTACTACCTACCTCGTCATTTATAGAATACGATGGTAGAGGGGAGAGGGAATTTTCTAGAGCTACAACCAGCTATTCTAACCAGAGTGGAAAGGTTGAGTTTCATTCTATGGGTCCGCTATGAAATAAATTTCAATCCCTCCAGGCCTGTTTCCGACTCTATACATAATGTACACATATTATGTAATAATATACTATAATATATTCTAATTGGTCCTTTTTACATTACAAATCAAAGAACTGTTATCTACCCAGCCATAAACCATAAAAGTGATATACCCAAGTAACGAGACATCAGAAGACTGAGTGAGCGTCAGATAAAAAAACTTAACCTGTGAGTAGGTTCAAACTTCCATTGCTTAGAAAAGTATAAAGTACATTTCGAGAACAATTTATTAGCAATGTATTGTCGAGACTTCAAATGCTAAAATAGCACTATGAGCTCCAACAAAGAGATCTAAGTATGGGATTAGCTTATATTCAGCAGTAATACTAATATACAGTTGACATTTATTTATTACAATTATGAAGAAGAAGTATAGACATTAACACATTCATATATTTTAGTGAAATTGTTAACAAAATAATAATGATGACTAATCTTACATAATCAGGTTGAGATATGTTGGCAGGATGTAAATATTTTATGAATGTTAGTCCTGGTCGCCTGTCCAGAGCTTTACATTCTTTTGGATCTATTATCTCAACACCTTTATCGCCCCACCAACCAGGAACTTGAGAAGGCGTCTCTTCGGAAACTCCACACACTCCAAAAGTATCTAAAAATAAAAAAAAATTAAAATTAAAGCATGAATAAAATTTATGTTGGAGAACTAATCTTAGGTTTCTGAGCTGAATTTGTTTTTGTTTTTTTTTGTTTATTGTCTGCATCTAGTACTAATTTTAAACGTATAAGCTTGAATTGGCATCAGAAAGTTAAAAACCATCAATATCAAAACATTTTATGAAGGAGCTAATGTAACTGATAAAAGCATAAGTATTAGAGCCTATTTTCTAGGCAAGGAGACAGGAGCAAGGAATTATTGATATTGTCAAAAGTTCATCAAAAACTTAAAATAATAAAATAAGGTGTTGAAAGATTTTGTAAGGATTAAGTTTTTGGATGACGAAAGATCACGTTGAAAGCTGCTAAATGTTGAGACCCGCTCAACTAGGTACGAATTATAATAAAATGAAATCCTATTGATATACTAGCAACCAACCTGCCCCACCAACAATGAGTTTTTGAAAAAGAGGTTTATATTTTCTGCCTTACCTTGCCTACTCCTAGGCACAACCGCAGTTTTACACCAGTTGACAAAATAGTTTTTGCCTCCTAGGCATGTCCAGGGGGTTAGGTCAGTCTACAAAATAGATTTTGGCCCGCCTCGCCTCCTCCTAGGCACGCCCGTGGAGTTAGGCTAGCCTACAAAATATTTCTGCCTCTCCGTGCCTCCTCCTAGGCACTTCTGCGTTGTTAGACTAATCTACAAAATATTTCTGTCTCACATTGCCTTATCCTAGGCAAGCCCACAGGGTTAGACCAGTCGACAAAATAGTTTTTGTCTCCTAGGCATGTTCATGGGGTTAGGTCAGTCTACAAAATATTTCTGCCTTTCCTTTGCTCCTCCTAGGTATGCCCAGGGGGTTAGGGCAGTCTGCAAAAAAATTTTGTATCTCCTTGCCTCCTCCTAGGCACTTCTGTGTGGTTAGACCAGTCTACAAAATATTTCTGTCTCGCCTTGCATTCTCTTATGCACGGCCATGAGGTTAGTCAAATCTGCAAAATATTTTTTTGTCTTGCCTTGTCTTCTCCTAGGCAGGCCCTTGGGGTTATGTAACTCTACAAAATATTTCTGCCTTGCCCTATTTCCCTCCTTCTAGGCACGGCTGTGTCGTTAGACCAGTTTATCTTAATCCAAAATGCAAGAAAAGCTTCTAAATTTTTTTGGAAAATACTTTTATCTATTATCCAATACTTTTAATGAACAAATGTATTATATATTATTAATAGGATTAAATTTTTAGATGAGGAAGGCATGGATTAAATGAAATAGTTGAATAATAATGAAATAAGAACATATTCTGTTTGTCTGGAGATAGATTATAAAACATAAATCTTAGAGAAAGGAAAATTACCGTTATTCCATCTAGCCAAACCAATACGGAAAATAATCTCATTATATCAATAAAAATAATAATCTGCGAGAGGCTGATTTAGAAAATGTGATCTTTGTTTGTTGAGGGAAGGTGGGCAAAACGATGAGGTTGAGGAACCTGCTCTTAAGGAAAGGTCACAATTTTCATGTTTCTGCTTATATCTCGAAACGCTCAAAGTTATAAATTATAAACTTAAATCATCGAGGAAAATAGTCAAATAATAAATGAAAGCTTATGAAATTATCTAAAACTTTACTTTAGGTTTTTCTCAAACTCTCAACTGCTTTCAAGCTCTACGCTTGGAAAAGTTGACACTTTCGAAAACAATATTCTTCATCAAATTTTCATTCAAACTGCACGTACTCATAAATGGCATAGTTATAGGGCTATAATAACGTTTATGGTAAATTATTTTGATTATATTTATGAAAAAAATATTAATGCAATAATTTAACTACCCAAAACGAAATATATTTTTTTGAAGTGAAAACTTCTTTAGACACATTTTGTACTTTTTTGTGGAGAGTGAATTAGATTGATCCGTCAGATTTTAATGCTCAGATAAAATCGGCTATAGTCCAATAATTGATATTTTTTTACAATGGTTTAAAATATCTTAGAAACTAAAAATCGGGCCTGCATACTGTATGCGAGGAAATTGTTCACCAGTTCATCCTCTCTGTAATAAGCTATAATTCAAAATTATATCTTAACACGACGCCGTGTTAGGGAAGCGAAAATGAAAAAAGAGTGACAAAAACCAAATGATAACGAGGTTAGCTGAATAAATGGATTAAAATATTTCAAATACTAAAAATCGGACCTGTATACTGTAAGATAGGGAAATGTTCAGCATTTCATCTTCTTTGTAATGAGCTATTATTCAAAATTGTATTTTAATCCAACGCCGTGTTAGAGAGTAGGAGAGGGAAAAAGATAGTGTCCAAAACCAAATGATAACGACTTTATGCTATTATATGGTACAAATGCTAATATTATTACAACATTGAAATTTTATTTTCACAACATTATTAATAATATATAAAAAATAAAAGAGAAATAATATAAATAATAATAATAGCAGAAATTCTCAGCCATAATGGAAAATATATAATAATATAACATTATACAACCTTCCAACAGGAGATTTCCACATAAATATTATAGTCGTTGGATACATCATAAACTAGTAAATATATAAATAAGTAAATTATAAATCATTAAGGGCAATCTTAGATTGACCTTGCGTTGATGTCTATATTTTATGCAATAGAACTTTGTTATTAACTTTAAAAATTTCTTATTAAATGAAATTAAACTAATTAACTTTAATTATAATACATGGATTAGTAAAGTTACATAAAGTGGCGCTCCACTTAGTCCTATCATCAGTAATATCAGTAAGGAAACTGAAAAAATTGGCTAAATATCTCAATTCCACAAACAATAACCAAAAATCAGATAGTAACTATGATGTAAAAAACTCAATGGGGTTGTAGCAAATGCTTGAAAGAATAAACAGACAATAATAGACATTAGATAAATATTATTTGGTCTGTTTTGATGTAGAAAATTTATTTACGAATATCAACTGGAAAGATTTTATTAAAAGTAACTAAAAAATACTGGGATACAATAGAACTGCATACCCATAATAAAGGGTTTTATGGAAGATATAGATTAAAATATCTCAGAAGCTAAAAATCGGACCTGTATACTGTAAGCGAGAGAAATGTTCAGCATTTCATCCTCTTTATAATGAGACATTATTAGTCTCACCTTGTTGCTGTTTTCACTTATATCGTGTGGTCTAAAGCACATCTAAAGCACACATTTTAGTTTTTTATACATTCTATATTTTTTCTGCAACGCTTTAGACTCTCTCTATTGTAAAAAAATATATAATTACTGAATTAAGTTTTGTTATTATAACTATATATATTTTTACTTGCGATAACTATTGACCAACACATACATACTCTTTATTCCCAATTGCATAAACGACGTGGCCATAATTGTCATCCCTATCAGAAGGTGACTGAAAAGAAGCTTGATGAGAGATCTCCTTTCCTGAATTAAGGAAACAAATATTGACCGGCAAAAGATAAAAATATTTTGAAAAATTAATATGTAAAAATATTTTTATCATAAATATAATATTTTGTAAACAAAATATATAACTATAATAAAAAACGTCTTAAGTGGATAAAATATAAATTGAATCCATATAAAGTTGAGTGTCAAAAAAATGATAAAAACGATTTTTCCTGAAAATGAAAATATTTTACGAAAAAGTTTAAAATAGCTATAACTAGGGATGGACAATTGCGACTACAGGTCGGAATGGAATGGAACCTTCTGCCACTGGAATTCGTCTCAGTTCTCATTCCGTTCCATTTCATCTTCGTTACAAATAACACTTGAAATGCGATAGAGAATAATGAAGCAAATATACGTAATACTAAAACTATTTAAAACGACGGCAAAATCATTGAGGCAGAAAAAAATGAAGATAAACGGAGAGAAGTATAGAAAAATTAAGAAAAAAAAAACGAACTGGAGGCTTTAGGAACATTGATGAGAGCCCAAGAGCAACCTTATCCGAAAGAGACACCTGAATCAAAGGCAATTAAACAGCTATTTAGCTAAGGATATTATATACAATAAAGGGGAGTCTATCAAGTGGTAGTTTGGTCTTCAACATCAAAGAAATGTTGAGTATAGTCGCCACTTCAGTTCCATGCCAACGAATCTTTTCAAAAAATAGCATGTTTGAGGGCTTTCATATTGTTAGTTTAACTTTTGTGTATCACTTATTCATAATTGTTTAAAAAGTTCTTCACGCGAAATGATGAGGATCTAATAATATTAACCTAATAATATACAATATTTATTATTATTATATTATTTTTCTGACAAGTTTCGTTATAAATGTTCCCGATAATACACAGAATTTTTCAAAAGATATATTTTTCTTCACAATCATTAGTATTGTTTGATGCTATTCAAAGCCGTAATAGGAAACAGAAAGTGATGCAAACGTATAATTTAACAAATTTGATGGGTGAGAAAAATGTGATAATTACTGTTTTAAATGAAGTTATACCATCGCTTCCACTTTGACTTCCCTAAATATGAAAATATCTAACTACTCTAAGCAGTAAGTAAGTAGAAGTTGTGTGACGCGCACAATGCACCAGATTTTTTTATTTGTTTAAGGGAGCCAATGTTCCATAACTTTGAGCTATTAAAATTTGTTTTTTAGTTACTAAATCTGTACCCTGGAGGTTAAGAACACCATGGCACATTTTTATATGTGTTGAGGAAGACGATTTTCCATAACTTTGAGGTTTTAAAATTTTTTCTTAGTTACTAAATTATTTAATAAAAAAATAGATTCAGTGTTCTTTATGTCTGGAGTACAGATACAAAATGAAGAAACAATAACAATTTTTTTTTAAAAATCCATAAAATACTAACCATGTACATGATGGCACTTAGCATTGTGCACACACCATACGCACTGCCCGAGGGACAGTTTCTGAGCGACCGACGAGGTGGTCGGGGCCTGAGTGGACCCTTGGAGGAGACAGGCCTGGCAGGAGTCCAAGGCAGGGCAGATACCTGGGCAGCGAGTGGTCAGCAAATTGGTCGTGCAGTTCACTCCCAGCGTACGCCCGTAGCAAGTCTCAGGGGCGGTGCACCATCCACACTCTGGGTCTGAAGTACACTCTGCTAAATTTTTGTGCCTAGGCAAAAAAAAAAAATGAATTAAATACATACATCTACAATATGAGAAGCAAATTTGACATAAATCATTTAGAAAACCTAAACCAAGACAAGAGTTTATAACAAGATTATTAATTTGGAGGGTCATTAAGATCAGATCACTTGGTTAAATCAAAGAGCAATTTACATATAAAACAAATTTTATATTTTAAATTATGAACATTTAATAACACAAAATTAGTATATATTTATTCTATTTCATAAGTTACTATACCTAGCACATAGTTGTTCAGGTTCATAAGGATCTCCAGGTTTTAAAGCTAATGTTCGAGGAAATGCATACACTAAAAGATCAGAATTTACATTTCCGTGATATCCACCAACTAAAATCATGTTATCTCCATTCCTCAAAGCTGCAGCATGTGCAAACATTCCTTGTTTTTTGGGATACGTAGAGCCTGTAAAAAAAAGTGGGAAAATTTATGATACAGCTTCATAAAAAAGATTATTGAATAGTTCAGTGAAGTAGATGGCCGCTACCTACTCCTTTAAGTGACACTGAGTGAAGGAATGAGTAGGATCCATGGTTGCAATATGAATTGGACTCAATTGTGCAGTGGACAAGGGAAAAATGTCAAGTGTATAAACAATTGATGAATGTAATGAAGGTACACTACAAAGAAAGGAAGAAGCATGGAAAAGTGTCCTTGAGGCTTCACTTGAGGCTAGGACTTGAAGACTAAATGGCATGAGGGAAACCCACTCCACTGAAGCTTAAGAAGACCAAGCCTACAGTTATAAGACTTAATAAATTCATTAATTACAGTTGTTAAAATAAATTATCTTTGTTATACAGGAATGAATGTTTCCTTTTATTTAGTTGTCCTATATGCCTCACAACTGAAAGATGACAAACCAGGTGAATCAATTCATTCAAAGTATGTTTGCTCCATGTAACATTCCATATATATTATTGTAATTTTCAATGTCACTAAAGAATTAGGTTCCCGAAGAGTGCCGGCCTTAGACATTCGGTGCCCCTGGGCAATGATGTCATCTCACCACTAAAAAAATTAAATTTATTTCTCAAACTATTTTATATTATTGAAGGAAGTTAGTTGACTATTCTACATATCATGGGTGATAAATATTCAGGAGGCAGTCTTTTTTTTAAAAAAAGACTACGTCCTGAATATTTATCACCCATATTTTATATTATGTAATATTTGAATTTTATTCCACTCGTCATTTCTCTAATACAGCTGGTTTATTGATAGACTAAAATAAATCAGTTTAATACGCTTTGTATTTTTTTTTTATTTCAAGCAAGCGCCCCACAAGATTGGCTGGTGCCCCCAACGTCAACCCTTCAAGATCGGCGCCCCTGGGCGATTGTCCCGGTTGCTCCACCCTAAGGGTGGCACTGTTCCCGAATTCCCAACCAACAAGAGTAAACACCCTCAAAATGTTTATCCAGAGCCAGAGTTTTGTTTTAGAAATTAAAATTCACGGGTGTAAATAACTAAGACCCCTGACAAAACGGAATATTATTTACATAAGTTAGAATTTTGGGATATATAGATATATATATAGGAAAATTATTGATTCAGCTTAATATAAATGGTTATTGAGTAGTTCAGTTAGAATAAAGTTGGTATACCTGTTTGATTTGGTCCAAGTATTTCCTGACTGACCCAGGTGTGGCACCCCAAATGGTATAAATAGAGTTGATTGTCATAGCATATCTCTTCTTTGTTGTGCCTGTGAGTGTAGCCGCCAAACACCACCATGTAGTTGCCTTCAATAGTTAAAGCAAAGCAAATAATTATAAAGCAATAGATTAAATCAGTTGTTTCAAATTGTCAACAACTATCGTTAATTTTATTCAATTATTGAATATTATATATTATTTTCAAGAAATCAGAAGAAAGGAAATTCAAGGCAACTCATTATGATAACATTCAATTTACATTGTGTCATTTTTATTGAAACTTATTCATTCTCATATGGAAAACATTTCAAAGTGTTGTTTTAATTCTATTTATTTATTAGACTGCTTGTGGATACACAATATTTTTTATTTTAACGTCTGGTACATACACAAATAAATCAGAAGGTTCTCTGACGTGTGGGCCGGCCACATGTGAGAAGCACGGATTCTTCACAAATCTAGTCCACACACTTGCAGCAATTGTGCTTGTGCTCTGTTGATGGTCATAGCAAAAGCAAGTCGCACCGGATACTGTTAACATTTGAATTCAAATAGTATATCTGTTGAGATCATTGGAATATACAATAATACGGCTGGCCCCTTGAATTCCCGATTCAAAATTGTAGCTTCAATAACATTGTTCATTATCTTTTTCACTGCTACAAAATTGTGGTGGATTGATCTTTCAGAGAAGAATGATAGGCACATCGATTTTCAAAGTTAAAATGTGCGGTTATACACCTGGCATATTGATTCCATGGGAAAACCTTTTGAATCAATTCGTCTTGGCTAAGATCATCTTACAAAAATTTCCATTTCATGGTGTTTCTTTTCAAGAATAGGTTGATTGTAATTTAAATACCTCAAATTGTTTCTTTTATTTTATTTTTCAATTCTTTCTATTAAATCTTAAACATTTGCTAGGTGAATAGTTGAACTTTTCAGATAAGACAAATATGATTTTAATTTCTATATGTTATGATAATTTATTGGGTGCTGAGGGCTTAAGTGGCTTGTGAACTGTGAATTATTAAGGATCTAAAAAATAACATCGGTACATTAATCAATTTTTATTTAATCTAAAAACAAATTTTATGAAAAGTGAATAAAAATAAATGACTATGGTATATCTTCTTGATACAGTCCCTCTAATAAATCTGATATGACGCATTACACTACATAATCTTGATACTAATACTAATGCTTAACTTAAAGATGGTCTTTATTTAGGTCTATATTTATAGGCCTGACAACTGTGAACAGAAAGGTGCATCCTGGCCAACGGGCGGAAGAGGACTGTGATGAGATAAGTAGGTGGGGGTTGGGTACTTCCCACTTCAGTACTTCTGGCTCCAACGGTTTTTTTAAATTTTAATATTTGATATAAATAAAAATCATTGCAATTTATATATAAACAAATGTATCTCTGTCTGTATTTTTGTTGTTTTTTCATTCACTCCCGCAAAGGTTTCTGGCAAAAAATAAAAAAGAGTGTGGTAACAAGAGTCTAAGTAGTAATTGAAAATAGTGGTTGGGATTTTCAAATTTTATCTCTTTATATGATTACCTTGAGTTTGACCAGGACTGAATCCTTTACATTAGGGAAATGCTGGGGGCAGGAGAAGTTGAATTCACTTTTTTGTAAGATGGCTGATTAAATGTTTTTTTCAATATCTCGCAATTTTCAGGAGGATTACAACGATCCCTGTAGTGTTGCAGTTACAGTGCCCAGACCCAACTGCATCCGTAAAGCAGCCGTATTAGACCTGAGAGAACACAAAATTTGTTCTAACTCCTTTTCCATTTGGAATTTGCCCATGCATCAACTTTTTTGTTGGAAATTTTGTTTAAAATCACCCTCCAGAGTTTGGCCGTAAAGAACTGAGACATGCTGTATAAGTTCATTAACTGCCCTTGAAAAGTAACTAAATATAAATTTTAAAAAAATGTAATTTCACAGTTGAAAAAAATTGTAGTCATAATATCAATACCTAAAAATATATATTATGAAGAGAACAAAGTTAAAAATTTAATAGAGTTTTCTAACCTTCCTGGCCAGAAACTAACTGAAATTGCGAGATATTGAAAAAAACATTTAATCAGCCATCTTACAAAAAAGTGAATTCAACTTCTCCTGCCCCCAGCATTTCAATAATGTAAAGGATTCAGTCCTGGTCAAACTTAAGGTAATCATATAAAGAGATAAAATTTGAAAATCCCAACCACTATTTTCAATTACTACTTAGACTCTTGTTACCACACTCTTTTTTATTTTTTGCCAGAAACCTTTGCGGGAGTGAATGAAAAAACGACAAAAATACAGACAGAGATACATTTGTTTATATATAAATTGCAATGATTTTTATTTATATCAAATATTAAAATTTAAAAAAAACGTTGGAGCCAGAAGTACTGAAGTGGGAAGTACCCAACCCCCACCTACTTATCTCATCACAGTCTTCTTCCGCCCGTTGGCCAGGATGCACCTTTCTGTTCTCAGTTGTCAGGCCTATAAATATAGACCTAAATAAAGACCATCTTTAAGTTAAGCATTAGTATTAGTATCAAGATTATGTAGTGTAATGCGTCATATCAGATTTATTAGAGGGACTGTATCAAGAAAATATACCATAGTAATTTATTTTTAATGATGTAGAGATGGTTGACCGTTGATAATATGAGAAGGAGTTAGTCGAGAGTGCGGTCAAATAAATAAAAAAATTAAAATATATAAATTATTTTAATTTTTGTCGACGTTTCGACCCACTTTGCAGGTTGTCTTCAGAGCGTAGGATGTGGCACTGCGGGAGGCAGTTGAAACACTGCAAGAGTGTATTATATATATATATATATATATATATATATATATATATATATATATATATATATAATGCTTCCCAATTGGTGAGTTGTAACTTCCTTCTCTCTTCCAACTTTAGCATTAAAGTCACCTGTGATTTTCTTGATGTCTGCTCTTGGATAGGTGTTTATTGTCCTTTCAAGCAAGTCATAGAACTCTTTCTTAGCTTGTTCCTCAGAGGTATCAGTTGGTGAGTGACAGGTAATCAAGATGTAATCGAAGAATTTACCCTTGACCCTAAGTAAATCGAATTGCGGGCTCACTGGTTTGAAGTACAAAGCATTTGCTACAAAGCTATCCATCGTCATAGCTGTAGTAGATGATGAGCTTCCTCTTTTCTAAATGGCCTTTGCCAGTCCATTTAATTTCCTGGAGTGCAGTTATATCTGATCTATATCGGTCCATCACTTGCAGAAGTTCTTGAAGTGCTCTGGGAGTATATAGCGTAAAAACATTCCAATATCTGATCGTGAAGTCTGTATGACGAGAGCCACATTGCACCATTCTTGACAGTCTATATTGATTATTTTAGGTTATATAATAATTTTGTTTAAGAGGAGAGGGTTATTAGCCCAACTGCCTCAGATTGAGATGGAGGGATTGCCTCCTTGAAGCCACCTGACTTGCTTTCCCTTCCAGGGGTGCTACCTAGAACAGGTAACCCTAGAGTGTGCAGTGTTATTGACCTTGATCTGTAATGTGGGGGTGAGTGTCAGTGTAATGTTCCCCCAACATGGAGGGCAGTGGCGATACTTTGACCGGGCAATATGGCCCCCACCTCCCGAAGTCATATTAAAAAAAAAATCAACTCTTTAATAAATCTAATCAGTTGCTATAACTGTGGTCGCTATATCCATAAAAAATTCCATTACAAAAGCCTTCTGAATCATCCGACCTAATATTTTTATTGTTAAAGCTGATATGTCATTATAAACGGTATCCACTATATTTATTTGATACCTATCTGGAAAACAAAGAGGAATTGAATAACTTAATAAGTCACTGAAACTCAATACAAAAGGTATGAACGCCTTTAACCTATATAGTAAGAACATACAAACTCAAACTTGACATTTTCAGTTTGAGGGCATCCTAACTTAATAAAGAAAATAATAGATATTGAAAAAATTATTATAACTTCTTAGAACAAATTATTTAAAAATTACTTGAAACTTACCAATTCTTACAGTAGTATGAAAAGCTCTACCAGCAGGAACATAATTATCACGTTGTACAGCTCTAGGATAATCTAATGAGGTCCAAGTCTTTGAAGGAATATGAAATGAAAATATTCTGTCAGATAATCTTGAAAATCTAGCAACACTAGCAGCAAGACCTCCAGTTACTATCAAAGAACCAGAGTTAGGATCGTAAAGAGCTGTATGGCCAACTAATCGTAAATCTAAAGTTTTTCCACCTCTCGGTTTGACAACTTCCCATTCTTCAGTGCCATTTGCTTAAAAAGAAAGAAAAAAAATGTCAGATATTAATTGAAAGATAATCTAATTTCACAGCTGCAAAAATATACAAAGAACTAAAAAGAAAAAGAATGATAATGAAAAATTTCTAGAAGATATAGTTTATTATAGCGACAAATCAGTAAAAAAAAAAAGCTAAAAATAGCATTCCAATTTACAACAAAATTCTTTCATTAGGCGGCATAGAAGGGCGATTCTCATTTTAGGAGCAAGTTTTAGTCCATTACAACTTTTGCATGAATAGTTAAGTTTAACTTGATTTTTTTCCCACTACTATACGGTGAATAAGTATTTCTTCATAATGCAATATCAAAGAATAGTGTGATTTTATAATTACATAAGCTACTAAAATGTCATCACCACGTATTGTTCCACTCTCAGTTTTCTAGTAAACAATTTTTTTTTGTCTTTCGAATCCTATGTAAAATGACACAAGTAAAATATTTCCACTACTAAAGAATAATTAAGACATTTTGAATTACATGTAATTTTTTAATTTTTGTTAACAGTGAACTAAGTTTATGTATTATCAAACATTGTCCCATCACTTTGATGTCATTACCAAGCAAAAAACATAACGTCAGATATTTAAGCGTTGAAAAGAGGGAACAGTGGGGAAACTTCTTCAGAGAGTAGTAGTAGCCATGGAGTTACAGGAGAACCATCAGCGGATAGGCCGACCAGTTGGGGAGCTTCCCTCTACGCATCCGTTTCTTATACGTTGAGCATGTACCTTTATTGTTGTCATTACAACCACGTATTTGATCTCGCTACCTGTTCAAATTATTTCATTTATAATAATTCATGTTTGACTACGGTTTGTAGCAAGTCAGTTCGAAAAAAACCAAATATTATAATACTAGTACACAGCGTTACAATGTCATTACCAAGTTGAAAACTCGTGTCATTCCCACAACCGAATTATTAGCTTTGCTTATTTTAATTACTGAGCAAAAAGCACTTTTGATCTTGGCCATTTGGTCAGATAAAGCTGAGCAGTAATAGAAGGGGTAGGTATTTAGAAAATTGTATTTAAATGTCATCAAAATTACTAAAATTTCATCATGAAAATAGCCCATAGTCTGAGAATAACCCTTAAAGTAAAATAAATATCATTATAACAGAAATAAATTTTCATATATCACAAAATCTTGTGGTAGAAAAGTTTAATACTAACACACTTTGAAAACATTTAATGTTATTTATTTATTTAATTATAATATAACTAACTAAGCTTACACGACAACAACAACCCCATCGAAGGATGATATATTTCCAAGGGATTCATCAGATGGTTGGAGGTTTCATACCCTTCCAAACATCTTGCTAATATTATTGAATATAAATTCCACCTCATATCATATTACACTATGGGACGACAAAATTAACCATATCCAGGGTGTAGAAGGAAATTTTGATAGCAGACCTCAAGAGCTACAAAAATGTTCATATAAATAATTAATATGTAAAATGGTTATTTAACATGTTTTTAATAACCATTTTTTTCATGTAAAATGGTTATTAAATTGTGTTTTTTATCCAGATCTCTGTCAGAGGATTGGCCAATCTTCAACAGAAAAGTAGAAAACCCAAATTTTATCTTTTTTTAAGAGTCATGTTTTTTGTTGAATAGGACGCGATAACTGAAGAAACACTTAATGTACGTAATTAACTATTACTTCACTGTAAACTAAATATAATTTACTTTAATTGAAAAGAGTTTTTCATTATTAAAACTATGTAAAGAGGATATTTGAGCAGCTAAACTAAGTTAAGTTCTGTTTTTAAAAAAAATCATAAATTATTTGCGATTTTTTTTTATCATCATCCAACTATACTACAGTTACTCCACTTTTAAGAAAACTACCTCATTAAATAAGATTCAAGTTTTGTAAAGAAATGAGGTGATTTTCTATCCAGTCTCCCAAAAGTACCTGTTTTTTCAGAAACAATGACTAAAATTACAACAACTACAATTACTAAAACAATTACAATGCTTTTATTTCTTGCTTTTCCATGATCTGGGATATATTGTAATAAAAATAATTGCCTAAATACACATTTTACTAATAAAATTTAAAAAATAACCATATTTCAAATATTTTTCATCTAAAATGGTTATTAAATTGTGTTTTTTATCCAGATCTCTGTCATAGGAATTGGGGATTGGGCCAGGATCACGCTCGATCACCAGGTTTTCCCCCTTAATCAATTATTTAATTAAGGGTACCCACTTTATAGATGCTGGGTGTGACACAGGATGGTCTCCCGACACCAGAGTCGCCTCACGGCCAATGAAACAGAATAAATATTTTTTCTGCCATGAGCCGGGATTCGAACATGAGACCATGAACACCAGAAGCTTAGTGCCCTACCACTGAGCTACACCGCTCGCTAATTCAGCCGATATTTATTTTAATTGTTTAAAATAGGTTTCTTCCCTTGAAAATGGCCTAAGGTCTGAAACGATGGTGTAGAAAATAAAATAAAGTAGGAATATGTGATCAAATACGTGTTTTATTACTATTAAGGTGAAGTCCTGACCTACAAGTGTGAATACCATATGTTTAACTAAAACCTTTCTTTCAATTCTACTATTTAATTTATTTGTTTTTTAAATTTAATAATGTTTAAATCCTTTCAGTAAGAAACTTTTTAACAGTATATAATTTATAATACCACAATAAAAACTCTGAATTGTTAAACACTGGACAAACTGGAAGTACTTAAGCTAATAGTTTAAATATACCAAAAATATTTAGAAACAATTTAGATTTGCAGGAATAGTCATCACTTCAGCTTACTTTTTACCATTAGTTCTTACAGTTTCATAAACAATTCTCCCGCAGGCAATTAAAACTCTTAAGTCCACTCCTGACCTGATAACCTATTTACTAGTTACTAAATAAGTATTAAGTACTATTTACTAAAAATTTTCAACTTTAACAATTAAAAATATGATCAACTTTAACACGTAACATAATAAATACATAAACAGAACAAAAAATATAAATAAACTTTCAACACAAACCTAAAATATCACAAGCCAGAGAAGATTACGACTAGTCACTATCAACTATAACTCTAGGACTTCCTCTAAAATTTTGTAACTGTTAAGAATATAGTTCTAGCTAATTACGTAAAGAATACTAACCAACAGTAAGCTTTATACGATATAGAGATGAAGAGAAGAGACCCTCGGACGTGCTGCCACCAAAAAGATAAACCCAGTCATTGTGAGCGAGGGTCAGCGTATGCCTTGCGAGAGGGGGAGGAGATAGCTGTGACTTGTTGGCTCGCAAACTCCAGCGCTTATCTTTCACTGAATAATACCAAAGTTCTCCCGAAAGACCAATATCTGTTTGGCCACCATAAATAACAAATCCTCCTTTATACCTGAAAAAAGAAAGAGCATAATAAAGGTGAAATCTATGTTCCAAATGCTACAGATGGTACCAATTATAACAAGAGAAAACTAGATAACTTATTAAATAAAATATAATAAATCAGTTACGAAACCTTCAAAAATAAATAATTCCCCTTTAATCACAAATTAACCCTCAAGGCAAAATAAATCTTATATGATACAAAAAAATTTAATAATTGAAGAGATTAATATTGATAATTACTCCGAGGCTGCGTGGGCGTAGCGGGCAGATGGTCTAGCCAAGGATTCCTGTTCACCAACATCATCTTCGTTTCTTTTAACTCGAGTGGATTGCCTTCTGTGATAATTTCTATCCTGTAATAAAAAATTCATATACTTTAGTTTAACTATAAAATTTCAATTTCATACAAATCTTGTAGAATAATACATGGTTTCTACCATAGACTATAGCATATCAAATATAGGCTGATAAAACACCAAATACCACAACTCAAATTCAGATAACAAAATGGCGCTTCTGGACTACCTACTCCAGATATTTCTATGAGTTACTGAAATAAACCTAACTACTCTCTCTACATAGAGTTTTTCTGTGAGAAATTGCCCTTCTCCGACAAGAGTAAAAATAATCTCAACATTTCTTATTAGAAAACTGAATTGAGGGAAGATGATGATAAGCTTATCAAAAATAATTTTTTGTACCATAAAAATTTAAGATCCATTTAGAATATATTACTAAGAAATTAATGAAACATACTAATCAATCTAACAAAAAACGTACCTCATGATGTCTTGATGTTAAAGTCCTATTATCTGTTAAACTCAATGAAAGTACATGCTGTAAAAATGTTTTAGGTTTAAGACGCAAATCTGGATCTTGTCGAACTGTATCTAAGACAGCTTTTAAAACTTTTTCATCAAGATGTTCAGATGGTTTTGAATAATTATCTGTAAATAATTATAAGTAGAAAATCATTGTCAGAATTATGTTTGTTAATAGATAAATGATTCTGCAAAATAATCATACAATCCTGAACAAATCTATGATTAAAAATAAAAACAAATCCTTTGATGATATCGACAGCAACCTTGAAAAAGCTTGTAAGAAAGTTAAAAATCTTAACGAGAGAGAAAAACTGTTTTCTACTTCAGAAAAAGCCTTAGGCTAAAATTGACCAGAAAAGCTAAAATTGTTATCACAATACCACAGTTATCACCAAACACAGTTCTTACAGGCTTTAGCAGCATGTCGGTCAATATATTATATTAATATTACAGCTCTTGAATAATCTTGTCTATATAAGTCTCAATTTAAGTATTTTTAAATTCTTACCAACAACCTTTCCTTTATCATCTTCCCATAAACCAGAGTGAAAATTGAAAACAATGAGATCTCCTAAAGCTTCGTTGAGATTGTAACCACCAAATATGTAAAGAGAGTCAGTTTCTAATAAGTACACGGCCGTATGAGCAGCTCGTGGAAGTAATGCATCACTCGTCAATTTTCTCCAGCTATAATAAAATAATAAACAAAGTACATTATTAATTGCCATTAAATAATTATGTCTGTATAGTGGTTCATTTTACACATAAATATTATTATATTATGTTATATATAATGACCCTTTAACTATAACTATTAGGGTGTTCCTTTACCTCCCTTAAAAGTAAAATTGAACTTCCTCTGAAAATAACAAAACCTAGGGTTACAAAACTTAAACTGGTATACCAGCAATTGACAATCTACTCATGACAAAATCATCCATTCCATCTCAAATAGTTAAGGGCCAAAGCTAGAATATTCTGCTAATAGAGACGATTTTATTCGGAACCATTAAATAGTATTTAGTGAGGATAGATACAGAGATTCTACTCCTGACATAAAATCATTTTTTATAAAAACAGCTGTGAAGCTGCCAGCTCTTCAGTTAACCAGCGAATGGGTTTTGACAATTTGGCCGACCTGTGCAATAATTACCTGACATTGACGTATTCATAGCAGTGAAACAGGATTTTTTACAAGTTGACATTTAATAAGATACTGCATTTTAAGGGAAAAAATGTTCTATAGAAAGATTTTCGAGACAATTTTACTTTTTAAAGAAATATGTCCACAATACAGATACTTATCGTAACAATGATACTTATCTGAAGACTACTAGTATATACTAATATTATAGTGAAAAAAAAACTAACAATACTGTTAATAATTTATTAATGTGTTTTTTAAATTTTTTTAAAACATATATTCATAAAAAAATAAAATGAAATAAATAAACTTTGACAGTATCAAAAGCTATTAAACTGAAGAAGGCTTCCTGTCAAGCATTTTTTCTTCTTACATTTTTGTGATAATTCCTTCTGTACTTCCCCATAAAGCTCAAGCATTATTTAATTAAGCAAATACATTGGTGATTTATTTATCTATAGTCTAAATTCAATTAATGCAGGGCAGACAGGCGAATATAGTCTAAATTCAATTAATGCAGGGCAGATAGGCAAATATAGTCTAAATTCAATTAATGCAGATCATGACTGGTTTGTTATTTTATTAGAATACTTCAAAAATTTAAACAATTAATATATGTATAACAATACTTTTATAATTATTAACAAAGATATTTTATGAAAAATATATTTGAAATAATCACTAAAATTAACCTGTTAGAACCAATCGGTGTTGTAGCAACTATACAATCTGGATGAGAATTATTCTTAGGGCAGTCAGGTTTCATACAGTCTTCACCTTCCCATCCGTAATCACAAATGCATATACCTGCCATACATACTCCATTTGAACTGCAATTTGATTTACAATCCGTAATGGAATACTCAGCCTTAAACCCTCCTAATGCATAATTTGTATCGGAATACAGCAAAATCAGCATCTAAATAAATTAAATAAATTACATTAAGCATATCATTCATGTTAGAAACTTATTCATATTTACAATTCAATGAAAACTTACAAAACCAGATCTGGCAACAACCTCTTGAGGTTGTGTTTTACCACTAAAACTTCCAAGTAATTTTGAATTAAATGAAAATCCATCATATACAAAGACGTAATCATAAGAGCATTCAGTCTCAATTAGGTGAAATTTCAGGGTAATAAACTGTTCTGAACTATTTGCTAAAAATAAAAATATTATCATTTATAAATAAAACTCAATATCATAAAACAAAATTTTCAATTGAAAGAAGATATCATTAAACATGATTGTCTTTTAAACCACCGTGCAAATAACAGATAATAAATAATGATAGAACTCTGATTTACATTTCTGAGCATACACTAATATATCATACCTTTTATTAACCATAGACAGTGTGAATCTTCAGTATAATTTTGTTTTGAAGGTCCATCAGAAATAATTCCCCAAGATTGAGTTAAAACTACTCTAGTTCTGTTACAAGAATTGTCAAAGGAAATGGGAGATGTCGAAGGAACGAATATATAGATTAAGAAGAGAATGGGGACAACTCTCATTCCCATCTCAGGCTAAAACAAATCATACAAAATACATGTTAAGTAATAATATTGATAAAAATTAATTCAACAATAATTACTATAGAACGTGTCCAATAGCGAATAAATGTATTAGGATTAATTCACTAGTTTTATCATATAAACAGTACTGATAGATAATGTTAAATACATGATCACACAAACCTAATCAACTACCAAAAACTTTTAACTAATCTACCTATCAACATTTGAATTATCAAACAACTTCGATCTTTACAAGGGCAAGAAATATCAAGGTTGATATGAAAATATTCTGGCATCTGGACTAAAACATCTATAATTACTTATATTAAACACATAAAAGGCTATAAAATAGATTATCTCATTAAAATATATTAGTATTTGAATTATCAAAAAATTAATCTAGTGATTTGCCACAATAACTGTTGAGTTACACAAAATAAACTCAAGTAAACAAAACATGGTATCTATTTATTTTCTATTTTCAATGATTTATTGATTTGAATATGAAATGACATTACAATCATCAGTTAATTAATCATTACTTACAATGATTTAGAAACAAAATGAAATAGAAAGAATACCTTTCAAAATATTTATAGGCCAACATAGGCTAAATGAAAAGACAAACCAGCAACAAGTATATTTCACTTTGGAAGACTTACTTTTTGATCCAGATAAAAGAGAAATGAGTTGTTATCATTCTAAACCCGAACTGAGCACAGTGTGGGAACTTCAATCCCATTATAATCTTACTGTTTATTATACTAGCACTTTTCACGGCCGTACAAATGACGTCACGCCAGACTTTCTGTTTACTCTGCCGAGATTTATAAGTTCAAGCCAAACCACTCACGAGTCTCTTTGGTGTTGCGGGACAATTATAGTGGAGACGGATTTGTATACTTTGTATTGTTCATGCTCTTCGAAAAGATTATTCTGGCCAATCCTTCCAAATTAGAAAAAGCGGAATCAAAATTAATTTTGTACATATCCAAATTTTCTTTAGTGGTTAGCTTGGATGTAATCTGATGCAAATAAGAATATCACGTCCATTAAATCCTTTGGATATCTTTTTATGTTTGGAAATTATCTTTATTATGTTTTAATTATTTGATTTATAATCTTAAATTATGTTTATTTGGTTTCCACTGACACTCCAATTTCACAGTACTATTCAAAAATGAAGTAGTTTTTCCATGCTCAGGGCTGCAACGACGTACTTTCTTCATACATGTGTCTATTTGTATCACCATTTTTCTCTACCTTTTACTCAACATCAGCGCTTATGGATTCTTTATGGTTTTATATAAGTAAGGAGTTAAGGGAAGCTTGGGTCATCCTCAAATTTAACCAGGTTTACACCCCGTTCAGTCTGATCCCAATAGTCCGAAAGGAGCTATGTGGTTTCCAGCAACGAATTAATGGTGGGAAAATACCTCTTCAGGGTAGTCCCTTTTGGATTCGTTTTCCACTATCAGTTCCATTACTGTAATATGTTTTCCTGTAATGATCTCTACTATATGGTGAGCTCTTGACCGATCTTCTCTCTTGGAGGTTTGCTATTAAATTCACCAGGCCCTTTCTTACGATCTTTTATCAGAAATAGTCTTTACGGTACTACCCGGTACAGGGAAACCGGGGTAATTGTTCTATATATATTTTCTACGGAAATACTCGTTTTGAAGTCTCCTGAGACCAAATAAGAGAGTCCCTCAATGGTTTGTGTGTGTGTTAACAATCTAGCTCAAAAACGAAAAGTCGTATGGAAGTGAAGTTGCACATTTAACGTTTTTATGAAATTTGGCTTATGCAAAAGTTAGAATTGAAGGTCCTTAATATGGGCACACCAGAACATTTTGCCATCACAAACCAAGATGTGTGAAGTGCAGTCAAGATCATCCTAGTGATAGGTGTCAGAAACCACTTGAAGAGCCACCTGTTTGTGCCTTGAGCAGCGGCAATCATCCTGCGAATTATAGGGGATGCACAGTGCACCTAGAGTTGCAGAAAAGAAGACTCAATGTGCGGAGCCAGGCATCTTCCAGTAGAGAGGTAACAGAACACCTGCCTCCAGAGGCGGAACACGACCGACTTACTTACACTGTCCCTTTCTCGCAAGAACTAAACAACATGACTTACGCATCGGCAACTTGTACTTACACTACATATCACAACACAACACCACGATTCACAACTGCTCAAACGACGAGTGTAACTCCTCATTACGCAATCTCTCACAATATTGCTCCTCATCATAGAACCCAAATTACAAATCCCAAAACTTCAAATGTATCTCCTCGTTATGTAATCCCTCACTATATCATTCCTCATCATATAGCTCCTCAAATTACAAATCCCCAAACTTCAAATGTATCTCTTCAATACTCTATTCATCATACTACAAGTATAATCCCTCAGCACTCAATAAACCCAACGAGGATAATCCCTGACCGTTCAGTAACATACCGCATCAATACACGTCAACCTCATACACCAGACCTCATTACACAACCTAATACTCCAGATCTCTCATTATATTTTAATTCCTTCTTAAATGATCTTAAGTATATGATAACTCCGCTCATCACTATTCTCTCCACGCTAATTACCAAATGTATTCCTCATGTTAGTCCCTAATTCTATCTCACAACACGCTCTAAAAATCCTTCTTTGGAATTCAAATGGAGTCCTACACCGAAGGAATGAACTTGACATTTATTTACATGAACATGACATTGACATTGCATTACTAACAGAAACTCATTTTACTCAAACTACAACATTATACATACAAGGGTATGTAGTGTAACGCGATGACCATCCCAGCGGTACTGCCCGTGCCGGCTCGGCAATAGTCGTAAAACGAACATTATACCACTATCCTCTTCAAATGACTGCCTTACCAGAACTTCAATTATCATCTATTTCGGTTGAAATCGATCACACCATAATTTCTATTGCCGGGGCATATTGTCCTCCGAGACAAGGAGTTTCACAGGAAACGTTTACAGACATACTTGCCTGCTTAGGACCTAAATTTTTGTGTGGAGGAGATTTTAATGCCAAACATCCCTGTTTCGGCAATAGGACCCATAATTCTAGAGAAAACTCTCTTTTTTAATACATGTTTAGAACTCGACTATAACTGCATACTACCACCTGAACCGACGTACTGGCCGACAGACATAAACCGTCAACCAGAATTACTTGATTCTTTATAACTTCTAGCCTACATACACTACACCATCATATCTCTATTAGTGAAAAATTATCATCAGACCATTCAGCGGTTATTTTATCTCTCTCTAGACACCTGTTTACTACCAACCACAAACCTACACTAACTTCTGGCCCAATATTAATTGATAAATTTCATTCCATTATTAATAAGAGAATTGATCTAAACACAAGATTAAAGACGGAAAATAATATTGACAATGCCGTAGAGACGCTTACTAAGACTGTACAAACTGCCGCTTGGCAATCAGCAAACGAGTACGAGACTAACCGTGACAAACTTTACTTACCCCCGGAAATATTATCACTTCTAATTGAAAAACGACGTGCTCTTAACCAATGGAAAAGATCACGCTATCCCAGTGACAAACAGCTACTAAACGCACTTTCTAACAAACTTAGAAAACTTATACAGCAATACAAACAGGAAACTTACAAAAAGCATCTGACCACCTTACAAACAAGTAACAATACTCTCTGGCAACAAACACGAAAGATACTAGGATGCCATCAAACAAAGACTCCTCTCCGTAAACCAGACAATTCATGGGCTAGAAGCGATAAAGAGAAAGCAGACTGCTCATCTTACAGACGTATTTCATCCACATGAAGACTTGCCTGACCAACAGCACTGCTCAGACGTCCAACAAATCCACATTTCTCCTCTTTCCCTTTCTCTACCCCATCCTCCTATAACTCCTTCGGACATGGAATTTTATATTAAAAAAATACCTCGCAGAAAATCTCGTGGTTTTGACCTAATCACACCTAAAGTTGTACGACTTCTACCCAAAAAAGCGTTAATCTTCCTGACAGCTATTTACAATTCTATCCTTCGACTTACTTGCTTTCCTCTAGTTTGGAAATTTTCAATCGTAAAAATGATAACGAAACCAAGGAAACCATTAGACCAAGTCACGTCCTATAGGCCTATCAGTCTTTTACCCTTATTTTACAAAATATTTGAAAAATTACTATTAAAACGGCTCCATCCATTTTTAGAAGCAAACAATGTTATTCCTAATCACCAATTTGGCTTTAGACCTGCACACTACCATACAACAATGTCATAGAGCGATTGATACAATTGCTGTGGCATTGGAAAAGAAGGAATTTTGCACAACAGCTTTCTTAAACGTCCCACAGGCCTTTGATAAAGTGTGATCACTTTCTAACAAAGTTATTATATACAACATGCTACTCAGACCAATATGGATATATGCCTCTCAGGTGTGGAGTTCATGCAAAAGCACACTTAAAGACTATTCAAATTTTCCAATCTAAATTTCTTCGGTATATCACTCATTGTCTCTTCTACATAACCAATAAATCACTTCATAAAGACCTACAAATACCACAAGTGACTGATGTAATTAAAAAATATCACAACAAATTTTCATGACTCCTTAGCTGGACATCCTAATCCACTTGTACAAACAATACTAACAGACACACTACGACAGAATCCACCAAGGAGACTCAAACAACTTCTGGAGCAGAGATCTGCAGCATTAATAAGTACCTTTCACCTAGGAGTGCCTTCACTGGGAGGTTTCTCCAATCACGCATTCACACTAATCTCGGAGAGGAGGTTCGCTAACGAACATCACATTTACAAAATATGCCAAAAGGCATTTGTAAAATTGCTCAATAAATAAATTTATTATTATTATTATTACATCAGTGTATAATCAAGCAATTTTAAATAAATGTAATTTTTATTGTAACGATGTTCACTAACAGAGCTTTAATGGCTAATTTTCAATATTAACTTCTTCTAAAATAAAGTCCATCACACAAGGAGGAGATCCTGTAGTGCTTTGGTAAGCTCATTTCCATTAAGAGTTGAGCAGGGAGTGCGCCAACATCAGGTACTATTATTTTACTCTCCAATTTGATAAATTCGAACATTATTTTTTTGGCCATACCGAAACCGCAATACGCAGAAATTAGTTTAAATATTTATTTTTTAATAACTCTTATTAAACGCTATAGACACCTCCAATGTCATTTCATCATTTGGAAGAGTATTGCATGTTGTTTCAAGTAATTTAAGGTTGTATTCGGATAGAGATTATAACAATTTATTTAAGTAAGTAATGCTATAATCTCTCTCCGAATACAATCATATAACTGCTAAATTAAATTTTTATGTATTACATTTAAATTTTAATATAACTCTTAAAATTCAAAGTCCCACTAATATTATTTTGTCATTTGATAGAGGATATCATCCTGTTTTTCATTAATATATGGAGGAAGGTCAGTAAAACTACCAGGTTCGCTCACTCAGAGGGAAAATGGTGGGGAGGAATTGAGCTCTGACGTAGCCAAAAGACTGATTTTGGCTTCAGCCCCCCCCCCCCGTAAATCCGCCTGTGATCCTATATAGTGATTTTTCTCAAGTTTTTTTGCTTTGATTTTGTTTTCTTAATTGTTGTAAAAATCATAGGGTATTTAAAAATTTGACTCTATTATTATGGCATCAACAGATTCTGTATTAAATTTATGTCAAATAAATAAATTTTGAAAGCTCTTGGTCAATAAAGGTTTTACCAATGAAAACCAAACAGCTACATGCTAGTTTTGAACCCAAAATGTCTTCCCAACTTCAAATATCACAAAAGCTTAAAATCCCATAATTCTGAAACTAATCCTCAGAACTAGCTAAAATTTCGTATTCTTACTTACACGTATACTGTCTTAATATTACACAATTTCATTAAGATCTGAGGGGAGGTGGGTTACGGGCCCTGGATGATTTGGCATGGAGTGACCCCATTTCATTTAATATATTTCTTAGTAGTGGATTAATAGTTGGCGGTTGGCTATTTTTACTTGCATGTATATTTACTTAATATTTTCAATAAGATCTAAGAGAGGTTGGTTAAAAATTGAACTTTCTCTGCATGATTTGGCATGGAATGACCCAGTGTTGTTTGTTGGCAGCAGTGGGCATACGAGAACCCCAACGTATTAACTAACCCACTGCTGCCAAAACCCCCATGCCAGCCATGCATGCAGCAGGTAGGGGAAAAAATCTCTTATCTGCTGCGGATCACTAGAGCATATAAGACTGTGTCCCACGAGGCAGTGCAGGTCTTAGCATGGGAGATAGCTCTCGATCTCCTCCTGTAAAAAAAATTTGGTCAAATACGCCTACTAGAGGGAAGGCTCGGCAGGAATTCCAGAAAATTGAGGAACGGCCCAATAGATGAAAATTAACATTAACAGAAGTTACTCTTGAAGAATGGAACAGGTGGTGAGTCACTAACCTAAGAGAATATTTTCCTACCGTCCGGTCTTGACTTACAGCCAGGTGGGTGAAACCAGACTTATGGTTCTCTCAATTCCTCACCGGACATGTCGGTTTTTTTATTACATTTTACAGTCTTGGATAAGATATGGATCCCCTATGCTCCGGGGTTATGGTGTCCCGGAAGCTGCCAAACATTTCATCACCAACTGCTCTGCGTTTGAGAATGTCTCACTTTTTGAAAAATTTTGTTGATAAAAACTTATAGATTATGATAAGATTAAATCATTCACGAAGTTTTAGACGGATGGGAATAATTTGATAAAAAGGGGTCTGTATCGCGGACTATATTCTGAGGGCAAAGCTAATGAGGAGCACAGGTATCATATACAGCCCCGACGAAGAAGATTTACCTTTTACTCGTTGCTGCAGATAACTACCAATACTACAAGACATTCGTATGGGTGGAAGGATGTAGAAGGTGCAGCCCATTTCAATATGGGAGTAAGATGAAGGAGAATTCCACAATCTCAATCTGGAGTGACTGCAGGATAGACTTAAACTTTATGGTTTTACAAAATAAAGTGGAATTTGATTTTGTTGAAAGACAAGGGAGAGAGAGGGCAATAAATAAATAAATAGTACATTTTCATGCAAAATGTTTTGTGTCGCTATGAGGCAGTGTTTTTCATTTTCTTAATTTAATGAAAAATCGTAGTAAACATCAAAGTCAATCTGAAAAACGGCCAATTTTTTTCTTCTCCAAACTAAATGACGAGGTCTTCATAGCCAAACCTTCTGCTCCTTATAAGGTGAGAAAAAAATTGCTAGCTCCAGGACTATTGTACTATTAGGTATATTTTGAATAGAGAATTTTTGGTACTTGTGATTTAGCTGGACGCCATGGAACCTACCTTCTTATCTCGTGTAACCACTTCTTATCACTTTTCTTTAGTTTGTTACTTATGCGTTCTTTACAGGTCAACTAAACAATTGGAGATCCTGGAACAGTGATTGAAATAGACGAAAGTCTTTTTTCTAAAATAAAACATAATGCAGGGAGAATGCTCCCAGAACAATGTATGTTTTGAAAGTTTGTCGAGAAACGGAGGAGTGCTTCATTGTAAAAATAAAAAACAGAAAAAATAACAACTCGGTAGAGTATTCCTAATAAGAATGTATTAAAAATTTATAATGTACTGTCAACAATGAGGCGGCTTGTCAAGAGAGATGTATCTTCCACCGACTGACAAAACATCCAGTGGTTGCAGATGAAATTGTGATTACCGGAAGAGCAGTCAGTGCATTACTTGCAGCATTCGAGGAGTATGAAGTAGCCACTAATAGAACAGGACTAATAATTAATACAGAAAAAACTATATATATGAGGACCAGCAAGGAAAGAGGGAATATCGAGGGAGCTGGAGATCTTTTCGAGAGAATACTGCTGTTTAATTATTTGGCCACTGTTATCACTGAGAATAAGATTGGAAAAGAAATTAAGGCAAGGATAACAGCTGGCAATCGATGCTACTGGTCTCTAATGAAAATATTTCGAACTGGGGATATATCCAGTGCACATAAATAAGAGTGTATCCTAGTGTCCTTCCGCCAGTGTTCATGTATGGAAGTGAGTCCTGGACACTGACAAACAATGATGAAAGCCTGTTAAACATGTGGGAAAGAAAAATCCTCAGAAAGATTTTGACTCTACAAAAGAAGGAGATTGCTGGTGGATTAAGACAAATGAGGAACTTAGAAATCCTGCAGGATGTAGAGCACCTTCGGAGATCGGGAAAAAAAATTGTTGTTAGATGGAGAAGGGCAGGCGAAAACAGTTCAGAGTGGAGGAAGGTCACTATATATTCTGACTGTTGGAAAAGTTACAACACCCAACAACTAAATGAAATGAACTACATCTTTGTCGATACTTCAAGTGCGGTCCATACTCCACACATAGAATGATTATGGGGCTCATCTAAGTGGAGGAATAAAACACATGGAGAAACTTGGAGGCAACACCTGGATTCATATTTATGTTTATTCTTGTGGCGGCGGGTCCACAGAGAATAGGATCTGTTCCTACCTATTTTAGTTATCACTCAGATGTTTTGTCTCCTAAAATAAATTAAATATTATAAAATAAAAGTGTTTTGTTATTATTTCTTGTTATTAATTTCTTTTTGTCTGTTTTAATTTCCATAAATATAAATAAGAAGGTAGGTATTATCAGTATCAGAATTATCAGCAATCAGGTTAGAAACAATGAAGGACAGCAATGGGTGACGACCAGTTAACTCAGAAGTACTGTTGCATTTTTACCACTTCTGTGGCTATCTTACTGGTTGCTTAATATTACTTTTCATAATTAGGATAAAAAGCCAGAAATAGGAGAATGAAACAAGAAAAATTATGATACAAAAACACAAATATCACAAATTTATTTATTCTAATACAATACAAACATTCTTATTGAGGAATAAAGTTTCAGTGACACTTGAAATGGAATAACTGCCCTATATTTTATTACTAATTAAATTGAGCAAATAGATTGCATAGAAGGATGACATATTATGATGCATTCATTAAGGTATAGAAATATTTACAAAATTAATTGTAATCACTATCAAGTATTGAATAGCACATAGTAATAAATTTCAAATTAAGCAATAGTAGAGCATTAAATTTAAATTAGAAATCATTAATCCGAACAAGTGAGATAAAATAAGGATTGATATTACCGGTTTTATAAAGGAAAAATTAAAGAAAACAATCCTTTAAATGAGGATAAAGATTTACTATGAAATAATCATATATCGTCACCAAAGTTTAAAATATTACACAACTACTTATTTTTAAGGATTTACAACTTTCATAAGTTTAAATTATATTACAAATTGTCAATTTCTTACAAGTTAGTGATTAACAGAGGTTCATAGTAAAAATAAATAAATTTACAAAATCCTATGGCAGTGTTTCTAATTTCGTTAAATAATTTATTAAATACCATTCATTAAAACTTAAATTGTAAAAAAAAAGAACAAAGTGAACCAGAAATTTAAAGTCAATTATTAGTTGACAACAGTCAAGTCTTACTCCTCCCTCTCATTTATATTTAGTGGCAATTTTATTGGTGCCTCACTCAAATATACTCAAACTTTGCTATAACACTTTTAGATTCCATAAGACACACTTTCGAATGGTAATGTCTCTATGGCTACAGAATCATTTTCCAGAGATCGATAATAAGATGGTCGTCATCAAAGGTGAGCATTTCCATTACGTTCTAATTCAGCCCAATTTCTTGCTACATTTTGCAGCCTCAATGAATCTGCGTCATCATCCCCGCTGGGTTCATAAGCAGGATTAGTAGCTCCGTTGGGGCCATTTAATGTTCCATTTGCGAAAAGGTCTTTTACGCTCATGGCACCAGCATTTGATATTCTCTGTGATCTGGGTATTACATTATTCATTGCTCCAAGTGTCTGCATTTGGGATTTCCTTCTTTCAGCTTGAAGGGATCTCCTTCGTACTTCAAGTGCCTCTCGTACTTCACGACGCATAGTTAATTTGCGTCCAAGAACTGGAGTACCTGGAAATATATATCCAATTAATAATTTGAGTGAATGGAAATACACTTTTTCAACTTAATTATGTATGTTCTTAAATACAATGATATTTCTGATAGTTCACTTGCTTATATAATTTATTCAAATTCTCATTTTAGCAAAGTATTGATTCAAATAAAAATGGGTTATGGTTAAAATAGAAGGGGTAATAGGACCAAAGCAGTGTTTAATTTACTTGGTTTGAGTTAATTTTAACATCGAGGTTTCAATGCTGTATACAAGTTGCTTAAAAACTTTTATGAATTAATTTCACTGAGGCACTAGCCTCAAGAAAACTATTTTAAAAATTGAAGATTTTAATTTTCAAAATTTTAAATCACATGAAAACCAAACATCAATTCCTACTAGTACTTCTAACCACCTAAATTATCTCCTGCCTAATATCAAATTTATATTTTATTCATTAAAGGTTGAGGGGATTCCAGAGAAATATTCAACTAAAGTTTTACAAAAATATTATATCAATTTATTTACTTGCGTCCTGCCCTTCGCCATCTTCCATTTTCATTTGCAAGAATCGTTTTCTAAACGCAACATCTAATGTTCCTATAGTCCTTGTTTTCTGTTTTTGCTTTTCAAGATTGTAGATTGTTCTTCTTCGTCCCACTCTATCACCTGATGAACCCGAGTCATTGTCATAGTCTCCATTGATGCCTTTCAACCTTTGTAAATGCCTCACAATATCCACAGCTTGTTTATCCAGTAATGTATCTTGTGACATTTCCTCAACCTGATGAATGAGGTAAAAATTTAAATTTATTAGCTGAATATAGGTATCAATACAGTTAAAAATAGCAATAAAGTAGTAAGTAATAAATGACATTAACATGAAATAAAAATTAAAATATTTTAACGTGTCAACTTCAAATGATTATTGATGATTCATATAAATTTAAGATCTAGTTTTAAAGATGCTGGTTTTAAATGAATTTCTTATGGATACCTAAAGAATGTGTTTTAACTTCTTTATTGTGAGCTTGTTGAATATATTTATTAACTTTTTTGAATGAATAAATTAATCGTGATAATTTTTTTTTAAATATTCTGTTAACATTGTCCCATCCGTGAATCTAGTTCAGTGATTTCCTACCTCAGAGGTGGGGACTATTGACCAGGATAGCACCAACATCTTTAAAAGATGTATTTCATTAATAATTTAATATTATTATATAAATAGACTGAGACAAAACAGTTCAGTTCATTTTTCTCCTATGTTTCTAGACAGATTTTTTTTTTTTTTTTTTTTTTTCTGAGTAGCTATTGATGAGCTTTAGTGTACTAAAAAAAAATTTGGAAACAGTAAATAAATAGAAACGTAAATGTTAGTTTATTCAAAACTGCTAATCTACAAAAGTTATTTACTAACAATTGCTTTTAGATTTTGATACAATATTACAGTCAAATTTAGAAGTATTTTTGTACTAATTTCAAAATGGCTGCCAATAAATGTGAATCTCTATTGACAATAGGACCATCGTAACGATTTTAATGAAACTTTGCTAAAGTCTTCTCCTTGAAGCCTTTTTAATTTATGTATACACATTTTTTCATATCTTTAATTATTTATATAAGAAATTTATGCTTTTAGGGTTTTGATTAATGCAAATTATAAAAAAAAAAAACCTGTACCACAACAAGCAATGAAGGAAGGGTCTTGGGTTCAGTTCTTTGTAAGGAAGTATTTTTTCAAGGATAATTGTTATGCAAGGAGATGGTTGACCGTGACCACGCTCAACTGTCAGGTTTCCCCTTTAATTAATTATTTAATTAAGAGTACCCATTTTATAGAGGCTGGGTGTGCCATAGGATAATCACCTACCCCAGGGGTCGATCCACGGCTGATGAAAAATTACTTGTCAACAGCTGGATTTGAACCGTGAATCTTAAAGGTTTGGAAGTCAGGGCTTATGCACTGAACTACTCTGTTCCCTAATGAAAATTCACAATAAGATAATGTATGGAAATGATTATAAAATATTATCAAATCAATATTAATCATAAACTATAATAAGTAAATTGTTAAAAATAGCTGAAATTAAGAACTAAGAATTGAGGTTTTTTTTTTGGTGTAAATGAGGGTTCATTTATTAAAATCGAGGCGTTTAGTAATAGCAGATTTGTGATCCCACCATTTTTTATGAAGATAATAACTTAATAAGCTGTGAGGCTACCTATAAACTATCCTTTAAGTAATTCCTTGTCTAAATGTTTCCTTAAAGGCTTAACAAATTTCCTTCTAGGATGCTAAAAACTTACTTCGGTTTAATTATACACATCAGTACAATATTTTGTTGTTAAAGTTTGGTATTAACATTAAGAATATTAATAATATTATAAGCAATGATATTGTCTTACCTTTTTGTTACAACATAAGTTGAGTTCTGTAGAAGCCAGGATGTGTGATATTGTTCCAAAACGATGAAACAACATTGCAGTGAACTGGATTACAATGATTAGAGCAAAGAAAAATACGAATACAAGACCAATTGGTTCCAACTGCAGATATTCCTTTGAAATTAATACCTAAAATGGGCGAGAAAAGAAAAAAAAAGAAAATCAATCTTTGTTTATAATGTATATTGTATTATAAAATAATACTAAAATAGGTATATTAACTGATCACCAATCGTTTATTTAAAATAATTTAACCAATTTTCTTTGTTTTTATGGTTTTAAAAAAAATTACTAAGTAAAAAATTGAATAATCAAAATTATTGCATTTCTTATTATCAAAAGGTAGTTGTTGAACAGTTAAACTTTCCCTGTAGTTGTCAAGTTTTTATATAATTTTTCTTTCATTATATATTTTTGTAAAGGAGATTCAAAACTTATTCAGTAAAAGTTTTAAGGATACTCAACATTTTTGAAAGGTTATTAGATGATATGATCTGTTTTGATATATAAAGTTATTCACCTATATTTAATATTGTATGTTTTAATTTGGTAAGTTATCAAATAAAATGTAATAATTAATAATTTAACTAACTAGATCAAGTGACAATGGAACAAAATAAATAAATGAGTCTTAGAAATTAAAATTAATTATTACTTTTTTTAAATTTAGTTTTCATTATTCTAATAATACGTCTATGATTGGACCATGTGCAAAAGGAATTTTTATTGATATTTCTTTTTGAAAGAGAATTACTGTAGTTTTCTTAGCTACAACATTTTGAAATTTTGTGGTATAGTAGTTTTCAACAGCTCTCATTGGAAAAAAAAAAAATTGTTGGAATACAGTCAGTAACAAAAATTTCCAAATATTAAAACTTGTTCATCAACATAAAAAATAAATAAATAAAGAGGAATGGTATAAATGTTAAATTTAGTTTTTATTAAAAATTATAATCGTCTAAAGCTTATAAGATGATTTTGATAAATGATGCATCTTAATGAATTATATTTAGATTTAGATTACTCATTGAAGATTACACTAATCACCGAAATATAATTTATAGTGTGTTCATGAGATCTTAGCTCATCCATAAAAGTGGAGCAACACTTGTAAAGGAGTGCCTTAAATATTGATAGAAAATTGTCTTTATAAATGTTTTCATTTTTGAATTCATATACAATTATTAACCTCACAATTTAAAATTGTTCGATAATGTTGAATGTATTTCCATAATACTCTTTGTAATAATAATTATATTAAACTAAATAGATTCAACAGAATTAAAAATTGTTAAGAAATGTTTGTTATTGACTGTAATCTAGAAAAGTTCCATTATTTTTGGATGAATTTAATTATGTTTCAGTCATAATGATAGTGGAATACTTAAACCATATTTTTCATACATCTCTAATGGTACTTATCTAATAAGAACTATATACATTTATCAATTTATTTATATATATAGTTATAAGTGCAACTAATTAACATAAAAATGTATTTACATGCAGATTCAACATTAATGGCTTCTACATACCAAATATACATTATTTATAAATTTACATTTTTATGAGTAATACTATATTACATAACAACAAATCTATTGATAATGGCACCAGGTAATAGTCTCTAAGAAATATTTGGCTATAATCTGCTTTCTGAAAAAAGTATATCTATTTATTTAATGGTATATACATTGCGTTAATCACATTTACAAAATAACATATACACCAATCACCATGTTACTAAAATCACTGATGATACATATAATGTTATCGAGTTATCATTCCAATTCTGGAGATGTGGCAGATTTTCTTCGACCTGCACGGCTCGAGAGGTAGTATGGGAATGATTGCCAATGAAAGAAATGAAAATGAGGTAAAATGAATAGTTAATGAAAGTAGTTGGTGAATGAAATAGTGAGATAAAACAATTCATATTTCCTATCAAGAGAAATATTGTAAAATTATCAAGTATAATTTAATGAGTCATTACTATGGAAAAAGATGAATGCAGCATGGAAACTCAAATCAAATATAAAATAACAGAACTAAATTTGGTACATTCTTAGTTACATGAAAAACTTCTAACATTTTTGTAATAATGCCACTAAAAATTTCTTCAATAAATAATTTAAATATTGAATAATAATAATCTCAAATGGAGATTTCACCATTTCATGACATTTATTGAATTGGGGAATACTTTTGTGATTCTTACGAAAATTGACATCAAAGAGCTTTAAGGTCAACTCTAAACCTCATTCTAAATTTTTTTTTACTTTTTGATATTGGTACCCTTTGTTATTAGGCGCCAATTTGCTATATTTAAATAGAATATACTAATATAAATAATCACATCAGAATTATGGAGTCATAATATTAGGAGTCATTACATACTCTTAATTAAATATACAATTGGTTTGAAAAAAAAATGCTTCTATTTGAAGCATTAGTCAATTATATAAATACCAGAATAAATTGTATCTTTTAAAGAAGACATCTTGATGTATGAAAAGTTCTCAAGTTCTATCAGAAAACTTAAATGACATACAGGGCTAATTACACAGTTTGTTTAGCAGGCAAAGTTACTAAGATAGATTTAAGAACTTATGAAATGATTTGAGTTTCTGTGTTAAGAAAAGTATGTTTAATGATTTTTTTTCTTTTATAAAACTGCCACAGCTTTGGAATTTAATCATGGCAATGTGTTAAGGTAGTTCATGCGACATTCATGTTGTGCATTAAGGTGGACAGTCACCTTTCAAATGTGTACATTCTCAAAGACTGTGTGAGTGGAAATACAGTTAGTGGACACATTTAAATATACTATTCTATATGTATGTTTGTACGGGTGTTGAATGGTAAAGATTGAAGTAATAACTCAGGAAGCAAGCCATAGAAGGTTGGATCAATGCTTTTGTAAATTTACATTTATAAGACAGCAGAGATACTCATTCTTAATTTGTAAAAAAAAATTTGAATAATTTTGAAAAATTCATTATTTATTATTTTAATACAAATAAGTATTATTTATATTCATTGCATTTTTATGTCATTTTAAACAATTAGGAAATAAAATTTAGCAAAAGTCTAAAGCTAGCTTTATTTTATAACAATTTTGTAAGGGCTTGATATATTTTTTCCATAAGAGCATAAGTATAACAAGATTATAAGTATGTCACTGCTATAAGTGGTTACTATGTCAGCTTTTTAAATAAATATTTCATGTAATTATAATAAATTATTTGAAATTGTGAGGATACATGAAATATTTTCGTAATGAATAAAATGCATTCAGTGAGAGAGTTATAATAAAACCTGTCTCATCAACATTACATAATTTTAATCAGTCATTGATATTAGAAATGTCAACATCAGTTCAGTAAAAATTAAAAAAGTATTAAAGTTGTTTTATTTTGTATTTGTCGCATGTTGGCATACACAGGAATATGTATACATGTCGAAATAATAATTTTGAGAATGAGTGATATATACATCTCTGCTTTCTGTAGGAGATGAATAAAGATATAGGTAAGGAAAAGAAGAAGAAAAGAACAGAAGAGATAGAAGAAGAGGAAGATAACAACCACCCCGAGCATGTTAATCTGGAGGCCCCATGCTTTTGACACAGGGGGAATACCTCCGCTGTCTCTTCTACATAGGTGATGTTTGTCTTCACGCCGAATGGCCATTCAACGTGTATGTTGTCCTTGTTCAACTGCAGGAGGAATACGATCAGAACAAACAGTGCGTTCATCATGAAAAATGCAAAGACAGACTTATTTCTCAACTCTTTCAGATCAGCTGCTATTCTCGCCTGAAAAAGAATTTCAACAAAACAAAATATTTAATGTTTGTCGGACGAGAGTGAGAGCAATTGGCGTCTTGGTATGTCGGTCTTAAATTAATTTTAAACTGCTAAAGTAAATTAGTAAATGACCTTCCAACATTGTGGGACCGATGGGAACCGAGACTAAACTGCCCCACTCTCCTCCGCACCTTATGCCCCTCACCTCTTGTGTAACTTCGTTGTATGTGATGTTTGTTTTCACACCAAATGGCCATTTCACATGAAGAAGTTCCTTATTCAATTGGAGAAGGAAAACAATGAGAACAAATAGGGCATTAATCATAAAGAATGCAAATACAGAAGAGTTCCTGAGTTCGATGAGATCCTTAGCTATCCTGGCCTGGAACAAAGATAGCCGGCGCAAACAAGGGCACCGTTAACCCAGTTAGCACTTCCAAAACAATTACAGCGGCCACAATTAAGCAATATCTATGTATTAGTTATTTGTAGCAGCTCATTGTTTAGTAGAGTTCAAAAGCCCTCATTAAAAATATTTTTTTACTTTACTTGAACAATTCTATCAATTGTTTTACTTGCCTTGCATTGTTATACTTTTCATTATAATGATAAAATGTTCTTGAAATAGTTTTCCAAAATAAAAAACTTAAAAAAATCAGTAACATTTTTAGTTGCTTAGTAAGTTCAATTTCTACCCAAGGAATAAGTAGTTAATTTTGAAAGTCGGATTTAAGATTAAAATTTCCCTTTCAGGAGCAACACTGTCACTATAAAACCCATCGCTTTCGCCATTATCTAGGGAACTATATCAATAATTTTAAAATTTGTTTAATATTTATTTTGAATGTATTTTATTAACTTTAGTTATTATGTATTTTGGTTGAAAAATAGGCCATCAGGCTGCTCATTGTGAATCTTATAGGCAACAATGAAATCTAAATTTGCCCATAAAATTGCTACTATGAAAATTAAAAAATAAATTCTTAATTACTGTCCTTGAAAACCTAATATATAGTTCTTCCATTGATAAAATCTGCATTAGCCTACAAAAAAAATCTCACATTACTATCATCTACTGTAATCCTAAACTAAACAATGAAAAGGGCCATTAGCTAACAAATTCAACAATAAATACAAACATTAAAACCTAATTAGTGAATTTTTCTTGATAGGATCTAAAGTAGCCTTAAAAATGGTGTAATGCTGACACAAAAACAAAAATCTATTCATCAATTTGTAATTATCTCCCTGCAAAGTCATAACTCATATCTGTAGCCATAAAATTATCAGTAGCCCCCCTAAAATACCCCATGAGAATGAGAATCCACATAAATGAAATATAAATTATTCTAGAAAACAGGTACCTGAAACAATGTTTAAAAAAAATTTATTTGTAAGCATCTGGTACATAAAACTGAAATTTCTTTTTGTTGTAGATATAAAGTAAAATGTTTATAGTTTCTATATAGAAATGTACTTATAAATTAATAGTATATTTTTCAAACAATAGTAATACAACTTTATATTTATTTTCTCTATTCGTTTTACAGACCTTGTAGATCTTTTGCAGACTTCTAACCAGCCTTCTCCATATCTTTAGTTATTGCTCTCCAGTTTTCTCCATACGTGTTTGTTAATTCGATCTATCCATCTGGATTTGGACTTCCAATTGACAGCCAAGTGGTCTCTTACCTACAATTGAGGTATTCATTGTTGGGTGGGGCTTCCTGATGGATTGCTCCAAGATACATGCCACGTCTTCATATCATGAGGTATTGATTGGCCAGTTTCATTAAACAGCTCTTTATTGGTTCTTCTTTTCCATGCATCAGAACTCTGGTCCCAGATTGCTTGGGTTATCATGAGGAAGATTATCCTATCAAATCTTTGAATACTTCTTTCTAGAGGGCTGATTAGTATACACGTCTCACAACCATATATCAGAACTAGCTTTATCATAAGTCTTTAATTTAAATTTCTACGGATTTTTTTGGATTTCAAGACCTTTGAAAGAGAGAAGAAAGCTCTATTTAAGTTTGTTATAGGCTAATCTATTTTTGACGTTGGTAAGTCATTGAGATTATTGTGGAACAAAGGTATTTGAATTTGTATACTTTCAGGAATGATTCCCCTTTTAGACAAATCCTGTTTTTAGGATGGAATTTTCAGTTGTGTTTCATATTTTTTGTTTTATCTTTATTTACTTCTAGGTGTGATTGATTTGCTCTGCTTCACTTATCATATTCTTTGCGAGTCTCTCAAAGTCCTCTTAATTCGTTCTTAAGACAGCTATATCATCTGCCTATACAGAGTGTGCCTATAAAAGTGGAGGGAAATTTTTATAGGAGTGATAACAGGCAGACCTCAAGAGCTACAAAAAAAGTTCATATATGGTTTTTTGATAAATCGATAGCAATAACTTTTGCTATGATTTTTATTGAATCGAAAGCAATAACTAAAAAAATATTTAATTTAAATAATTAATAATTGCTTCATTGTAAACAAGATGAAATAAACATAGAGTTTATCATTGTTAAAATCATTTACAGAGGAATTTTGAGCGGCTAAACTAATTGAAGTTCTGTTTTAAGAAAAATCATAAATTATTAGCCATTTTTTTTTTATCATCGTCTAACTATACTACAGTTTCCACACTTTTACAAAAAATTCTTCGCTTAATAAGCTTTAAGTTCTTATTAATTAAGTTGAGATTTATCAGGAAAAATTTGAGATACAGCTCAAGTTTTGTAAAAAAATGATATTTTTATGCTGTCAAGTAAACATACCCCGGTTTTCAGCAAAAATGACAACAATTAATTGTTGCAAAGCTTTTATTTCTTGTTGTCACATGATCTGGGATGTATTTTAATAAACCCGATTGCCTAAACACACTTTTTATTTATAAAAAAAAATGAATTCGAATAATACTGATTTTTCGGATAAATTGGTTATAAACTGTGTTTTTCACCCAAATCTCTATTATAAGAATTGATCTATATTTGTGATTGATGACAAAATTAAAGTTTCTAGTCCTAAAATGTATGTTTAAAATTTAAAAAACTGCTGATTGCTTCAATTATTTAAATTAAAACGTTAATATTAGGATCAGGAACCTTTAGTATGACACTTACAAATTTGGATCAATTTCTAAAATTGAGATCTGGGTGAAAATCAGTGTTTATAACCGATTTTCTAGAAAAAAAAAGTTTAAAATCAGTATTTTACGAATTAATTTTTTTTTATAAATAAAAGTTGTGTTTAGACAATCGGGTTTATTAAAATACATAAAATTAAATAAAGTTAATTAAAATAATTAATACAAACTTAAAGCTTATTAAATGAAGAGGTTTTTGTAAAAGTGCGGAAACTGTAAATGGTTTAAACAATGATAAACTCTATGTTGGTTTAAATTAAATTTCATCTTGTTTACAATGAAGCAATTATTAATTATTTAAATTAAATATTTCTTTAGTTATTGCTTTCGATTCAATAAAAATCATGAATCACAGAAATTTTCTACTTAATTTAGATTTGCTACTTTTCTGCTAAAAATTGGCCCATTGTTTATTTGAATTTTTTTAAACGAGGTCTCAAGGTCTGCTATCAAAATTTCCCTCTACTTATGGGACACCCTGGATAAGGATTTTATCATTCAGTTTTATTTTTCCATGATATTGTTTTATTACCTTCTCCAGTGCTAAATTTAACACCATCAGTAAGAGTTCATCTCCTTGCGACAAGCCATTTCAAATTTTTAAAGCTTTAGGTACTTCTCCTTCTATTAGTAATTGACATAGGTGCTTGCGATGAACTCAGACCTTCAAGTTAATAAATATAGAGACATACACTATGCCACGTATACACGTAATGATAGGCAGGATAAACTCACAGACCATGTAGTGGAGTTAATTCTCATACTGATGGGACCTTGATGGAGCAAGTAGTAGTGGCAAGCTTCTGGAGAAGGGTTAAACCTAATGAGGGAATATTCTTATCTCTAGGTAGATCCGTGTCGTACGTTTTTCAAGTTGATAATGTATTAGCTATTGACTCCTGTGTTCAATCCCTAATAAGGGAGAGATTTACAAATAGACCGATTTACAGATAATTAAGCAGTAATTGGTCCTAAATAGTTCCACAATCTGCTCCAAGTTGGTTGAGGAATCTGAAGTTAATTTGAACATTATCTGTAGCACCAACAAGGTTGAATGGGTTCCTGAACACTCAGGTATTCTAGGCAATGAGAAAGCTGACTGCCTTACTAGGAAGGGCTCTGTACGAACACCCATAGCACTAGATCTCATCTGTGGGATTAGTCTCAGCTATATCAGCAGCTGTTGGCTAAGTTAAACCTGTAAGAAGAGAAGTGCTCCTAATGGACAGGAGCACCATTAGGTGTATGACAGGACTGTATACTGGACGCTGTTGACTCAATAAGCACCTGTTTAACTTGGGCTTAATTGAGATCCCCACCAGCAGGCTATATGGCCTGGAAGATAAGATCGATATTAACATTATATGAATATGTGATAATTTGGCTAGACTGCGGTATTTGCAATTTGGAGTGATTGTATCACTGATCCTAAGATCTGTGAATTAATAGATCTTATTAATCTTCACTAGTTTACTTCGCAAAGGCATCTGACCTGTTTTAACAGAGTATAAGACGATGCAAAATATTAAGTATGGCCTCATTGAGGCCACGGTATTCATTTTGTTGGGTTCAAAAAAAAGAAAAAATTATTTGGTATGGATCATTGAATCATGGTAATCGGTCTGTTAATTGCTGAATAATGATTTTATTTGTTTAAAATTTTTGCTTCCTAGTATACTCAATTTATTTGAAATTATGTGATTTTAAAGATTATTTTTGAGCAAGTATTAAAAATGTTATTTCTAAAACAAATCCTCTAAGTATTAAATTTATATCTTTTAAATTTGGTTATGTATTTACCGTTTTGTATAAATATATGTAAATTGTTTATATTGTTTAATGTATGTAGCAAGTGACATAGCAGTAATTAATATAATTTTGAGATTTTCTATGAAATTTGTGTAATACATTACCCTTTCAACTTTGTCATCATCTATAGGAAATAGATATTTATCCAAAAGATCTTTCCAAAACTGAACTTCATTTGCTGAAAGAAAGGCGACTGGTCCTTTCTTCAGTTCTTTATCTTCTATCCAATATGGATTTATGTCATCATTTCTGACCATTTTGGGCTCTCCTGCAAAAATAGGTATAATTATTTTCTTACAATATTTTATGTAAATAATGAGGAAATGTTTTTTACCTGTTGAGGCAGTGTCACTGTCATCAGATTCTCCATCGTCACCTCCCTGCTCTTCTGTCAAAGCGACCAAATTATGTTCTTTAGAGCTAGCTGATGTTGTCCTCTTCCTGCTTATCACTTGGCAATTTGGATCTACAACTCTTAAATTAAAAAAAAAAAATGATAGTAATTTTTAAGGTATATTTAATGTGCTTTAGAATATATCATTGGTTGATCAATAAAAGTCATTATATAGTGTGCTTTAGAATATATTATCAGTTGATTGGTCATTAAGTCATTAAGTGCACTTTTGATGGAGCTAAACTTTGAAGTACATACATGTGAAATTTGATCATATTTACTAATCAAAAGCTTGTTATCAAAATAACATGAGCTCTAAATATATCAAAAATAATCACATAAATGTAAAATTTTTAAATTTTACAGAGGAGAAATTCATCAAAGTACTTAGCGATTTAATGTTCTAAAATGTTATTTAATGACTTTTTGCTATTAACTGATGATATATATTAGTTATAGTAAAATTTGTCTGTTTAATATGCATTATTTTTATGGAACACTTGAAGAATATATTCTATACTTCTAATGCATCTATCTAATTAAAAATTTTTTTTTTTACTTTTCAATGCCATCCAATCGTTTTTCTAATTTCTCAAGAGTTTCAGCAATTCTAAGAAGTTGTTGCTTTTCATCTATTGGTTTTGGATGGGTACAGAACATACACCGAAATAGTCCAGCAAGGGAGAACTCAATAGATCCTTCTTCATTATCACCAGGCATTGGTACATTCTGAAGGAACCCAAGTAATGTATTTTGGCGAGCTTTTCGCTTTGCTTCTTCTGCGTCTTTTCTTTCTTCCTCAAGTTCCTGTTTTTTGTTAAAAATGTTATTTTTAAGATGATATATTAATTAGATGAAGGTAAGGGTGATTTAATTATATAACTAACCTTCTTCGTTTTCTTGGTTTGAACTTCTCTTGTTCCCCATGAGACTACATTCAAGTTGATAATCGAATATAAAATAAGGAGCAAGTACATGCAAGGAATGGAAAGGAGATAAATTGAGCCAGGAACAATACACCAGAACTCTTGAGGATGAAGGCAGGCTGCTATAAACATTGAACCCGTCATTGACATTAGAAATATAGCCGACGGTGAACCTACCCCGTCCTCTCCCAATTGTAATGCGGTACCTACTATCACAGCCATCATGATCATCGCATAAGCTGTCGATAACATTTGTGCCAGGAGTAACTGAAAATAGCCAAATACAGTAATCAATTGTGTTATTGTTTATTATGATGCACTTTTATTCATTATTCTTAGTATTATTTTACCTGTATGTCAGCTTTGCAGGTAAAACAAACTAACATAAAAAACATGATTGGTATGATGTTGTAATAAAAGCTAGTCCAGTTGTCAATTTTAAAAGCTGCTACGAAAGCACCCACCAACATAAGGAATATAGTTCCTGGGCCAAGTATTGTGCCACCCATCAACATGAACTGTAAAGATTTATATATGAAATAATTTATTTTCAAGTATATATATATATATTTATATTTAAAATATTTTCTTTTTCGTAATAGAATGACATACTTGATACCAAATGTAAGGAAGGGAAATGTTATCATTGATACGTATTGTTGCCTTGTAGTCCATTAAGAGATCCATAATGTTAGCCATCGTAGAAGGCACCCATCTTCTTCTCTGGTTGTAGAATTCATTAAAACCTTCAGGACAATGAGTATAGGCATCTGAGGCAGCTGAATATTCTACTCTATATCCTCGCTGAAGAAGCAGTGTACAAAGCCAACGATCCTCACCTAAATTTGTAAATATATTTTCAATCATTTCCCACTTTTCTGTTGTAAATTCATGAATCTTGGTAAAAATACTTTTGATGAAAGTCTATGTGGCAGTTAAGAAAAAGACCAAAAACTGCAGAAATAATTTTTTTTATACCTTGATCATATTGAACATAGTGTCGAGCTTCTCCAGATTTAATAGTATACTTTCGCATGACATTATCATCCATAAGAGCCTTTCCCCTGAATAGTGAAAAACACCCAGGGCTACAGAGTACACAGCCAATCATGTGTTCAGTTGCTTTTTGTAGCCAGTGACCAATAGCATATTCAAACATCTGATACCACACCATAGGCCCTGAAATCGATACATCAATAAATGAAAAAAAAAAAAAATTGGTAAACTTATTTTATTTTATGATCAATAACTTACCGGAACCAATAGGATGGATTCGACCACAAGCAGCTCCTAAATTACGATTTTTTTTCATTAGATCGACTAGAAGCCTTACAGCATGAGGTTGGAAGTCAATATCCCCATCAAGAGTCAACAAATATGTATTTTCTGCCATAACTTCCTTTCTTTCCACAGATATAGGAAGTTCCATTAATCTATGTCCAAGTAAATAGTACATGTACATCACCTATTAAAAATAAAAGAAAATACGACTTATTTTATTTAAATAACATTATTATGTTGTTTTATTTAGCAGTTATTTTATTTTATAGTTTGTTCAATTAATCAATCATTATCTACCTGGCTCCATCGTTTCCTATGTCTTATTTTTGCTTTATCTTTTAGGTGGGCAATCATTTTTGTTTTACCAGGTAAAGTCCAAACAAGTCTTCCACCATAAGGTGTTGGGTACTTGACAGGTGGTCTGATTCTGATATGGGTTTCGTGAACATGGGATGCAGCTTCATCAATAGTGGAAATAAGAAGTTTGACAAAACGATTTACTTGTGACCAATCATCGTTTACATCACTGATTTCAAAAGCATCGTCAAAAAATATATGTGCTGTTTACATAAAATAGAAAATGAATATATTAATTAAAAATTTATAGGAAAGCAAATAAAAAAATATTGAAGGTGAAAAATATTTACTTTCAAATTCATAGTAATCTGGATCAACTACCCTCAAATACTTCTGGGCTACCCTTCGTGCGCATTGATCTTCATCCATCCTCAATATAGATTTTAACATTTCCATCATCTCATCTAATGTCTCGTGCCACATTGTAGCACATGCATAAATCCTAGTGATGCTATCAGATTTTTTGACGGTTTTAGGAGTTGTAGAGGAAGCGTCAGTATGAACAGATATCGTTTCATAGTATTCGTCAGGATCCTTTTCTCTTTCGGCTAATTCCTAAAATGATACAAAGACATTTTGAAAACTATAATCCTATTCATTTGATTAGAAAAACAAATATTTAGATTGTTCCTTCATTATTAGGATGATATACAGAAATATGGTATTTGTTCAAATTTATCCTTTGCAGTATTTATATTTACATGAAAAAAAAAACAAATGTGAACCTTTTTATACCTTAGCTGCAATTATAGAATAAAGATCTGAATAAATAAAAACCTTGGAAATAAAAAATGATACCTCCTTGTGGATATTTTACATTTTAAGACCTTGAATGTCACCTGACTATGTCAAAATGGGTACTGTGTGCCACTGAATGTGTTGTACTGTTTTGTATACATATATGTATTATATTGTATTTTGTTTACTTTATTATATTTTTTTGGCTTTGGATAGGGTGAGCCATTAATATTGATATCAAATGAGGCACACAGAGCAGCGAACTCAGTGTCCTAGCAGTAAACAGAGCTTGAAACAGAACAGAAAAATTATTTTTAAAAAGTTTCGGTATTAAAATTTTTATTGTCGATAATTTTTCAGTTCTTTTGGAACAAGAACTTTTTTTGTAACTTTTCAAGTAAAGCTTTTACAGAACTTTTATTTAAAAAAAAAAAAATTTAAAGTTTGTCAATTTAGCTAAAAAGTCAATCTAACAAAAGACTTTTATTGATAGGTACTCAAACAAGTCACACATTAGAATCATTTTTAATTCATTTAAGTCAAATTATAATTCTAATACAAGCCTAATTACTGTTTATTTCATATTTCTGAAACTTATTTGAAGAATAAATAAAAGTTAAACTTTTACCATAATGTGAAACTTTATTACAAAAATGTTCCTTAAAATGTTTACTTTAAGAACATTTTTTTTTTGACAGAACTGTTAAAATGTAACTTTTTAAAAAGTTGCACAAAAGTTTCAACCCCTGGTGTTAACTACTCTTGTCCTAAAGTAACTATAGTCATCGATTTCTATCTTAAAAATCCTAAGAAACTATTAATATAAAGTGTTGATGAGTGACTAATATCAACTCCTCACCTCCGTTTTTACATCTTTCTCTTCTTCTCTCCTTCTATTTAATCCAAGTGATTGATCAATCAGAAGTGAATCGTACATGGGCAATACGAATAATTTTTCAGTAGTCGCAAGCCTCTCACATTTTGGTGTCCATATGTGAAGAGTTATCCATGTTTGTGATAATAGCCAAAGTAACCAAATCCAGGCATGCTGTAGTATTTAGAAATGTTTGTACATTAGTGTTATATTATATTGTTATGGCTTAAAACTTTAAGTGAAATATAATTAAGAAGTAATTTAGTAATATTTAGTATACTCTTTACTTAGGTAAAACCAATTAGCAAACCTGTTTGGAAATAAAATCATTTAAGAAGTATACTGGTGGTGATTCGAAGAAGAGGTAATCAGGTATCATGCCTTGAAAAAAACATGGATCATCATGCCTGAGGCCACATAGAGCAATCAAAAGTGATATTGTCACTGGAATGGTTAAATTTACTGGGAAAGCATAACTGAATCCTTGGATAACAATTTTGCAAGCAAATTTACCTATAAAATACAATTTTATATAAATATAAGCAATAAGTAATAAATTGTTAATGAATTCACTTACATAAATATAGTGTTGTAATTTATATTACATATTGATATGAATAAAATGAATTTACCAAATATGTAGCATAAATATGCTGCAACAATTTGGATTAAAAGTATATAAATTGCTGTATCATATTCGGCATCAATGTCAACAATTTCTCCTGTTGGTGTCACATTTGCTAAATCTGGAAGACTTGTGCTGCCAAAAGTTGGTCTTATCTGCAATAAATACAGATGGGGATACATATATAAAAATTTAGGAAATACTATGTTTTCTATTATTATCATATCAAGGATTGAGCAATATTTACCTCAGTAATTCTGATCTTATGAGCTGAAAAACCTCGATGAAAAAGAGAAAAGAAATGATTTATGTTTTCCCCTCTATACATTCTTGCTACAAGAATTAAGATGAGAAAACTAAAAATTTTCCAGGCAGACATAAAAATGTATGTGAAATAACGAGTCCTTTTTAGTCTTTCTTTTATTTTCCAGAGAGGTCTCATAAAACCTGCAAATAATATTCTATTGATCAAAAACTTTATAAAATATGAATTCATTAAATTCATTTAATTTAATAAGCTAATTAATCTTAACAATTTAATCAATTAAAGGTTTTTCAACATGTTTGTTTTTCTAATATCTGCTTCACTGTTCTACGCAATATATCACTGCACTTTCTGTAGTCGATCCTTTAATGGAAAAATAAAAATACAGTATTAGCATCAGTGCTATCAAAAAGCAGTGGCACACTGCTGGAAACAAGTTGAATATATTGACAGCAGCAGACTGGTGGAAACAAGTTAAATATATTGACAATAAAGATATATTTAACTTCATTAGACTCTGGATGAAGATAGTACAGTTGTGATGGGTAAAATTAATTTTAAATATGAAGACTATGACTCTCTGTTTGAGACCAATAATAAAATTGGAAAAAATTATTTAGCAAAAGATACTATCAGTAAACAGATGCCATTTTTCTTCTTATGCATCAAATGATTTCTTACCAATATCTAGAATTTAAAATAATAGAATTATTATCAAATCATAAAAATAAGCATAATCAGACCGGTGTCCACGTTCTGAGGGAAACATTATCATCCAAAGTTCTTAAACGTTCCTCAAGAGGAACTCAACAAACCTGAAGAGGTTTGAGAAAGGAGCCCTGGGTCATATCCTCACATAGTATTACGCCCGGATACCTTTAAGATAAGAGAGTAAAAGCAGGATATTGGAGCTGGATGAAGCCAGAGCCTAGTACTTTTACCGATCTTTACAGACCTTTTAGGCCTTTGGTTACCTGAACCAGTCTTTTCCACCACTCCTTGTCTTAGGCTGCTGCTTTCCAATTTTCTGCATACAGTTCTCCAGCATCTTTATTGATTCTAACTACTCTTCCGTTTTTGGCCTCTCACGTGATCTCTTGCCAAACTACTGTGCCATTCATTGTTGCATAGAGTCATTTGGATGGATTGTTTGAGCTTCATGTCCTGTCCATCATATCCTCCTTTTCTTCTTATTGTGAGTATAGATAGGCCAGCTTCTGTAAGGAGTTGTTTATTGATCTTTCTTCTTCATTTGTTAGTTCTCTCATTCCTGATCGCTTTAGTTATCGTGCAGATGATTTTTTTCTCAAATATTTCAATACTTTTTTATAGAGTTTTGCAAAAATACAGATCTCTCAGCTGTATATCAGAAAACATGATGAACGTGAAATATTCAAAATATCGATAATAAGCTGTGTAAATGAGTCGATAAAATGGATAAATGTGATTTGTCTTCCATTCCATTTTTATTTTTCAATAACTATATACATAGCAATATGCAATGATAATTTGGGCTTAGGCCATTTATCAGAGTGATGGAAAATTAGTTGCCCAATAACTCCTTACTGATCAAATGCATATAACTTGAGCATATAAGTGGATGCCTGAAGTCGAGATGAGAGAACTGTTATCTGTTAAACACAGGAGCCTCCTAAACACTACCAACTACAGAAGAGATAATAGAGTTAGATTGTAGTTTAGAGAAGAGCGAAACAAAATTCATTGATGCTGTGCCAAATATTATTTAATAATATTAACAAATACATATTATTAAGAATCGAAACAAAAGTATATGTTACTTACCCAATACAGAATGCTTTGAAACATAATTTTCCCACCAACCACATGATATACAGAACAATGTAGCAGGTATCAACCAAAGATTTGGACGCTCACGACCTTCAAGAATAGGCCAAACAACAAACCCTGTGGCTTGGGCTGTTAATGCCACTGCATCCACAACTGCCTTCATGTAGACTTCAGTCTTTTCTGAGCCTGTTGTACAACCCTTAGTATTTCGTGACAGCAAACCTGTGTAATTAAAATAGGTTGAAATCTATGCCAAGCATTTTTTAAATTAATAATTTATACAAAGAAAATTATAATTTAATGTTTGAGAAAGGAGATGGTCCAGGGTGGCAGTCATACGAATATTAAAATAGTAAAAATACAATTTTATTTCAAGCCAACATTTCAGGTCTTCCTCACGGCTAGAACGAATAAGATACAAAATGATATTGAAAAATGTGGAAGTTACATGATATTTAAATACAAATTATAAATAACGTTAATAAACTTATTAAAGTTATACAGTGTGAATAGAAATATTAAAAACAATAAACTACATAAACAGAGTAAATGACGTATAACTAAGTAACCAGCTCCTAAACAGAAGCAAATAAATAGTAACAATTATTGAAGATAGGGGAAATTGAATGTAATAAGGAGATTGGACAATATATGTATTTATGAATATAATCCTACAGATAGTAAATAATAAAAGATATAATAAAGAAGCTATGTTTGACTTATTATTATAGCTTCTTTATTATATCTTTTATTATTTTTGTTTACTTATTTTTTATCCATTTTCAATTTTTAATTGATTAATTTAATTTATTCGTTCTTTATTTTTTAAAATTATTTTCCTATTGTATAATTTCTCATTATATTTTGGTTTATTATTTTCCATAATGAACCATTGTAACTGTCCAAAAATTAAAAAAATTACTCCCTCCCCTCAAAATTTGAGGTTTTATATTTCACAATATGTAGAATTCGAAGATCGAATAAAATTTGTTTTTCCGTCCGCGGCTTTTCACCGAGACTACTGGACCATTTTTTTTTTTCAAATTGGGAATTAAAGTTAGAAGTCACCCGACGATGATCCTCCTACCTTGACATTACTATCCGCCCTTTCCTTTCTAGATGGCAGCCGAAAAACCTGTGTTGGTATAGACTGTAGAAAAGAATATATCGATTTCAATGGAACTTGGCTAAAATCTTCTCCTCAATGACCTTTAAATTTATCTATATAACGAACATCAATGAAAAGAAGCTGGAAGAAAAATTATGAGGGGTTGTAAACTTAGATTTCCGTATAACCCAAGAAGTATAATTTTTTGTTGATGTATGGTTATTTAAAGGTTTATTATTTTCAGTAAAAAAAAAATTCGTTGAAATTGGGCAAATTGGAGCAAAGGTATGGTGTTCTAAATATGTTTTATATGGTCTACTGCAAAGCTTATATCTTTTGTTTTTGATTTTTTTGAAAGTTTTACTTCAACTGTAGCAATGTTGTCTGTTTTTTTAAGCATATTATAAATGATAAAGAAAAAAATTGTATAGCCCAATGTTAGGAATACCTTTTTATTTATTTTCCTTAATGTTACATGGAAAGTAATGTTAATTTTGCTATTAATTGTTAATAATAAACCATTGTGTAATAATTTGCAACATTTTTATATATAGTGCCTACTTCTATTTAGGATCTTCTGTTTTTATTTTGTATTTATTATGCTTTTATCTATATTTTCTCAATTTTATCCTGTATGTAAATGTGATTTTCTTACCATTTCTATATTTTTTTTTTTTTACCATTTTGTATGTTTTTAATTTTATCTAGCATGTAAATGTAATTTTCTTACCACATTAATTTACTATTTTAGTTTTTCCACAATATGTACAACTAATACTAATTCTAATTATTTATATTAGTTTCTTTTTTATATTTACTTGTACATTCTATTTCTATAGATAAAATAGATAGAAAAATAATTTTATTCCGGGACACAGTCCCTTGAGAATAACAAAATAGAACAAAATTAAAAGATCACATCTGGCCAAAATAAAATCAATCGAAAAAAAGAAATAAGTAAAAAAAATATAAGGTAAACATTCTATATACAAAAAACGAACTATATACAAAACAATTACTACTATGACAAGGCACTTAAAGCTATTTGACACTGATAGACTCGTATACACTTTGAGAAAAAATAAATGAATTAAAATAAAAATGTATCACAGAATCAATCAATGAATTTGTATGTATCAAATTTCTCTATTAAAATCAGCTCCGACAGGGTTAGCAAAACTATCTGACTGTTCTTGGGATAGGAATTGGAATAGGAGGGTTTTGAAATTTTGGATATGGATGGGGAATGTCTGAATTTGATTGGGGAGGGAATTCCAGAAATTGACAGAGCGGAAACATAAGGAATTTCGGAATGAGCAGTCTGTGAGAAGGAGTAAAGTTTAGAGGTCGTGAATCTTGTGGGTCAGGGAATGGACGAGGATTTGAACTGGAGAAGGTTGTTTTTAGGGTAAGAAGGACGCTGGATGATGATGATTTGGTAGTGAATTTACTAGGAAATATTGTCTTCGGAAGGAGGGGAGAAAGCCACCTTAACTCAGCGTTGTGGTGAGAAACATGGGAGTATCTTGGGTCCCCGATCACAAATCTTACGCAGTTGTTAATAGTCTTTTCAGTCTTTCACGGAGCTCCACAGAGAGGCCATCATACACCACACAGCTATAGTCAAGTGGGGGAAATGAGAGAGGAAACTAGGATCCACGGCGTATGTTGTGGTAGGAGGATGGCGGAAGCGATGGAATAGCTTTGAGGGTGAAAATTGTCCGTCGAGACCACGATATGAGAATATGGTGATTCCCAAAGGAGGTTTTGATCAATGAAAATCCTAAATTATTTACAGGCGGAGTAGAAGGAGATTGGCTGGTATTAAGGTGCAGAATGGAAAGTTCTGGATGGGGATTAAGAAGGGGCTTGGAAGCAATGACAATGGCCTATATAAGGTCTTTCATTTTTATTTTGTATTTACATTGTACTTTTGTCTATAATTTCTTAATTCTATCATGTATGTATATTTATAATTAATTAGTTCATAGATATTGTATTTTTTCTTGTATTGATCAATATCTTCAAATTTTAGATATTGTGATATTCCTATTTTTGTTTTGTTATACTATTAACCACCATCAACCCCCAATCAGGTTAGCTATTTTCCCAGTTTCAAACCAAACTCCATGCTACATACATGTGTAAGATCCTTTTTTTTTTTTTGCCTTATTTTTGTTTTCTTTACACTCCCTTTATGTCCATTATTTTTTATTATTTCTCATTTTTCTCTCAATCTTTCCTTGAGATCTTTAGGATTGTATTTATAAATACGTATATTATCCATGCTCCTTATTACATTCAATTTTCCCTACCGACAATAATTGTTACCATTTATTTACTTTAGTTTAGGATCTCGTTACTTAGTTATATTTTGTTTACTCTGTTTATATAGTTTATTGTCCTTAATATTTCTATGTATTTTCTATTCTCACTGCATAATTTTAATTAGTTTATTCATATTATTCATAGTTTTAATCTAAATATATTAATATATTATCTAAATATAAACTTCCACATTATTCTAAATTCTTTCCTATCTTGTTTGTTCTAGCCCTGAAGAAGACCTGTAAAGTCAGGTCAAAACGTCGCCTTGAAATAAAATATTTTTTTCACTATTATAATCTTTTTATGACCGCCACCCCGGACCATCTCCTTCCTCAAAAATTTACAACGATCAACCATCAAGTATTCAATTTAATGTTTGGATTTAACTTACTTAGCAAAGCTGGAATAAAGCAGACACAGTTGGTAAGCATGGCTCCCTTAACAACATCCAGCTCTGGTAATATGATAAGGAACAGAGAACCAAGGCCTACTACATGCAGAGTTTCCATCGCTAAGATCCAGATGAAATCCATGAATGGAGGTCGCTTCCAAGATTTAAAGATACATATTCTCAGGGACCTAATGAATGTTCCAACTTCAGGAATTGCAAAAGCAAACAGTAAGCACCATGACCAGGCCACTCGTTCTTCGGGTGGTAAGTTCACTACGAATTGCTTATCTCTTCCTGTAAATATAAAATTATCTCTCATAAGTTCACTAAGAATTGCTTATCACTTCCTGTAAATATCAAATTATCACCTATAAACATCAGATAAATTAACCGTATATTAATTAAATAGATAATTTATAATATCTGATTATAAATGAAAGATTCTGATTTTAGCAATAAAAACTTTTACTATTCTCTGTATTTTAAAATATAAACTATAGTAAAATAAAAAATAGTGAAAAATGTGTTGAAATTTCATATTTGATTCATCATAAAAGACTTAATTATTATAGATTTGTTTTAAATAATATTATATTGAATGGTTATGTAAAAAAAAAAAAAACATACCCAAGTCCTTATTACAATAACTGACCACCCTATCAGGTCGCAGTTGGGAAGTGATGAAGAGAACTGACAACTTAGCCAATACACCACTGGTGAGGACAATAGTGAACGTAACCAGGTATGCTATAATTTTTAAAATTCTCACAGTGAATTCAAGACATGCTTGGTTTTCCATCGAACCCGAATCTGTTTTGGGGGGAAGAACTCGGAACACATCCCATCCTTTTGTCTCCTGAACAGTCCTTGTACTGTAAAGAATATTTTTTTAGAATACATATTTCTTAAAAAATATTTAATCTAAGTGATTTCCATTTTTATAATAAATTAGTTTAGAAACATTAAATCATTAATAGCATAAATTATAAATCAGTTACTCAAACAAAAATTTGTCAATCATAATGGTGTATTTCCGGTAAACATAAACTAATTTTCAATTCAGTATCCAAGACAATGAAAGATGTGTATTCATAGAGGATTTTGACGAAGCCTCTCTCTTTCTCTTTCTCTCTCTCTTTCATTCAACTAAATTTCCTTATTAAGCTGAGGAACCAACTATCTCTACTACTGTGTAATCTTGAAAGTATTTTAAGAAATTTTTACTTCTTTATGATTATATGTGATGTTTTTGACAATTCTCACCTGCTGTCATAAGAGGAATATGGATTAGTTTAGCTACTACGTTTTAGGATAAATAAACAATTATTAAAAAAAACAATCACAATCCCGTTAAGGGAAACAAATCACAACCACAAAAATGAAAGGATGTTTATGAAGAACAGTCCTTGACAGTTTCCTATATTAATTAACAAGACATAATCCATTGCTTCAAAATGATTTGAAGTTATAGATTATGTGGCTAACAAGATTATGCAATAATAGAATCAATAACAATCATAGGAAATTATGGTTTTATAATGATAAAACTTATTATTGTCAATATCAATGTAAATTCTTGCAAAACCACAGAGACCAACAGAGCAAAAGAAACTAAAATTTGGACCTCCATTTCTTTAAGGTATGTACAATTCAATTGCTGACAGCTCAAGTGTTTAGGGATGGTCCTTGATAAACTCAACAAGCCTACAGAAATAGGAAGAGGTGGTTATTAGCCCACTAACCTTCTACATCCTAAGGTGTATTGAATGGGGGTAGAAGGTTTCTTTATATTTTATTGTATGGGATATGACCACTAGCGGATCCAGGATTTGATTTTGGGAGGGGAGGCTTCAGTCTGAAAGCTTTTTTTTTATAAAAATGACGATAATTACTTTGGAAAAAAAGAAAGAAACTAACTATCTATACGAAATGGTGTTTAAGTGATTCCTTAAGTTCTTTTATATGTAATTACACGAACAATAACACTTTAAGAGATAATTTTTTAATACTTTTTTCCATAAAACATGGTTATATTTTGCCATTTTTTAGGGGGGGAAGGCTTCGACCCAAAAGCCCCCCCCCCATAGATCCGTCCGTGGATATGACTGAGATGCAAAATCCAAGTTTTCGACCTCGGCTGCCCCTTTCTATCATTTTTAAAATAAAAGATAGTGAAAGAGATAATTAAAATAGGATATTTATTTAAAATATTGATCCACTCTTTATCGATCCAGCTGGAACTGGTCTGGAACGATTTGCCAACTGTTTCTCGATGAATCGACTGAAACTCCTGATCGATGAATCGAAAGTGGGTATCTGTTTGATATTGGAATTTAAAAATATTCCAAAATATAAAGTTGCCCAGCATTGGTTAATTAAAAGTGTATGGGTTTTTATGCCTATGAAGAAACAGAATTTGTTAATATAACCAAAATCATGCTTATACTATAAATATTAAAAAGTAATTTGTATCTTTATATGTCGCATGTAAATGGTTGGTTATATGAATTACATAAACTGGTATAATGAATTATATACTGTAGCATAGACATTTTTTGTATCGTATGTATTGTAAATAATACATTATGTTTCTTCAAATTTATATAATAGGATTTTGTACATTGTTCATGTTTAAATAGTATTATTATTTTTTTTTTTTTTGTATATCATAAACATGACTTGTATTTTAAAACACGTGAACATATTGTTTTTCGAAATCAAAATGGCGTCACTTACGTAATTTGAAATTTTCGTTACACTTTTTGTGTTAGAATTAAACATTTGGTAACTGGTTTTGCATTAAAAATGAAATGTTTTCCGGATTCGAGGGATAAATCCGTCAAGTTGCAGCCAACACAGTTGACACGGTTGGCTGCTTGTCATATCAAAGATTAAGTGCCAAGGGGCTGGTTCGATTAGAAAGATTCATGGCTGACAAGTTATTGGTTAGTAGAAATTTCTATATAATATTTTTTTAATGTATTTGTTGTTCATTTATTCGATTTAACCTCCACTCTAACAACGTGTGTTGGTTTTCAGGTTATAATAATGACTATCCCTCCAGTGATATTAGAAATCACAACGTTTTCTTCACAGAAGAAGGAAAAAGAAACCTCATTGAACACAGACTTTACAGAATATCTGTGGATGGAAAACGAGGAAGAGTTTGACGAAGAAGTGCTGAAGCAGTTGGAAGAAGAGGCACTGATGGACGAGTGCATGGAGGCTATGCTGGAAGAGGAGATGATGCTCATGGACCTGAACGACTATTGGACGAACGGCGTCGTTCCCGGAGGAGACGAAAACATAGCGGAGAGGAGCCTGCTCAACCCGGACGCCGACGAGTTCGTTCCACAGTCCCTATCTTAAAGACAGTTGCCAACTCTCAAATTATCAGTATATAACTTAATTTTCCTTGTTTTTAATGTCTTGTTTAATTTGTGTTTTAGTTCGAGGTTGTAAATCTTTGTATTAACTGTTTCCATTTATGTAGCGCTACTGTCTTCTTAATTTATTTGTGTCGTGTGAAGTTTGATCAGTAGAATTCTTCAATCATGAGTTTACTAGTTTTTTTTTTTTTTTTAAACAAGAATTATATCGTTTTGAAATATATTACTATTGAAGTGTAAATTAGATTTATTTGTTTTGATGAAGAGATTAGTGTTAAGAGAAGATACGTAGAAGCCCGTGGCACATCTCAAAGCTGCAGGTCAGTGTCAATTTATTTCACTTGGAAAAGTTTTAACATTTTATATTTCACTGACGTGAGGATAACCTCAAAGATATAGATGTTCGGATTCAGTCGATTGTGATAATAACAATTACTTTTACCAATTTATTAAGTGTTTGGTTATCATAAAAATTAATTTGTCATCAGAGAATTGTTATCATTTTAGGTGAATAATTAATTGAAGCAGGTGGTGATAGATAAGACCTCGGACAATCAACTTGATTGGTACTTCATAATACTTATAGCAGTTTTAATAGTATTACCTTCTTGTTTTAGTTTACTAGTTATGTTTTTTCGGCCTCTACTACAAATGTAATAGAATACTATTTTACATAATTTAGAGAAAGTTAATAAACCTCCTTTAAATATATACGATGTGACTAAATCGTAAGTGTCTTGGTATTCTTGAAAATATTAGTCCAAAGTTGTCTAAACAATACACACAAAATTATATTTTAGAGAACTAAAACGATTTTGTTTTGTTTTTTATTATACCCTTACCACGGTGTGCTTCGGGCTGAAGATCATCTCACTCCAAAATGAGAAAATATCATTTTAAGGAGAAGTGGGTTGTGCCCACCACGGGCGGATCTACGGGAGGGGGGGGCTTTCGGGCTGAAGCCCCCCCCCCCAAAATGGTAAAATATACCCATGTTTTATCGAAAAAAATATTTAAAAAGTATCTCTTAAAGTATTATTGTTTGTGTAATTACATTTTAAAGGGCTTTAGGAATCACTTAAACACCATTTCATACAGGTAGTTAGTTTCTTTCTTTTTTTCCAAAGTAATTAACGTTTTTTTTATGAAAAAAACAGCTTTCGGGCTGAAGCCCCCCCCAAAATGAAATCCTGGATCCGCTAGTGGTGCCCACAGCTTCTTTCCACCCGCAGACGAAGTTTTTGAAGAGCGGATAGTTCCTTAGAGGTCAGTTAATTAAACCTGTTGTGTCAATGTAAACGTTTATGTTCTTTAATATTAGCTAGGTCCTGGCTTCGTTGAAGTAGTCTAACGGGGATTGAATGCCGAATTGTCTGTATGCCTTCCACCAAAATACCTTTGGTTTGGTTTCTTTGAAATAACTTATTTAACAACCTCTGATTGTCAATACTTGTACAAAATGGCTCAATAAAAACTATTAAAAAAAAAAAAAATTAAAAATCAACTAAAGGAGAAAAAAGAAAAATGTTTTTCTGGAAGTAAGATTCAAAATATATAAGTAAAATATTTCATAGGAAAGCTGAGGATTTTATTTAAATATATATAAAGTCATATAAGTTAATTTGAGGCAAAATATTTGGAGCAGTATTTACTGATGGTTAACCATATCTTTATAACCACAAATAAATTTACTCTAGGTTAAAAAATTCAGATACGGGATAGATTTACTGTCGGTTTATTCAGAAAAAAAAAGTAACATTTTAGGAAATGAATTCAGTAAATGATAAATTTCCCACCCTAGTGTACAAAGAGGGTGGTGATTGGTTGCTTGTTGAACGCTTTTTTTCTCCGGGAATTTCAGATGGTTGCTAAGTCTGCAGGTATGAAGGCATGTTTCTACGTAAATATTTTAGCATGTTACAATTCCGCACTTTTGAAGGCATTATTTAATTTTTTATTTATTCAATATTATCACTTTCTTGGTTGTTTAAATACATTTTTTTTTCATTACAAAAACCGAATTTAAATTATTTTAAATCCTAGCTTGAGAGCTTAATATATCGAGTATTCTCAATACCTCGAAGACCCTGCCTCGCCCGCGAAAGTTCCTTTGATTAAATAGGGAAATTAAAAAAAATGTGAAATTTCTCAAATTACTCAGACAAGAGGTTACTACAAAATTTGTTACATTTTTTCCCTCTTAGCCCATTACGCAACTTGAGTGTCATTTATAGTCCAATATATTTTTTCATTACAAGCCACGGGCCGCGGGACATAGTTTGGCGGTCTCTATGTGGCCCGCGGGCTAAAAGTTTGGAGATTGCTGATCTATTGGGATGGCAAATAGTTTATATTTTTATGCGACTATGATACACTTTTTATCTGATTAATTAATCCCTAAGGTAGATTGTTTATCCTGTTTGTAATATGTCAACAACTATATCTGTTAACTCTTGTTGAAACTAGCTTAGTGTTGTGGTTGCTATTGCACTGTGAATATGAAAATAATACAACATATTTTTTTATATTATTTTAAAAAAGGTAAACGTGTTGCAGAAGCTCATAAAAAAATTTATGGGTACTGTGCCTTCACCGAACGCACCTGTCAAAATTAGTTTGCCAAATTCCATTCAGGAAATTTTGACATCCATGATACTCAACGGTCTGGTCGCCCACATGAAATTGAAATGAGCGATGTTAAGGCCATTGTTGATCAAAATTGCACCCAATCACTGCGAGAGATTGCTACGGCCCTAAATGTGTCGCACACAACCGTAGAAAACTATTAGCACAAGCTCCTCGGCCATGTTCCCATGATTATGTTTGTGTCCTTCACTGATTTGTTTTCTAAAATCACAAAAAATGTTATAACTTCAATAAAACTTTAGCTATCTACAAGAAATTTAGCTGGAATTTAGGGCCACATAAAGTACACAAAATGACATCAACAGGACCTCCATAAACAAACTACAAATGGATATATAAAATAAAAACGCACAAGGAGTTTTTTAATTTATTATCATGTGGATATTAAATAAAAAAAAACATTCATACGACTTTGAAGAGCAATAATTCAGCTTTTCAACGGATATAGTAACATCGAATTTGGAGAACATCCTGAATAGTTATGAATAATCGGAAGGGTTTTGTGATCCACCAAATTAACGCTAGGCCCCATTCCTCATTGGTCACTCGCAATAAATTGTTGAGCCTTAAATGTTTAGACCTTTTGCTCCACCCTCTCCATTCACCAGACCTAGCTCCAAGTGACTACCACTTGCTCCGGTTTTTGCAGAACTCCATGAATGGATTGAAATTCCAAAAGAGGACATCAAAAACCACTTGGATGAAATTTTTTAACTATAAACTCCAAATATTCTATGAACACAGCATTATGCAGTTAGTGGAAAGGTGGGAAAAAATCATATTAAATGGTGGTAAATATATTGTAGATTAAAAAAAAAAAAATATGTCTATAATACATTGAGTTTTATTTCATCCTGAAAAACCGAAAGGACTTATTTGCCAACCAATGTATCAAAACCTTCCGCGAGATCTTCCACCTTGGGCTTTTACTTTATGTTACGCTGTGCCCCTCTTCACTGTCCTGCAGAGGCCAGGGCCACTTATTACGCCCTGCCAACACTGATAAAACAACATCGGCAAGTTTCCGGATGTTAGACTCCCAGTTTCCTATTCTTTTCAGTTCGTGGAGCGTCATTCATTAATGAACTTGATAGTTTTTTACTGTTTAATGGCACAGTTGGCTGGTCGTTTGTATTCCTCCCGCTCTTCCAATAGTTTTGTATCGTTATAAAAAAATGTAATTGGTCCCTTTCGTTCAATATTTGTCTGTGGATTACCTCTCATTCTTCTTATTTATTGAACAAAACTTTTTTTTTGTGTCAACACTTTTGTTTAATGGACAAAACTGTTCCTTTTTGTGCAAACAGTGTTATTCAAGAGACCTTGAGGAACTTTCTCCGACTCCTATTGGATTGAAGCGACCAAGCCAGTTCACGAGTTCTCAGCTGTTTCCGCCTGCCACTTTGGGCCAAAGAGATGACTTGAAAGTAGTGGGATCACGCGCCCGCTTTTAACACACTTGAATAATGTCGACATCCAATTCCGAGTCACTTGATGGCATTCACCCGCTCAAAGAAGAAAGAACCACTAAAATGAAGAGGAAATGTATACTGCCTCGTATACTTCCCAGAGTTCAGTTTCATCAATATGTTTATTTTATTAATAACGGTTATTTATAAAAGGATTCAATCAAAATTAAGAAGTAATTGTTATATCTTCTTTGCAAAAGGTTTGAAATCGAATTTATCCAGTTGTTTACACAGTTTATTATGGTAATTTTGAATATTTTACATTCCCTATACGTTCTGGGCACTTACCATTACCCTATAAAGATGTAATGAAGGATTTGAGAGTAAAATGCTTCGCAAGATAACCGGAGTGATCTAGGATGGGAGTACAATAAACAGCGCACACAGAAATCGATCAATCCATATCTGTGTGAAGGCAAGGAGGCTAAATCGGCAGTGCATGAACAGTGAATGTCACAATAGTTGGTAAGAGACCATGTTGGGAGATGGGCGGGGCAAAAACGAGGTGGATATATACAATCAAATGGACCTGGAGGATAGCCCGTTGGGAGCGCCGGCCGATCTCCAGGGGCGACCGCCACATGTGAGAAATAAAAATATATATTAAAAGATTAAAATAATTAATTTTAGCCTATCAATAAAGAAAATGTATTACAGGAAAAGAAAAAAATTGAAATAAAATTCAAAAATCACATAATATAAAACAGCTTGAGAAATAAATTGGGAGATGACGTCATTTCGCAGGAGCACCTAATGCCTGAGGCCGGTGAAGAAGGCTGCCTCGAGCGGACAAAGCCGAACAGAAAGCAGTCAACGAAATTTCATTTCCATTATAGTCACATTTTGATTTAGCTTCCTCCTGACAATTGTCTCTCCGGGGTCGTCATTTTCTTCCTTGCTACAAAGGATAGTACTCGCAGATGAGATTGTGGATTGAAGAACTGTTCCGAGAGGAAGAGATTGCAGTGGAAGCCGCTGCCATTGATGGCGACAGCTGTCATTGACGCCCGGCTCTCCTCACAATGGGCTCCGTCAGGAAGGCAGGTTCTGTAATTGTTAATTAAATTGGAACAATGACTCCTCTTTGAAGTACCGCCCTCATGCAGTCTGACCATTACCCCGTCGCGTATTGATAGGGCACATTCGATCATCTCCAGGTGTGTGGTCTGTTTTGGTCTTGTTATCTTAGTAACCCAAGGACATGTCGTACCAAAAAGAAACAAAAAACATACTACACTATAAAAAAACCAAAAAAAAACCTTTAATAAGAATGATTTTATGAAAGTAAATCCTATTATTATTATTGGACGGCTATTTCATGATAAAAAATAAAAATGATTGTTTGGTTGATTCATAAATAAAATAATATATCAAAAATATTAGATAATTTTAGATCCCAACTTTGTTTCAAATGTAAAACTAATAATTAAACTGTCCCCCACATAGAGCTCATAAATTGAAACTAACGTCTGTTTTCCCTTTACTCTCCGATTCTGTTGACAAAATATTTCCAAACATATAAAATGATATTATCTGAATATAAGTACGGGAATGAAGGACTGACCTGTTTCAAGTTAATTTCCCCCTCGGGCTGGCATCTATTGTTGAAGTTATTGTAACCTGTTCCGCTATAATACTCCTAGGAGCAAATTTGCAAATTAGTTCAAATAAAAAAGAACAATGTTTTTCATCATAGCACCTTCAGAAATTAAATAAAAAACAACTTTAGTGATAGGGATTAAATATGTATATTGTCAAGGAGTGGTAAGGTCAGCAGAACACCAAAACATCTATAACTCATCGTGATTGTAATTGTTCTGAACGCCATGAAGTACCGAGTTTGTGAAGACTATTACAGGATATATCTACAGATGGAAATTATTCTATAGTTTTGGTGTGTATTCACACCTCTACAGTTACCAAAAATGATAATCCAAATTAACAACCTGTGGAAGTGGCTGAAAAGAAGATTGCTTCTAGATACTTAAACATAGACATTCTATCTCCGCTCCTTGACTACTCAATGTTATTCATGTTTAGTAGTATTTTTGTTCTGCGATTGTAGATTTCAACAAATAAATCAGTTAGAAAACAATATGGACCCCTCTTTGCTGATCTGTCAGTAAGAAAGGAAGGATAGGAACCGCCAATCGCCGACCAACAGTAGATAGACCGTCGGTCATCAGGTCTCATCCAGCTCTTCGTTGAGGTTAGTCAAACCGCTCCGGGAACCTGGTTCCCGCCTCCTTGAGGTTCCGATTATTATTGGTGCCGAATAATCTCGTTCAATGAGACAGTTGTGCCAAGCGCATAAGTGGAAGCGGTAGATGGAATCGGTATGGTACCATTTCAGTATCAACACAACCTTTGTAAGTTTCCTGAAAATAGGACCAACTGTAGCAGATTATATCTTTTCACTTTGGTTTGCCCAACTGACAAACTGAAACGATTGAAAACAATTTTTTTAATATCTTTAAATATAATTCACAATAAATGTGTGATTCATTTATTCAATCATCAAAAACTTATTTCAAAATAAAAAAACACATGTAATTTTCAAATAATTGATTTAGGTAATCAAATCAGGACAGAAAACATGAACCAATACACACAAAATATAATATTTAGGATATACTACAAAAATTTCAAGGATATTTTTTAATTTTTTTTATTTAGAAAAAATACATTTTGCCTCAATTAAGGGCATTGAGTAATTAGGATGAATGAAATACAAACATACCATATATACAATAAAAAACAAAACAAGATTATATCAAAATAAAATAAAATCCTACAAAAATGATATCGAATAAGCTTTGGTCATGGCTAAATAATAGAAATGTGATATGTGTTTCAACTTATGATGCTTATTCATATTTGGGGCATTAGAAAAAATTAATGTAAAATATTTCACCAATGACATATCCTTGCCAATAATATATATATATAGGGAATTAATAAGGTTTGGTTAGGAAAAGTTATTTTTCTTTACTCAAATTTAAACCAGTCGCCAAACAACATTTTCCGTATTAAGAAATAAGCTTGAAATCACCACCTACATTTTCAGAGTTTATGAAACTTCCCTAAAAAATTGGGCCAAATTGAATATACTGTTTTTGAGATAAAGGCGTATCAAGGGAAATACGTTTGCGCAAATGTAAGAGGAATTAGCTCATATAATTTAATAACTTGTTACATCATCGTTTAGTCACCAATCCCCAACTTTGAGCGAATTCTAACGCACCGTTTATGAAATACGGGCATATCTAAGAAAATAAATTTACACTTGCGCAAGCGAAAGTATTGGATGGGATTTGATATGATAACTCCTAAGCACCCATAGGCACCATTGATATGGGGCCACTTAGGTAAGGCATCAACCCGCACTATCTGAAAATATGATGACAATCGGATAAACCGCAGTAGATGATATGGCAGTCACATTTGATAACAGGCAGAAACGTCTTCAAAATTAACGCTGGCCAGTGGCAAATGTCAATTCTAAACAATTTTTTTTTTACTTCCCGCAAAAATACAATGCGTCCCTAACTGTTATAGTCAGGATGAAAACAATTTATATTTTTTAGAGTCCTCCCACAATTTTGCAATTTGGAGTAGATTTTTCCGGTCTTAAATTTCCTAACATTTTAATTTTCAAGCGACGGAGTCTACTCGCCTACACGCACCTGCTGATATTTCCTTATTACAGATGTTTAGTTTCATAATTGACTTTTCTTTGTAAATATTCTATTTCCTTTTGGTTGATTTGATGTGGTTCCAAAATATGCCATTGTTGGCGAATATTGTATAAAAAGGACAGTGCCAATTTGAATAAAGCGTAAAAAGGTCATAGAGAGCCATTGAACGAAGCGTGGAGGAGAATAAAGCCGTTCTTTGAGAGCGTGTTGGCGCTGCCTGAGGCTAAACAAAGGGAGCGAGCAGCGCTCCTTGCGCAACTCCTTTTACGCTGTTGAGCAAACAGCCTACATAACCCCGCTACAGTAACCACCCTCAATAATTGCCTAGGTCGAAGCACTTTAACCTTTACGATTGATCCGGCACTTTAAGCCGGTGACCATTGTTCGGATAATGGTGACACATCTCATTCCGATATGCCATAAAGGTATTAATGATGAAACATGACATGGCTGTGCCTTTAGACAGTTTGCAGTCTATATTGCACTTATGGATGAATATCAGCAGTTTTGTTAATCTGGGTAAAAAGAAGCGTGGTTAAATGCGCCCAACTACCGTTTGATGTATTGTCGGCACCATGTTAAAGTAACATGTTAAATTAAGGAATCATAACCTGTTTATTGCCGCACATTCGTTAGTTTAACATGTTACTTTAACATGGTGCCGGCGATATGTATAATTTGTTTAATTTAAATAGCATTGTTTATTGATATAAATAAATGCAAAAATTAGTCTTTTCATTGGCATTGATATTATTCCTCTGTAACATAACATAATATCATCGTTGAGAATCGATTTGAATTATCAGTTGTCGTTCTACTTTCTTCAGATGCTTTGTCTCCTTTGTTTATCTTTAAATTTTTCTGAAAATATGTATTTTTTTTTCTTCTTGCGATTACGTGGTCTTTTCAATAAACACACAAGAATAACGGAATAGATTTTTGATGAAATTAATATAAAATATTCATTCGTACCATGTCCCTTTCAATACTATATGTCTAAGTATATAGTAAAGTGTATAATATGATTTATAAGAAGATAGATATGGTGCCTTACCTTCCGCCATAGATATCGTGGGTGAGCGGCGTCCCCTCATCGTCGGTGCCATCGTCGGACAGGTCTGGGGGGCCGTTGTGGGTGACGAAATGCGGCCGCAGGGTCGCCATCTGTCCTCCTCTCCCAACTGCAAACATAGTTTATTTTATTACCTTCTTTATATTTCCAAAAATAGAGCTTTAAATAACCTCATGTTAAATAACTAATGTAAATTAAGGCAGTTTTAACTATTTTATCCTGTCCAAATTATCAATAATGTCAATGTATGAGTTTCGAATCGATTATAAGGCTTATAAATATATATTTTTGATATATTATAAGGCTGGTAAATATATATTTTTGATACATTAATTATCAATCATTTCGGTGGTATTAAGGAGCCGGTAATTGTTACTTGGTAAATATTATATTGAAGATGATTCTCAAACCAGTCAATGATTTTGTGTCAATTTTTTTATCGTAACTTGGATCAACTGAAAAATATTTTTAAACGATACTTATGCCTCTATTTTTACTTCACTATCCTCTATATGTAATATATAGTAAGAGTAAGTATTGCGATCGTGAAAATTTTCGAATCTGATTTTTCAACGGAAATACATGTTTTGAGGTCTTCTGAATCCAAATAACTAAGTCCCGCAAAATGGTCTGTTTGTATGTATGTGAACAGCCTAGCTCAAAAACGAAACTGATATTACGTATTTAAGATAAGTATAATCCTTAGATGTTACAGAAACGTTTTCCTTTAAATTGGCTAACAGGAAGTGCCACTTTATATCAACGGTGAAACAAATGTTTACAATTTTATCAACGGCTCCAACGTCAAAGATCATAGATCTGGTGACCAGGATCTTTAAAGAAGTCCTAAGATTCTAAGCCGCCCCTCCCGTAAATATCTGCGTCTTTATTTGCAATTATTTATTTGAACTCAATGAATTTATCTTTAGTCAAACCACCCACATTCCTAGTTATAGTCTTGAAAGGAGTGTGGTCTAAAAAAAAGAATACAGAATACACTTAGAATGAAAATAATAATGTAATAATGGATTAATAAAAACAGGCATTGAAGTTGTAACCGGATTTCAGTGACATTTTACGCCATAAGGAACTGGCCACATTACCCGATGGACAAACTGGCTCAATTAGTTACAATACCTTCAATAAAATACATTAATTACCAAGGAAGCTACAATTTTCATGAAATCCATATTTCAGCCGGGTTAATTCTACACCTAATAGAAATAATAATACGTAATTGAGAAACTAAAAAGGAGAAATTCCATCATTTTATTATACGCTTCATTACGTAAGGTGATTAAACACATTTCATAAGTGTGTAAATAAACATTAACGTATAATTATTTATTTGTTTGCTCTCTTATACTTATGATTTTATTTTATCTCTTATACAAACCGTAAGAGAGCAGCTGAAAGTAACTGAACTCAAAACCTCTTTGGAGGATAGAAAACTCAAATGGTTTGAACATGTCTGCCACATGAACGAGAGTATGGACCCTATAAAGGTATCAGAGGTTAGAACCACTGGGAAGAGAACCCGAGGGCGTCCCAGGGTTTCATATCAGGAATTAGGAAGAGACCGGGAAGAGTGGCTAGAGGCTCCTGGACTCTAGAAATGGCACGTGAGGGAGATGAAGAAGAATTATTAACAAATTTGATGAATTTTTCCTCTGCGAAGTGACTTACAAGTAGTGTAAAATACTCGAAGTATAAAAGTTTTTTTTTTTTTGTTTCTTTTGACATTGTTGTAATGATGACATCATTCGATATTGAAGAAATCGACGTTAGACTCTGTATCATCACAATATTGCTCGATGATGATTATAATTTTCGTGGATTTATTTATCCTTAGTTGTATGGCAAGACTTTAAACAGCTACTGCGATCATACCCAGAAATATAATAATTAATAGACTTCTGTCTGTTTTTGAAACGCTCATTTCGTTTTGAGGCTTTTTGATACGAAATCATCCAAATTGGGTCTACTCGAACAAATCACCTAATTGCAGTTACTAACTGCTGGAGTTATTAAATCATTTTGATATAAAATGGCGAGTGAGCTCTGAGAGCTGCAGGTTCTCACCGCGTTGCCATGGGAACCGTTCTCTAGGGACCCCCCACATTTTTACCCAATATTGACAAATCGCCCCAGACCTCGATATCTAGGCCGCCTGCGTCCTGTGGCCCAAGTTGCCAATGCCTGCAATTCAATGCTTATTTTAATTCTTTTTAAAAGAAAAATAATAGTGTAAGTATTGTAATAAAGTTATATTCATATTGTATAAAGAAAAATAACAAAACTATTTTAATTCTGTATTAAAAAGGTCTGCCAAGGATGTCCAGTATAGCTTCCGCGATATTTCTTTTCGGTCTATAATTAGTTGCATTTTAAGGTTTATATGTCGTTTTAGTCCTGCAGCCCGTGGCAAAAAAAGGTGTCATATTTCATGCTAAGGTTTGTCCTTATAAATTGACCATATCCATATGCCTGAGGAGGAAAATGCACGTCTGCCAGAATATAGCAGCTGAAATACAAAATGGCGGCCATGTGAAGATAGATAGAGACCCTTCATAGGTTGTAAGCGTATATAGAGAGAGGTCTTATAGATATATAAAGCTTTTAAATTTATAGTATTTACAATCTTAAGACATGAAATAATATTCAGTTAGAAACATTGAATTTAAGATTCAAAAAGTACATTTTCTTTTTTGTTTCTATCTATAATAATGTCATGTGTGAAATTAAAGCTGACAACATTTTAAATAGAAATGATTATATTGCTTTTTTCGCTATATTTCATAGTTTCCATGATATTCGTCCTCGTAATTTGACTCGCCAATTTTGATATCAGGACCCTTCCCTAATAAAATGAAAATATTTTTATTTATGAACAGTTGACTCATCGCATCTGTGGGTCCACTGCCCTTACGAGAATCGTAAAATAGATTTTACTTTTTTTTTTAGTTTCAAAATGTGTGTATTAGCGAGGAAAACATTTCGCATACATTACCAACACCTATACGTCAGCAGTTGGAATCGAACCAACATCACTTTTGAAATTAAATAAAAAATAATTTTACTCAGGGACTGTAGCCCCTTACAATAATAGTAGACTTCAAAAAATATATATATTATTCTGGCATGTAGATATAATACAAATATATACGAAAAATAATAAGAAAAATGTAAATATATATACATACACATGTATACATACATATATACATATACATACAAATACTAAGGAAAATACAAATATATAAAAAAATACTGAGGAAAATATCAATGTATACAAAAAATATTAAGGAAAAATACAAATATATACAAGCAATACTAAGAGGAAAAAAATGGTAAATAAATAAAAATAAAATGACTTATCAATTAACTGCTGGTGATGAACGTACTTATACAACCCATAAATTTTCACAAGCTTGCGGAAGTTTGAATTTGTAGTTGGTGGTGGAATAGGAATCGTTTGAAGGAGTTTATGGACGTGGTTTAACGTATGGAGGTGGGTAAAGAGTTCTAGAAGGAGGTAGCACGAATGACGAAGGATTTACTGAAGGAAGTGGTTTGATGTGAGGGGATACATAAATATATAGGTTGAGATCTGGTATTGAGAGAGTGAATAGGGGGACGTAATGTAAGGAGTTCTAAGATGTAGTGATGGTTTTTGGTTCTGAGGATAAGGATTTGGAAAAGGAAAACACCAAGGAATCGCCGTCAGGAAGTAGGATAAAGCCAGTTCAATTCGATGTAGCAACAGGATACATGAACATGCCTAGGAAGGCCAAAGATGAATATTATGAAGGAATTCATAATTTTCTTCAGCCTCGCCTCCAGTCCTGTGGACAGCCCTCCGTACACCAGGCAACCGTAGTCGAAGTGGAGGGGGAGGGGGCTAGGGATGTTACAACGAGCTGTCTGTTTTTTTTAGAACGGAATCACGGAATTGTAGGAATCGTTCAAGGATAGTTATAGATTTACGGGTAATCTGGGAAATGTGGTTGTAACAAGAAAGGTTCTGATCAAAGATGACGCGGAGGTTCTTGACGATCGGAGAGAAATGGATGGGACGGTTATTGAGGTGAAGTAGAGAAAGGAAGGGAACTAATGAGGTGCATGGAGTCGGTGAGGATAGCCTTGGTTTTATCTGCATTTAGCATCAGTTCATTTTTTTCTTCCCATCTGAGGACACAGTCAATATCCTCTTGTAGTTTAGCCATCTCAGGTGGTTGGAATGATAAGTGAATTTGTAGATCATCTGCATGTAAGTGATTTCGGCCTCAAAGCTGCTCGAAGAAGGTGGCTGGCTTTGTTCAAACAGGTCTTGCTTCAAATATCAACTCTCCTCTGACCTTCAAGACTGAAAACAAGACCTTCAAGACTATAACATTGGGCGTGGTGATCTCAGCGCTACCCACGCCCGTGGATTTGAAGTTCAGGAAAAAAAATTACATATCGACAACCACACTGCGAAAACCTGTAAGAATAAAAACTAAACATTTTCAGGAGACGATAAAAACCGCGAAATTTTTGTTCTGTGAGCATTATGTTTTCGGTTCAATTTTTTTTTTGCAGACCTAAGAGAAAGGTATATATAATCTCTAGGTATCTATAATCTTTTAGAGCCATAACTTCTAACTTTTTAGTTATTTTGAAAAACAGGCATTACTTAAGTAAAAACTATCAAATTTACTGTATTAGTGTAACACACATAACTTTGTTAATAATGATGACATCATGACATAAACAAAGTCAGTTTCCAAAATAAAGAAACGATACCTTAAATGAATTTTTTTTTTAACGTACTCAACTTCATTTGGACAACATGGTTTGATTCACGAATGCTTGATAAGTTTTAGATAACCTGCTGATGTGTAGAACATTTTTTTTCTGAGCTTCTTGCTATTTCGATGATTCATTGGTTTGAAAGATGAAACTAGAAATATTCTTTCGTCTCGTATTAAATTATCCAATTTAATTCTATCGCAATGTCAATTCTATGTAGCGGTGCCCATTACCCCCTCTCCCCCGCCCATCAAAGGTCGAAACTCTTCCTCCCCACTCTCAAAATATTTTATTACTGTGCTCTTCTTAAAAATTGTGCAAGAAAATAAAATTCATTTTTTTTTTTAGATTATATACAATTACACATCCTGTAGACTGTTCTATGCTTCCCCTTGTCTTCTGGATTCAAACTTTTTGTTCTGAAAATGCCTAACCCCGTCGATCAGTGCCCCTCGCAAAAATTCATAAAGCCATCAAAATGGGCCCCCTCAAAACTTTTGATAGCGCAGCATCCGCCATAAAACTCCCTCCCGGGCACTCCTGATTCTATGTCAAAAATCAATTCTATGTCTCTCACTATCTGAAATTCGGCGTCATTTGCTGTTTTCTGGAAGTCTCGGTTGTTTTGAAGGCCGTTAAATATTATATCCACACTTACCACTCTCTTCTTTGCTTCTTCTAGTTTCATGGTAAGCAGTGCCGGTCTCGGGGCAGGGAACCCGGGGGCTTTCTCCCAGAGGCGTCGGGCTGGAACTCCCCGCCACTTATTAGAAATTAAAAATAAGAATGCAAAGCGAATATGAAAATTTCTTTTATTCTATTAATAAAGCAAATTGATTCTGTAGTTTATGCACAAAACGCTTTATATATTCTATATTTACATGACCACCTTTCGTTGAGCATTTCATTACGTTTTTTAACTACACAATCTCTATAAGCTTCACTGTAACTTACAGTTTTTCACTTCACGGTTTGCGGGTTTTAAGTTACAGGTTTTTAGAAAAAAGGTCATATAGAGTGGAATTGAATGATCGTAGGTTTCTTTTTGTTAGATCAAAATATGCGCCAGAACAAGATTGATAACAAAAGCTCAAAACCTCACTTTCCAAAGAAATTGTCCTTACTGACTTTTGCAGTGTTACTGTCGTTATATTCTTTGTTTGAATTCTCGAAAATATTTGTTTACATATTTTAAAAATGTTAAAAAAGTTAGAGAGGAAGAAACAACGATAACCTAACCAGTGCGAAGTAATAAGATAATAACGAGTAATTAAAAAATCCGAAGTTAGTTATTTAAATTTATTATTTTTATTGGTAAAAGGATTAATTGACAACTGAACACTACTGCCAGGGGGTGGGGAGATGGGTGGACTCCTACTCCCACATCAATTATTGCCGCATTTTATTAACACACATCGCTCTCGCTCAAACTCCACCGGCTTTAGCACCGGTGAGGCGGTTGAGAGAGTAGCGCAGGGATTTGGGTTCCCCGCCTGATTGTATATATTGTATATAGGTATGACTGTATTTTTATGTTTTTAATTTACTTATATTTAGGTTTTTTTATTGTATATAGTTTTTATTTATTATTATTTAGTTATTATTTTACTTTTGTTAATTTTGTTTCTTTTTTGTATATACGGTGTGAATGTGTTCATTTATCAATATAATTATTGTCCCTGTGACAGAATATTATATGTCTAAATAAATAAAAAAAAAAATTAACACAATATCTGGTTTATTGGCGTGAAAATAAAATAATATCATGCCGATCAAAAAGTTATGTAATATTACCTGATATAGTAATAGGCTTATAACTTAAATTAAATATGGTTTTGGAGAAGATAAAACCGAAATGACATAGCGATTTGTGGGATGATGTTTCATACAGACTGTTTCTAAATAGAGAAAGGACCTATATTCCCCGAGAGCACAACTCAAGGCCTCTCAACCTGCTTTCGTTGAGTTTTATTGTCGTTGACTGCTTTTCAAATCCAGTTTCTCCGCTTTCGGTGACGAAGGCAGTCCTCAATATCGTGGTCACTTTTTCAACCAAAAAAATAAAATAAAATAAATAAATAGGAAAGCTCGAAGATGTTCTCATTTAGTTTGGAATAAAATAATTAGACAGTGCCTTAGGGTGGGGCAAGCGAGGCAATTGCCCGGGGGTATCGGCCAATCTTTAGGGGTCACTTTTGGAAATTAAAAAAAAAATCAAGATGTACGCTTTAGACCACACGATAGAAGTGAAAACATCAACAAGGAGGGATTAATGATATGAAATATAAATTATAAATAATACCTTATTATAAAGAGGATGAAACGCTGAACATTTCCCTCGCTTACAGTATACAGGTTCGATTTTTAGTTTTTGAGATATTTTAATCCACATATTCCATAAAACTCGTTATCGTTTGGTTTTCGACATTATTTTTCCTTTTCGCCTCTCTAACACGGCGTCGCGTTAAGAATTTTGAGTAATAGTCCATTGCAGACAGGATGAAATGCTGAATAATTTTCGCGCTTACAGTATACAAGTCCGATTTTTAGTATCTGAAATATTTTAATCTATGTGTTCAACTAAACTCGTTATCATTTGGTTTTCGACACTATTTTTTCCTTTTCGACTCTCTAACTATATTCCTCTAGTATTGTTGCTTCATTGATAGGCTAAAATTAATTACTTTAATACGTTTCATGTATTTTTTTAATTAAAAAAAAGGGTTGAGCGCCTCTGACTAACGACTATTGCCCCACCCTGTCAAATTCAAAACGCGCCTAAAGAAGTTTCAAAAACTTACAAAACGTTTTAAAATAATCAATTTAAGCCAATCAATGAAGCAAATATATTAGGGAAATGTTGAATAAAAGGAAATTCAGATATTTCATAATATAAAACAGCTAAAGAAATAAGTTTATTTATTTTAGGGGGGAAGATGGCGTCATTTCCCAGGGGCGCCGAATGTCTAAGGCCGGAACTGTAATTAGAAATCACTTTTTTTTGTCTATTTCTCCATATTGTATTGAACCCTGTGACGTTCATCATGTCGTTAGCGCACTTGGCTTGCTCAAAATTTTAAAACTAAATGAAGAAAAAGGAAAGAACTGACCTGTTGCTTTGCTTATCTGATGACACTACCAAACTCCCAACTCCGGACTTACCTATCTGCAATTTATATGAAAGAACCACCAAATTCCCAACTCCGGACTTACCTATCTGCAATTTATATGAAAGGACCACCAAATTCCCAACTCCGGACTTACCTATCTGCAATTTATATGAAAGGACCACCAAATTCCCAACTCCGGACTTACCTATCTGCAATTTATATGAAAGGACCACCAAATTCCCAACTCCGGACTTACCTATCTGCAATTTATATGAAAGGACCACCAAATTCCCAACTCCGGACTTACCTATCTGCAATTTATATGAAAGGACCACCAAATTCCCAACTCCGGACTTACCTATCTGCAATTTATATGAAAGGACCACCAAATTCCCAACTCCGGACTTACCTATCTGCAATTTATATGAAAGGACCACCAAATTCCCAACAACGAACTTATCTATCTCCATTTTATCCAAACAGTTATTACTATTCGCTATGAAATAAAGTATTATTTATGAAATTCACGGTAGGACTTCGTTTTCGATGGACAAAAAATTTATTTTGCTCATTGAAGATTATATAAAATAGCATTTGGAATATGAATACATAGGACGGGCTATAGATAAAATATGATTGATTTTCTTCTTTGATGACCTTTAGGTAATTCATAGGCATATGAACTATATATATATATATATATACAGAAATATAAGATTTATCTGCATTAAAAATGCATTAAGGTTCAAAAGTATGTAGTAATGTGTAACAATAGAGACTCAACCCTTTGGATGTATAAAGTTTCATCATGATATATATATATATATATATAATATATATATATATATATATATATATATATATATATATATATATATATATATATATATATCAAAATAATATATATCATGGATTCGAAACTTTATACATCCAAAGGGTTGAGTCTCTATTGTTACACATTACTACATACTTTTGAACCTTAATGCATTTTTAATGCAGATAAATCTTATATTTCTGGTTATGACATAGAGAACTAACTTTATTAGAAACCATTACGAATAATAAATTAGAAATATTTTATAAAAATCTGGTAAAATAAGTGTTGCTGGGCAAATGAGTTAGTTCTGGGATCTTTAGAAAATCCCAACACAATTATTATTTCATAGGTCACATGTGCTCCATGATAATTTTGTCGATTGATATATGAATTAATGTTATCATGTTAATGAGAAGGTATTATCTACTGACGATAGAATGAGGATGGCTCGTATGTGACTCCTTGATTAGGTTACTCAATAGTTCTATTGTTTTGGAAACCAAGGCTTTGGAAGTTGGGATAAAGTCCAATAGAGGAAACAAGCGAGCTGATACAAAGGTGAAGGCTTGGGCATTATGTCCTTCGAGCCGCTCCTATTGCTCGAGATAATCAATCATTGAAACGATTATTGTAACCATAAAGTCTAGTTAGAATATTGTAAAGTCTAGTTAGAATATTTTAAGTCTAGTTAGTATATTATAAAGTCTGGTTAGTATATTTTAAAGTCTAGTTAGAATATTGTAAAGTCTAATTAGTATATTGTAAAGTCTAGTTAGAATATTTTAAAGTCTAGTTAGTATATTTTAAAGTCTAGTTAGAATATTGTAAAGTCTAATTAGTATATTTTAAAGTCCAGTTAGTATATTTTAAAGTCTAGTTAGTATATTTTAAAGTCCAGTTAGTATATTTTAAAGTCCAGTTAGAATATTTTCTCTGTTGAGTGAAAACCAGAGGCTGGGATCTATGGCAGTGCCTGCTGGAAAATAGAGAAGCAGTATTTGATTGCTGTCAATAAATGTGTGATTTGAAGAACCAACCTTTTTACTTTCACTTACGTATATATGTAATATATAGTAAGTGTAAGTATTTCGATCAAGAAAATTTTTGAATCTGAGTATTCGACGGATTTATACGTTTTGAGGTACCCTGAGTCCAAATCACCAAGTCCCGACAAATGGTCTGTGTGTCTGTATGTTAGCATTCCAACTCAAAAACGAAAAGTTCTATGAAACTGATATCACGTATTTAAGATAGGTATGTGCCTTAGTTTTGACGGCAACATTTTCCTTAAAATCGGCTAACCTGAAGTGCCACTTTATATCAACGCTGGAACACATTTTCACAGTTTTCTCAAAAACGGCTCTAACAATTTTGATTAAACTCGGTGTATCATTGTATAATTAAGTGGTCTTTAATATAAATTAGGTCTTATCCCCATTGATGTCACTTTACAGGGCTTAAATGCCCAATGTTCATATACGTCTTCCTCTAAAGTACCTTTAATTTTTTTAATGTTTGTTACCTATCGATTATAATCGATTATAGCTAAACCTAGATTCATCAAAAAGTTAATTAAAAGAGATGATACGAAATAGAATTGGTTACATTAGCAGCGAACGTTCACTTTTACCGAACGAATCAGTTTTAATTCATGAAAAAATTTACGGAACCGGAAACGGAGCGCTAATGTTGAAGGCCGCCTGATTGGCCAGTGTAACGATCACTAATCACTAACCACAATACAAATCACGGTAATAATAGAAAACCGAATCATCATCAATAATAAGGCAAAGATCGTTAGGTTTGTTAGAAGGAAAAATAGTAAGGATGGATATCACTCCTAGAATACTTGGAGCCTGCGAAAAAGGAAAACAAATATTTTTATTTAGTTACTTAATGTCTCATTCCTATTGAAAGGTTTGCAATTTGAAGTATATTCACATTTCGAAATGTGTGCACAAGAAGCCGCTAGCGGGTCCAGGATTTAATTTTGATGAAGGCTTCAGCCCGATAACTTTTTTTTAAATATATATTACGATAATTATTTTGGAAGAAAAATAAAGAAACTAACTGCCTATATGAAATTCATGAAGTCCTATTAAATATAATTAGACAAACAATACTTTGAGAGATAATTTTTTAATATTTTTCATAAAAATATTTCACCATTTCGAAAATAGTGGACGACAGCTCCTCCCGCCTCCCCGCACATTTCTGTGCAAGGAGCTTCTACTTTCTTCAGGGCAGTCAGTTATCGTATATCTGCATCCTTACTGTCAAGTCCTTGCTGGCGAATTTCAAGGAAGCATCCTTCGGTTAAGTATAACATATATAAATTAATATATTTAATATTGTCTAAAAAGCTCAAATAGTCTATTTATTATGTATCATGAAAGATAGAAATTAAATCAAAAATTATGAAATGTTGGCTCTGAAATATACTTTTTTATTTTATCAATATTGGTATTAGCAATTTTCAAATTGAATAATAAAAACATTTTTTGAATTTTAATTTTTCGTACTTGTAGGTGAAATGTATGGAAGCTACCATTGTATAATTGTAATACTCAATAAAGATGTTTTCAGAATTTTAAAATTTTCTCTGAAACTGTCCCCCCTCCGAACTGTACTTGCTTTCTAAATATTGGGCGTGTATTACGTTGAAATTCCACTAATTAATAAACTAGTTTCAAGATAATTCTGGACCTGTTGTGTTGCAATGAATTTTCTTACGTAAAACGCAACGAATCCTTTCCATCCAAAGTTCTTGGAACAATGACCATTTCTCCACAAAAGTACCAACACCAGGATTGAAATGGTTATGATATCTTGTTGAACTCAAGCTGCTGATTGGGTCAAGATTGAGTAACAAGATTTAATTTACGTTTCAGTCTCGATCAAGGACCAAAGAGAGTTTTAATGTTACACCTAGTTGTTGCTTCACATTGTTATGTCGTTGAGAAATCTATTTTTGTATTTTAGTACCAATCTGATTATATTAGGTTTTAGGTTATATTAGGTTTAAAAAGATGAGACAGGATAACCTTTGTTGGGGGAAGGTGATTTGTGAGAGGAATGGAACCCGATCAGAAATATATGGAAGTGGACTTTAAAAATCCTATAAATTGAGGAAACACTAGCTTTGTATAAAAATGAGGGCAGAATGCCCGAGCGGACTTACGCATATGTAAAATATGTGTTGCCCGACAACTTGATAAACCGAATATAATTTGAGTTCAAATCCCCGTGCCGAGTAGACATTTATCTCTGGAATTTTTCCACGCCCTCTCCCCTGGCCCGGAGAAAATCCCGTATAGTCTAAAAGGTAAGGAATCAAAAAAACCCAGGGATGATCGGCGGATCTAAATAAAAATGAATTTATTTCTCAAGCTATTTTATATTATGCAGCATTTGAATTTTATTTCATTAAATATTTGTCTAATACAGTTTATTTATAGATAGGCTAAAATTAATTATTTTAATACGTTTTATATATTATGCCCCACCCTGAAGCCAGCACTACTCGTTAGCAATTGGTTTTGGACACTATCTTCTTCCTTTTTTTTCTTTCTAACACGCGTGACGTTAAGATAAAATTTTGAATAATAGCTCATTACTGAGGGGATGGAATGCTGAAAATTGCCCTCGCTTACAGTATGCTGATCCGATTGTTAATTTCTCAGATATTTTAATCCAAATGCAAAAACAATTCAATTAGTTGATTTCGAGCCAACTTTACCCAAATGAGCGTTACATGTCTGAGCGTGACGACTCAGTCTCGTGCATTGCCCTTAGCAAAGTGCAAGGCGGTTCTAAAGATGTTTTCACTCGGAACAGTTTGAAGGAAAATTGTAAATAAATAAAAACTATTTACTTTCGATTATTAGAATCGTAATATCGTTAACGACTGCCTGTTAATTCTTGAATGACCCCGGAAGCAGCGCAGATCGACGTGGACAAGGTTCCTCGACCCGCCCCACCCACTGTCCTTGGTCGCCTCAGACTATTTTCTCTGGTAGCGGTGGCCGTTATGTTGGCAGCTCCGGCGGTGGGCGTCCAATCAGCGGCCTGCTAAATGTCGACCGTCCTAGCTCAGCTGCCATTGTTTAAACAAAACTAATTCTTTATTATTATATCAGGTATACAAAAGTAGACGGGTCTGGTGATCGCTCTGAAATTTTCTTTTCAACATCTCATAAGTGAACACGTTTCAGCCGCTGAGTTTTAATGTTTTTAATATTCTGTTGTAATCACTAGCGGATCCAGGATTTAATTTTGGGGGAGGCTTCAGCCCGAAACAATTTTTTTTCATAAAAATAACGATAATTACTTTGGAAAAACAGAAAGAAACTAACTACCTATATGAAATGGTGTTTAAGTTATTCCTTAAGTACTTTTAAATGCAATTACACGAACAATAATACTTTAAGAGGTATTTTTTAAATTTTTTTCCCCATAAAACATGGTTATATTTTTCCATTTTGGGGGGGAGCCTTCAGCCCGAAAGCCCCTCCCCCGTAGATCCGCCCGTGGTTGTAATAGCATCAACAGCGAAGCAGATCCAGGCTTCTGTTTGTCATCATGTTTATTATTATTGTTGTTGTTATAGTAACAGCAGCACAAAACTTGGTAATAAGTCAAGAGGCACAGCACATGCAGAGTAATAGCTTAGCACAACTACCAAT